AGTTTCTTATTCCATGTAACTTTCATGATTTCAACTCTCAATATATTTTGAATTAGAGATATTAATACCAACTATGTTTTAGATCGAAGAAGCGACGTGTCATTGATTGATAAAAGAATTGTACAGAAGAGGAAACCAGACCAGACCAGAAATTCGTAAAAAGTTCTCATATATATTTCAGTTTCTTATACCATGTAAGTTTCATGATTTCAATTCACAATATATTTTAAATTCGACATTGTATAATACCAGCTATGTTTTAGATCGAAGAAGCGACGTGTTATTGATTGATAAAAAAATTGTACAGAAGAGGAAACCCGACCAAAAACCAGTGACCGGTGATAAGCTTTCCATTCCTATTTACGAATTATATTCAATCCATTTCGAATATTTCTCCCAAATTTTATATTTGTTATGGAAGGCGATATATTATTGGAAATTTATTGACAGTCACCTTTATGTCTCAATGGAGACACGACAGGTACCCTTACGAGGGGAGAGTATCAACCCTTGGCATCGGTAAACCCTCGTTGCAACCGGGGTAGGCGCCTGATGGGTTAGGTATATACAGTGTTTCTCATTTAGGAGAAAATTGTTGGCTATCTGTTCCGCTCATTTTTTGAGTAATAGAAGAATATGTCGCGTTCCAGCAACGGAATTCGAAAAAAGTTCTCATATATATTTCAGAATTCTTATTCCATGTAACTTTCATGATTTCAACTCTCAATATATTTTGAATTAGAGATATTAATACCAATTATGTTTTAGATCGAAGAAGCGACGTGTAATTAATCGACGGAAAATTTGCACCAAAGAGGAAACCAGACCAGAAACCAGCGACCGGTGATAAGTTTTTCATTCCTATTTACGAATTATATTCAATTCATTTAGAATATTTCTTCCAAATTTTATATTTGTTATGGAAGGCGATATATTATAGAAAATTTATTGACAGTCACCTTTATGTCTCAATGGAGACACGACAGGTACCCTTACGAGGGGAGAGTATCAACCCTTGGCATCGGTAAACCCTCGTTGCAACCGGGGTAGGCGCCTGATGGGTTAGGTATATACAGTGTTTCTCATTTAGGAGAAAATTGTTGGCTATCTGTGCCGCTCATTTTTTGAGTAAAGAATAATATGTCGCGTTCCAGCAACGGAATTTGAAACAGTTTTCTATATATTTCAGTTTCTTATTCCATGTAACTTTTATGATTTCAATTCACAATATATTTTAAATTCGAGATATAATACCAACTATGTTTTAGATCGAAGAAGCGACGTGTTATTGATTGATAAAAAAATTGTACAGAAGAGGAAACCAGACCAGAAACCAGCGACCGGTGATAAGTTTTTCATTAATGTTTCCTATTATATTGAATTCATTTCGAATATTTCTTTAAAATTTTATATTTGTTATGGAACGCAAAAGTGAATTAAAAGTTGATATAGAGACATGCTAGCCGTTCGAATCAATAATGAATAGTTTCAACACAAAAAATCAAGTTGAAAAATCTCGACTTTGAACACCCTATGTATCTGTAATCATTCCTGCTAGACCCCAAGTGTGATGCATTGATGAAATCATCTTTATGTTCTGGTTCGCACGAAAAGGGATATCCTGTGATGTTCAGAGAACATCGTGAAAACCAAGGAAAATAAGGTAGGAATTAGTGTTCTTCTTAAATTTCCTGGAGGTTATATGCCTCGGGGAACACTTCCCTTGGCAATGTGTTCTAGAGCCTCGATGTTCGTTGGACGAACGAGTCTTTGGAAAGAGATGTTCTGCAGGTCTCCAAAGTGTCCACAAAGGGGTGTGAAGCCTCAACCCGACGGATTAATCTCGCGGGGACTGCCAAGTGAGGTACAATTGTTGATATTACAAAAGAGCATCGTCCATGCAAATATCTATAAAATAGAGCCACCGTGAAACACCTTGTATGCATACATCATATCACTTACTGAAATTCAATTTATTCCAAATATTTCTCTCAAATTTCTATTTGTTATGGAAGAAAATATACGAGGAAAATATACATTATGGTATTTGCCGATAGTGATCTTCATATTTGTTTCCACGGAAACAATCAATCAATATTGTTATAAACAGTTTTTCAATAGGTTAGGTTATATATTTCAGTTTCTTATTCCATGTAACTCATCAAATTTTGATTTTCAATTTCTCAAACCTTCAAGATTTGCTACCAAGTGTGTTGTAGTTCGAAGAAGCTTCATGTTATAAATCTACCCAAAATTGCACAGCACAGAGAACCAGAACAGAAACAAGCGATCGGTGTTGAAATTTCCCATTCCTGTTATGAATTATATTCAACTCATTTCGAATATTTCTTCAAAATTTCATATTTGTTAACAGTCTTCTTCCTCGGAATAGCGCAGTGGTTGAGCGCTGGACCAGCAATCAGAACACCGGAGAGTACCTAGGTTCGAACACCGACAGAGCAGAGAATTTGTATATCTATAGTTATAAATTCTGATTTTCGTAGCCTCGGCCGGAGATGATACCGCACGATTCGCTGTTGCGTTCCAATTAACAGTGCTGCTCCTAAGGTAGCGTATGGAGTTAGTAACAAAGCCTACACATAACACACATGGGCTGAGGGACCGCTCGTAAGGTCGATGGCCAATTGGTATGTATGTACATATACATACCAACGAAGTACATATAACATAGGTATAACAGAAGCTGCAAGTCACTTCCCTGAATTTGTTGCCAGAGAAATCCCGACATCTTTATGTATCTGTGATCTGTGTCAATATAGGAAACTATGTAAAACTGCATTCAATTCTAAAACTCTAAAACGGAAGTCTGAAGGCTTTCATCCGGAATAAAAACCAAATAGGTATATTTTCATCTGAAGAAATCAACAAATTTTTCATTCAGGCATGTGATAAAAAATATCTTGCAATGAAGGTAAGAAATCAGCTACTTTAAGAAATTTGCTTAAATTTATATATCAGACAATAGTAGTCGTGGACAAAGCATAGTATTCTACTCGCATAAAATGAGCTTTTATTCACTCTTTGTGATTTTTATGAAAGTGTTATATTGAGTGTTTCAAATGTCATGATGGTGAATTATATTTTGCATTATACAGGTAAGTACATCAAATTCTGCAATGAAAAACTGGGCCATATTATGGTAGTTGAAACCTCGTTGAAACCACTACCTAATAAATGAAAAATTAATGACTTATCTTGTTGATTTGTGGCATGAAATATTCATAGGAGTATGTTCCATAGCAGGAAAACAACCACTATACCGAATAGCTCACTTATTTGAGACACCCAGTATATTTTGGAATGTGCACTCTGGCAAAAATCTATTTTTTCTTCAGTTTCCTACTTTACCATGACACCGTGTACAAAGTAGTGGGCCAATAAGTAAAATAATTTATATCTGGATGTTTAACAATATTTTTTTCATCTCTTGGAGCGCACCAAAGGAAATTCTTATAATGTTCATGGAACATCATGCGTATGGAAGATTGGATTAGATTAGATTTAGAATGGGGCCTTCGGGCTATCTGCCTCCACTCCGCGACCTTTTCAGATCTATTGTGTCTGCCCTCGTACGGAAGATATACAGGGTGTCCGCTAAAAGGAGGTCCACATATTTTTCAAAGGCTAAGATTTTCTTTAATTTAAAGGGCTCGCATGTTCATTCAAAAAACTGGGGGTCATATCGAGCAATGCATTTAGACGTGTTGAATTTCTGCCAATTTTTTTTTTTGGAAAAATTATTTCAATACATTCGCTCTGAGCACCCGGTATGTCCATATTTACCTTTTCGTACGTGAAAAGTTACGCCCGAGGGGTAAATATCTCGGAAAATATCCTTGGAAGTCTGGTGTACACTCCGCTGGAAAGTCTTTTGAATTCTTTAATTGGAAGTCTTTGGATGTTTTTGGATGTATTTGGAAGTCTTTGGATGTATTTGGAAGTCTTTGGATGTCTTTGAATGTCTTTGGATGTCTTTGGAAGTCTTTGGAAGTCTTTAGAAGTCTTTGGAAGTCTTTGGGAGCCTTTGGAAGTCTTTGGAAGTCTTTGGTAATTGGAAGTCTGGTGTACACATTTTTCCTGGAGATTTACCCCTCGGTTACGCCCCCTTAAAATTTCAATGAAATAAATAGGAGTATGTGAACATTATGAGACTACCATAAGCCACATAGGCATCAAACAATAAACCAGTACTTTTCGAAACATCTTAGAAACAAATTATATTATCGAAATTTTACTAGAGACAAAAAATACTCAAAACTGATCAAACATTCGAGGGAAAATAGATAGGAAGTCATTAGCGCACGTACAAAAAAATATGGGGGTAAGTGTGTACTTGACCCCCAGTATTTTGAATATTTGACAGTTATTTTTTGTTCTGTTTTCCTCACACGATGTAACTCTTTGTGCTGAAGTAATGTACTGATTTTGAGATTGATATCTTTTCAAATACGCGAGTAATTATTGAAGAAGTATAGTTTTTGATTTCCAACTTTGACACCCTGTATATCGAATATGGAGGGCTAAAATGAGAAATGGTATTTAGAAACTCATATTGTTTTTGTTCAAGGAATATATGGTTGATGGATTGACCTCCTTTTAGCGGACACCCTGTATAGAAAGAGGGCGAGGAGAGAGGCCTTTTAAGCCAGTTCAATACTATTTTTTCATATAAAGCTAAGCATATCACTACTTTAGAACTATATTTTTAACGTTTGTAGAAAAAATTTTGGTTGCAACTCCTGAGCGAAATACTTTGCTCATCTCGACTATTTTTCAACTCGGGTGCGCCTCGTTAAAAACAATCAGTTCTCGATATTTTGTTGCAGGGAAGAGATTCATGATTCATGGTGAATCACCCCGTAAAATTGTTTTCAAACTTCATAAAAGATGTGAATAATTTAAGGATTGTTGGGGTTCTATATTCTACTATTATTGAGATTGGTAGGTTCATGTTTAGAGGTACTGAATGAATGAAATACCTGGACAGTAGAGAAATCTCTGATCATTTCGGCAAGAATTAGGGATTGTCCAGTCGCTTCGTCTTGCATGAATACTGATCTCATATCTTGTCTCTCCGTCAAACAAGCCCTGCAAATCTTACTAATGTCGAAAAGGCCAGCCGAATCAATTTTAACCTCCATGGTTCGATCAAAATTCGATTCGATATCAACATAAACACAACAAAAGATGCACAACCGTAACAGAACACATCCACGCAAAGCAAAATGGCGAGAAACAGATTCTTCCACTGGTCGATTGTGGAAGACGATTGTTGATGGAGCTTCTAGTTAAGCAGTTGAATGGCCGACATACCAAGACTTTAAACACTCGTTACATACGGCTCATTTTAAAACAATAGTTTCCTTGAGCGGTAGGGATTGGCGCAGCACAGGAACGTACAACAATTTTTTGGAGGGGGATCTGATGAAAAGTGAAAATTATATCTGGAATGCTGGCAACCCTTGTCGCAAAGGGCGATTAGTTCAAACGAACTGCTTTGTGCTTTTGAACTATTTATTAATGAACATAAACATAACCTCGTTTCGTGAACAATAATAAACATTGTATTGTTTTATATGTTTGAAATCCGTTTAAACTCAAATAAACTATTCAACAATGCAAGTAAGCTCCCAAAAACAAATCAGTTACTACTAGACTTAGGAGAATTTGATTTATGTGTAATCAATAATGGACCTGCAGTGTCTAAATAGAGTTGAATGCAACCAAGGAGCAGTGAGGGCAGTTAGATTCAATGGTAAGTAATTTAATTATTCCTGAAATTGTCTCTTTAAAGTTATTGACAAAATTCAGTGGACGGATCTTACTGCTTAACTTGTGGATCTGATAAAAAACTGAAGTTGTGGAATCCCTATCGAAGCCTCTTGCTCAAAACATACGGGGGCCACGGTAACGAAGTCCTAGACGCTTGTGGTTCATGTGACAGCAGCCAAATAGTCTCTTGTTCGACGGACAAATCCATCATTTTGTGGGATGTGTCCACAGGACAACCTTTGAGGAGATTCAGGAGCCATGCTGCAAGTGTCACTTGTGTTAAATACAATGAAGAATCCACAGTGGCGATTTCTGGAAGTTTGGATAACACAGTTATGTGTTGGGACATCAGATCACGGTCACAAGTTCCCATTCAGACTCTTAAAGATGCTAAGGATTGCATAACATCTCTGCTTGTTACTGATCATGAGATCTTTACTGGGTCTGTAGATTGTTCAGTAAGGAGATATGATTTGAGGAATGGGAAATGTGATGCAGATTTTGTTGGAGGTAAGTATAAATTTAATGTTTGTTACTTTCCAGATGTTTGGGTATAGTTGCTAAAGAGAATAACCACTATCCGAGCCACTATCACTTATCAATAATTGAACTACCAACTTGAATTCAAATTTCATGTATGTACCAGAACAGAAACAATGTTCCCAATAAAATATTGAATTTTTAATGTGAATCACATACATATTATGTATGAATTATTCATTGAGATATAGTTTTGCAGATTTGTACAATCTATTATATGAAGATAAAATCTGTGAAGCTGTTATATTAATAATAATAATTGTTAGAAACACTCCAGAGATACAATTATTACTAGTATTAGTATCATCATTTTTATTATTTATATATGTTGTGTGATTCAGTACTGTCACCTCCTATTATGTTCAGAATATGGATGGTGCTGTTTTATGACTAAGATATATTGAATGTTGAATGCATGATTAAGAAATTACATAAGCTAGATAAGGGAAGTGACAGGGGATAATTAGGATGACCAGTATAGTTGAGACTAAGGAGCTGTAAGGGCTTTGTCCAAGAATATAAAGTTGATATTTGGAGAAGTGCATGTTATTCAAGAAGCTTCCTAGTTTTCTCTTAACATAATGGAGTTTACCATATGCTCCCTTATGGTTGGTCATTCAGTATAATGAGGAATAACAATTATATTTTTCAGCTCCCATAACATGTGTTAGCTTATCACATGATGGCCAATGTATTTTAGTGAGCTCAGCTGATAATTCCGTCAAATTATTTGATAAAACAAGTGGGGAATTACTAGGAGAGTAAGTTCAACTTGAAAAAATAAATGTAAATTATCTTCAATATAATTGTCATATTTATTTTCAAAGGTTCTTGGGCCATAAGACAGAAGACATGAACATAGAAAGTGCTATAATCACCAACGACAATTTTGTTTTGTCTGGTTCAATCACTGGAGAGTTATTTTGTTGGGACTTGGTCAGTGCTGAAATCGTCAAAAAACTAATTCATACTCCGCTCAAAGTGCTCAACTCTCTCTGTGTTCATCCAAAAAAAGATGTGGTATTGACTGCTTGTGTAGGAACATTCAAGATTTGGGGACAAACTGATGATGTGAAGATCGATAATGAAATAGATATTGATTGAATCAATTTATTTGACCATTAAATTATGTATTTTGTTGTGAATTATTGATGCCTTTTGTTTGAATTTTCCCAATACAATACTCCATAATGATACAGCACAATTTTCAATTACTTATTCAAAGGTTTGTTGTGACGCCTTAACAAAAGAAGACTTGTGACACCTCTGTAAAAAAATTACAGACGCTGAATGTTGGTTGGATACTTTCCCCTCGTAAGGGTACCTGCTGTGTTTTCATTGTAGTATTTATCGATTTGATTAAATCAAATTAGTTAATAGTGAACATATTCACTAGTATTATGCAAGTCAAATTACAAACTAGTTTGAGAAGAACTGAGTATTGAAGATAGGAGAATTTTCTATTTGAATATTAAATGTTAAAGTATGTCCCACTCAATTAACCTTTTACCTTAAATAATGAAACTGGAAAATAATAAAAATGGTTGCAATTTATGCACAATAAATATAATACTTTTAATTCGAGTTATTGGTCAGTACATTCATGGTAAATCATTTATAAAAAAAACATCGCTCAGTAAACAGAGATATATAAATAAGTTGGCTATATAAATTAAGATTGTGATAGCATCTGTGTTGCTTCAGGATAAGTCACTTCCATCAAATTCTGTACGAATGTTGTGGTATTTCTCAAAAACTTGTGGTAACTTTCAGGTTTGTTTTTCCATTTCACACAGGCATAGTAAACTGGGATACCTAAAAAAAATCAAACGGTTCTCATCACATTATGTTCATATAGTTTCATTTTGCAGACATTTGTTATCTACCGGGTCACACAGGAAAAGTCTCATTATGAGAGCTAATGAGTGGTCCTCAAAAAATAATCTCTTACTCAACAAAGAAAAAACTCATGTTATCCTTTTCCGGACCTCACAGCAAAGAATTACAACTCCAACTAGTATAAAACTTCTCGAAACTAACATCAATATAGCAAGTAACACAAAATTCTTGGGTGTTTTTATAAATGAAAACTTAAAGTGGGATACACACATCAACTATCTTGGAGCAAAACTAAACCAAATAGCATACAGCATTCGTATACTTTGTAAATACCTGAATGAAAAGTCCCTAAAAATTATCTATCATGCGAACTTTGAATCCACTGCAAAATTTGGCATAATATTTTGGGGATCGAGCAGTCAAACTAAGGAAATATTCCAGATCCAGAAAAGGGTTATAAGATCATTATACAATATGAAATATGTTGAAACGTGCAGAGGTACCTTCAGATCAAATAAAATTATGACCATATTTGCTCTATATATTTATAAATGTGTCATACATCTGTATAAAAATAAAATGAATTTCACACAAACATAAAGTAATAATAGCAGATACCCCATTCGGAACAGGAATTTCACTTTTCCAACACATAGTTTAACTTCAACAGAAAAGCATCCGAATTATTCAGCAATTAGATTTTTCAATAGATTACCAAATGAAATGAAAGTGATTGGTAGTGTGAAAAAATTCAAGAATCATCTGAAGAACTGGCTTACTGAACTATAGAACCGTATTCTATAGATGAATATTTAAATGGAAATACCTAAATTCAAACTAATTTATTTATTTTCTATGTTTTGTGACACTGTTTCATTCTTTGTTATATGTTTTATAAAAAATGTAAACCTTTTTTTGAAATAAAGTATATTAATAATAATAATAATAAATGTAACAGCCTGTAGTTTTTTTAGTTAAGGAGATAAAAATTTGAAATTCATAAGGGTTATATTATCGATGATGGCGCTTCCTTTGAACCCAATGACAATTTTTTTCAACCACCTGTTTGATTGGAAGTAGGCCCAACTTTTTTTTTCAAATGGCACCCCATATATTTCTGTAGTCTATCTTATTTCCCCTGAAATTCTCTATTCAACTATGTATCACAATTTGATATTCGTTCATTAATTGGCTGTTGAATTGCATTTTATTAAAATACATGAAGTTGGCTGTGGCCCGAATACAATGACATTTCGATGCTTGATAGGCTCAGAAATCCAAAGATCATCACTTAGACGATCAGAATATTTTCCATACCCTTATCGGTCCCTTGAACTTCAACCTCAATTTCAAAAAGAAAGACAATTTCGGTCAGATATAGTTTCCGAAATAATATTTGAAATTAGTTGAAATGATGTAATGATCCGTCTGCGCCAGAATTCTCTCAACTAAAAATGATGCCCAGCCTCGCCACTGCATCCTAAGATGATTTTTTTTAAGTGCATTTATCGTTTTTTGTCTTTCACTAAGAGAGCCAGGAGAATTTACTTATCTGTTATTTTTGAGCATCTGCGAGAATTTTTCAAAAATCTGTTACTTATAGATTCTTGTTACTCAACAAAGTGGAGCTAAATTTGCAAACATTAGTTACATTGCCATCAAACTATATTCTTAGTTTGCTTATATCTCGCCGACACACACTACATAATATTTGACACAAATACGAGTAACTGATCTCATTCTGATAGAGATTCATAGGTACCAAGGATTGCGCCGCTGAAAACTTTTTTTGTTTTACTGTGATGTCATCTCGCATCTCATCGTAGTTTTATCACAAAAACATCGCTTTTCCATCATGATTAACATATCGCAATTACATTGCAAAAAATATATCGCTGTTATATCGCAGAGAATTTCGCATGGATAGAACTTGAGTGGGACAAAATAACATCCCTCTGACATCGCAGCGACGACTTTGCGACATATAATGCGATATCGCAGGTCAAAATTGTTACGTCGCTGCGATATCTCTGTGATGTAACTGTGTTTGCTGAGTAGTTTGCAAAGAAACGTTTGTATATAATTCACTGATTACTAAGTGGTACTGACAACATCGCGTGAAGAGAGTACTGAATTTATTCTTATCCGAGTTTCGCGGTCGAGATGCTTTTTCTGTGGGTTTTTCTCGAGAACCGAGTTTTTGCCAAACGGCGTATAGGAATACGGATTTGAGAGCTACCAGTTTGATTAGTGATGTGAAGCCATATTTTAGTTATTGCATACCGGGTGATTGATCGACGATTTGCTAGTGGTCTGATGGTATCATTTATTTATTTTTTATGTATTTTATGTGTATAATAAGCTTTATCAACAAGTGATAACTTAAGACAATAAAGTATATTTTGAATTGAATTGAATTGAACTGTTCTCCTATAGTTCCTGCCTGTGCCTGCATATTTTGGTAGGTGGCTGCTATTTTCTTTTAGTCCAATAAATGAAGGAGGAAAAAAAGGCAAAGTTAACGTTAACTACGCACTATTTTCATCTTCTGGTTGGAAGTAGTTTCTGGTACCTCATTAAACATGAGACAACGTTTGACTGGAAAACGCTTGCGATGGCGGCGAAAATGGCCCCAAAAGACCAGGAAAATAGGTTTTCAGCCAATATCTCCTAAAATATGGCAGTTAGAGATTTTCGGTTCAGATAAAAATTGAAGTTCTGTTAATTTTCTACAAAAATGGTCCTCATCATTTTTCTCGAAAATTTGCCCGGTTTCGAGAAAAACGGCACGAAGCGCACCTCGAATAATGAGCTTCTGTGTTGCATGCCGGAGAGCACAGTCCGTGTATTTACACATCGGCGAAGGGACAAATTATTCAATAACTTTGTTAAAAATGCATATTTTCTCATGATTCAAAGTTCATGTGAAAGAAGAATTCTGCTGCTATCGTACCTGCGTGGCCGCATGGTTTGTAGCAGACAACCCGAGCGCCACGTAGAGCACACACGCGGCGAACGACGGAGGAACGAAAGTAATAAATTATAACGTGTACATTTAGATATACTGGTTTTTTTCTCGGGATATCAAAGGTATGACTTATATACATCGATGGAAAGGTGGGAATTCCCCCGTTACACTAGTTAAGGTGTTAAAATGTTAGAAATAAAGAGCACGGAGAAAAAAACCCCCGAAAATAAAAGTGCGTTTTTTCCTTGACCCCGCTTTTTCTAATTTTATTGAAAAATGGACGAATTCGTCTAAAAAAGTAATTGCACAATCGAAAAGTAGACCATCTTAGCTTTCAAATGATGTATCATAGAAACCAATCGGATCATGTATAAATTTTTAATTGATGGTTGTTCACAAAATTTCCCCGCGCTCCAAAAACAGCAAAAAATTGGGATTCAATAAACAAAGATTAAATGAAAATTGAAAGAAATTAGGGTATACAAATTTCAGGGATGGCAAAGGATCTCATGAGGACCCATAATCAAAAAAAAAATTTGAGTAAATTAGTGCAATACAAAAAAATGGGAACAAATTCCTGGCGAGGTCAAAATTGACCGGGAGCAGAAAGTTTGACCCATGTTCCGATATGGCCAAAAGAGTCAAGCGTGACTCAATTCACAGGGTATGATAGCAGCAGAATTCCTCTTTCACATGAACTTCGAATCATGAGAAAATGTGCATTTTTAACAAAGTTATTGAATAATTTGTCCCCCCGCCGATGTGTAAATACACGGACTGTGCTCTCCGGCATACAACACAGAAGCTCATTATTCGAGGTGCGCTTCGTGCCGTTTTTCTCGAAACCGGGCAAATTTTCGAGAAAAATGATAAGGATCATTTTTGTAGAAAATTAACTGAACTTCAGTTTTTATCCGAACCGAAAATCTCTAACTGCCAAATTTTAGGAGATATTAGCTGAAAACCTATTTGGGGCCATCTTCTCCGCCATCGCACGCGTTTTTCAGTCAAACTTTGTCTCATGTTTAATGAGGTACCAAAAGCTACTTTCAGCCGGAAGATGAAAATAGTGCGTAATTAATGTTAACTTTTTCCCTTTATTTATTGGACTATTTGTTATATTAGTTTGTACACGGTGTCCTGTTGTGCTCGTATTTGAATGATCTTAAATTTCAATAGGTGTTATCATGTTGAATATTTTAGATTGTATCACCGATCACCCCGGACTGTGATCCAAATACCCATTGCTGGTTTGAATAAACGATTCTCCATCATTTCTTTTTGCCTAATCTGTCCAAGCCTGAGAACTCACCGCACCAAAATACCCCTGAGATTAAGCGTTTCGTAACAAGTTTTTCGTACTTCCGGGCCTAAAGTGACAACTTCACTCCCTTGTGACAGGTACTAAAGTGTCACATTTAATCCCTCCGGGATTAAATATTGACGAAACTCCCGGAACGATTAAATCACAAACAAACGAATTTAAGGGATATTTTATTGAAAAATATAATTAATTAGAATGGTAATTAACGTTAATATTCAAATTAATATTGTGACAGTTCGTCATATTGACCAGTCTTTCCTGGGTTAATGCAGCAGGTAACTGACGAGTAACAGATAGGTCCTTTTCATATTAAACTGGTGTTTGTTTCGAAGATCCTGCGGAAACAGGAAGCGAGAATGAGGACTGTGGCATAACTATAGTGGACGAATCGGCGACTTGACCAAATATTTTATCTGAAATTTTTTGTTTATTTTTAATAGACGATTCAATATATCCCTCGGCCACGTTGGAGGATTTCCATCCTCCATGTCTCTTCAGCACGTCTATTGTTGCTCCCGAATCAGCTAACAAAGACGCAGATGTGCGTCTAAAACAATGTCCCGTATAAGACGTCGCATTTTCTAATTTCAAGAAAGCTGCTATTTGCCGTGGAAATGTACCAAACATGTTTTTTCCTACTACTCGCGTAGTACATTCTTTGTTGATGTATTGAACAAAAAATTTTGAATGAGTTGTCCCTGTCTTTCGCAATGCCACATATTTCCGAAATATCGCCACAAAACTGATGGCACTGTTTTCTGAATTTTTGATCACAAAATTTCGGTCAATTTTATTTTTGGTGTTTCTAATCGCAATTAGGAAGGAATCGCCCAAATCTCTCACATCGTCGATTTCTAAATCAACCAACTCTTTTCCACGACAAGCTCCCGCAACGCCCAAAATAAGTGCAACCTACAAAAAAATTGATTTCTTAAAATTTCTGAATATAAACAAATTTCCAAATTTACCTTAAGCATTAAATATTTATCATCCGGAGCCTCCCGTAAGAACTGATCTACCTGCTCAGACGTGAGAATTCTTGACTTCTTTGGCTTAAATCCCTCATTTCTTCTCTTCAAAAAAGCTAATAATTTTGGAAATTTACTTATATCAATATCTTCTCTAATGTTAATAACCGATTTCAGCATTGAGTAATGTGCCCAGAGAGTTGAGGCACAAACCGCTTTTGATTTATCATCGAAGTAGACTAACAGCGCATTTTCAGTAGGTTGTCTCACATTTTTTAAGCGGCACCACTTTTTAAAAGCATCGTACTGCTGCTCGTATAGTTTTCTAGATTTCGGTGGTAACAATTCTTCACCTACTTCGGCTGCTCTTTTATCAATATCAGATACACCTTCTTCACTCATGATACCAATAATTATCAATAACAATGTTTCTTTACAATGACACTAGTAATGACAATGTTTCTAAATTATAACTGTCACAACGCAATGTTACTATGGTAACTTATTTTAAAGACAGTTTATTAAATGAGTTGAAGAGAGAAAAAACTGATTGAAATTATTGAAATAATTAATAAAATCATACCGGAAGTACGAAACGTATCGTATATACCTTGCGACTGAAGTACATTTAATCCTTCAGGTAAATTATGGCCCTCCCTGCGGTCGGGCCATAAACTTTACCTTCAGGATTAAATGTACTACTTCAGTCCCGCGGTATATAATGTACTATTTCAACTCACTCACCGGATAACGTGATGGCAGCCCCGATGACCGTGTTCCAGGGCTGAGTGGGTATGGGGAAGAGTATCAGAAAGACGCAGGCGGCGAGGAAGAGCACGGGGATCAGCGTGTTGACTCTGATCGGCCGCGGCAGATCAGGTTGCTTGTGGCGCAACCACAGCATGCCGCTGATGCTGGCGGCAGTCGACAGCCACAGGATCTGGCCGTAGTAGTTGATCAGGACGTAGACGTCGCTTATTAGAAGCATTGCGAGAGACGTCAAACACTGCATACACGGAAAAAAATTAGAGAATTTAAAGGTACGCACGATGTTCCACGAACATTATAGGAATTTACTTTCGTGCGCTCCAACAGAAAACAGACAAAATATCGATAACATAATATTGAAAAACCAAATATCCAATGAAAATAATATATCAAACGAAAAAAATGTCGAACGGAAAAAATATCGAATTGGAAATATATCGAAAATCAAATTATCGATGGAAGAAAATATCGAATAACAGATTTTTTTCTGCAACCGACACAAAAGTCGTCCATTTTGACACCAAAATTAGCTCTTAAATTGACGTTTCTATTACTGACACAAAAATAGGTATGTTGCTAGGCAACATATTTAGTTCCTAGGAGCTAGAGTTGAATTTTAGTTCCTAGGAGCTAAAGTTGAACTTTAGCTCCTAGGAACTAAAAAGGATGTACTGGACGTCATCAAGAATAAACAACATTTTGATGGTTAGTTATTTGGGTTGAGACGCATACCTGATTTGTTTCCGATTTCAGCAGATTTGGCATTTCATACCAATGCTGGAGATATAAATACACCTCATTATAGTTTAGTATTGGAATTATAAACATCTCAGCTAAGTATTTTTGTTTGATTAGGGAAGCCTTCAAGATTCAAATACTTGCTTGATCTGTATTTCATTCGTTATTCTCGGGATGGATAACTTGTTTTTGAATAATCACGGCAAGCAATAGTTTTTTGTCTCAAACAACGATATTGTTTACCTTCATAATTATATTTGATTATCAAGTCAAACACAGTGTAGTATGGAGAGGAATAAATAATCACTATTATCATTGTTGATATGCTCACTAACCTAACATTTTCCTCGTCTTGTTATAGCTGGCACTGGCGCGGTATTTACCATTAGAGCACCTGGTCCATACACAAATATGTCACTCTGTGGTTGTATTTATATTGAAACTACAATTCGAACATCCTTGAAAACCTAACCTGCTGTTAATGCAGGTAGAGTAGAATATTCTTACCACATGGATTATCTGTCAATATTTGTTGCATTGCATACATATGGCACGGCATTGGTTGTTACTTCACAAGTTCATTTGAGTTAATTCAGTTAATTGTTTCGGTTGCAGAAAAAATAGCATGTTTCATTCGGATCAAAAGTGACTTTGTTCGACTCGCAAATTTTGCTTTCGCTCGGCTTCGCTAAAAAACAATCTACTATTTTTTGTATATTCAAGAAAGAAATATCCTGAACGCCATTTGGCGATACGTCGAATGAATGGTGACTTCAATTTTTATGCTGTTTTGTTATTGGTCAGATAATAATTTCCAGACATGGAGCAAGGTTGTCAAATCACCAATTATAATCGAGTTATCAAAAAGATGTAAGAGTCCTGTCGTTGAATGAAACATAATAGTAGGAACTCATGATATTATACACTAACCGGCAAAAAAAACCGGCCACTAGAAAATATTCTCAAATTGTTTACCCTGTAACTTTTTCATCACTTATCTGATCTTTGATGAAATTCGATAAAATCGTAGATTCATGCTCCGGAATGTTACCCTAAATTCTTCTTTCCGTGAAATGCTGATGACTTCATCATTATACAGGGAAAAACCATAATTACTCTTTCGCCTTTTACTTCTTCCGGGAAAAACCATAATTACTAAAAACAAACAAACAGCAGAACTGATGTAGTCAATAACGAGTATGTCCTCGAGTTTGAATTACAGCATGGCGGTTGACATGGCATCGAGTTGATCAAATTTCGAAATTTCTCAAGTATTCATGAAGAATTGCCGAGAGAATTGCCTGAATTTTCCTTGATGTGCGAATCATAGCTCTTGAAGAGTCTCTGACAAGGCCGGATGAAGAAGAATGAGTCTCTGGAGTTCATCCCTAAGATGCTCTATCTATTGGCTCTGAATTATTGTTAATGAAAATTAAAAAAATCCATATCTTCGTACAGCACTTGTATCTTCTCTTGAAAATGAGATGTGACGTAAATCTAGAACTATAGTGTTGAGAAGGGATGAAATAGGATCACACTTCAATTTAAAAAATGAGGAAACAGAAGGTTGGAGAATGGTTCTGAATTATTGTTAATAAAAATCGAAAACTCCCCTTGTATCTTCTCTTGAATAGTGGTTATCGACGTGGAACAAAAACCAATGTATTGAGAAGGGATCACACATCAATCTGAAATATGATGAAGCTAAGTTCAATCACTCGCCTTTGCCACAGAGTGTTAAGAAGTTAAGGGTGAAAGAGTAACTTTTGTTTTTCACCGTATAAAGATTAAGCCGTCAGGCTTCTCTTAGGTACTAATATTCAGGCCAACATTCTGAAGAATGAATATACAATTTAGTCGAAATTTCACCAAAATCGGACAAGAATTGAAAAAGTTACCAGGGAGAACAACTTAATTTTTCTCTTCGATATTATGTACCTAATTGCCTATAATTCGATTATATTCCCGTTGGCTGTTACGTCAGTCAATATTCTTCCTTTGATATGTTTTCCGCTTGATATTACTTCCATTCGATATTTTGTTATCGATATTTTGTCTTTCGATATATTTCCACTGACGGCCTTTACACTTTGAAGAGCATAGAGCATCATCTCCTCAAGATGGTGAAGTGAAATACCCTGTAGATAATTGAGATTATTGTGTACCTACCTATAATACTTTGCGCTACTCACCGTAAATATCAAACTAGGGACAGGCGTACTCCGTTTGACGTGTATGAAGGAGAACAAATCGGGTAAGTGTCCCTCTTGAGATCCAGTTTGAAACAGTCTTGAAGAAGTGAATAAAATGCCATTGACTCCGCCGAATGTCGACAAAGCTACGAAAACAGGAACCAGCCACGTCAAACTCCCGAACATTTTCACACCAAAGGACTAAAACAAAATACGCTAGTCATCACCTTCCCAATGTCTAATAATTCTTAATACAAATATTCCAAGAGTCCTTCAACAAAACGAACATAAACTAATTGCCGAATAATTACAATATCACGCAGAATATTGAATTAGATCAGCTGAACACCCACTATAACGAGGTATTTTCAAAAGTGAGGTATCTACTTTGAGGGGGTTTTGAACCATTTTACCAAAAAGCTATTCGCGAGATTCACGAAGTGGGCGAAATCTAGGTTACATAATACGAACTTCAAACTGGGGGAAAACAAACTGTTGTCTATGGATAAAGTGCATAGACTACATTGCATTCAGCTTGCTGTAGCTGTAGTCTAGGTTAGGTTAGGTTCCATGTGAGTGGGGCGAATACCTCCCCTCCACTGCGACCCCAGATGGGTCTATTGTGGCTCACCCCTAGAGGTTACAGTTCACCGTACAATCCACATCTTTTTACAGTTCATGGTTGAATTGGGTGAGATTTGTCTGAAATCGATAGGTTCTAAATTGGTAAAGCCAAATGTGTCGAACCTTAGTCTTTCTAAGCTAGAGCATGAATATAATATGTCTTTAGCCGTTTCGTCTTCCACACAACAGAACCGACAGTCCGTTTGTTGGTTCAGACCCATCCTTCCCAGGTGGTATCTTAGACGACAGTGTCCCGCAAGCAGTCCAGTCAGAATTCGCAGGTTACCCCTGCTCCATTCTAGGATCTGCCTGGTTATTTTTTCCGATGGTTTAGGCAGGAACGCCTTCAAATGGGTTAATCCTGGTAATTCAGACCAGTACGTGAGTGTTTTTCCCTCCGCCCAGCCCGAGATAGTTGTTTTCGCCGCACTTGCGGTGACCACAAAATATGGTTCTGGTCCTATGAACACAGATTCGGTTCCCTGTTTGGCGAGGATGTCGGCTTTCTCGTTACCCTCCACCCCCTGATGTCCAGGCACCCACAGCAAAGTGACTCTGGTGCTAGCACCCAGACATTCTAGGGATTCAATACAGCTCCATACAAGCTTGGAATTTATCTTGCTGGAGCTCAGTGCTTTAAGAGCAGCCTGACTGTCTGATACAATACTGATATTTTTGTTTACTAGAGGTTTATTCGAGAACTCTCTAGCACACAATTCAATTGCGAATACCTCCGCCTGAAAGATTGTAGCATATTTGCCGAGATTGACGGTCTAACTGTAGTCAAACTTGTCAATGACATAAAGTGTTGGCACTGTTGGTAGTGATGATGGTTGAGTTGGTTAATTTTTCTACGTTATTACATTTTTATTAGTTTAGTGAATAGTGAACGGATGAAGAATTGGAGATAGTTCAAACAATTCAAACTAATTATGACGAACAAATCAATTGCCATATAAAAGAACAGCTACAACATGTTTACAATACCCAGATTGTCCTGCTTTGCATGCACAAATACAAATCCATTGTTCTACAGGAGTTACTCTGGACCCCAACTTCAATTTCACTTCATGTGGGAAAGATTTCATCGCCGAAGTTTATAGATAAAGTGCAAAAATGTGCATTTTGTTGAAGTCTTCTGCCTCACACAAAATCACATGATTTGCACGAAGAACATCTACAACAGGCATTATTAGCGTTTTCGATCGAATATTGACAATCAATGTCAAGAAATTTAAAAACATCACTCTTATCAGTACACAGTACACAAGCTAATGGGATTGAGTCAATTGAGTGAGGATTGACTTTGTTTTCCCCCAGTTTTGACGTGGCTTTGACATGGAACGATGAAAATCAAGCGCCACCTGGAAACATTGATTCCCGCGAATAAATTGAAGTGGGTGTTTATCATATACGTATTGATAAACAATACGGATCATAACGGGTGCCAGGATGAAGCCAAAAATATGAAACAAATGAATATCCATAAGGATTTGGTGGCATGATACGCATGCGCCATGCGCTATTATAGTAGTCATCAAAGACATGCGTTTCGGTGGACAATGACGTTTACTAGCATTTCAATCAAAGCAGTATGTGTCTGATCGTTTCAAAACTTTTCCTTATGGATAGTCATTTGTCTTCAAAAATCGGCTTCATGTTTCGCTATGGAAACAGATAGAGATTATCCGTATTGATTATTAATACGTATATGGTGTTTATACACTTTCTATTTTCCATCTACGACAATGATTGATTTGACAGAAAAACTAACCTCTAAAATCGTATCTGACAATCTACTACTAACGGAATGACCGTAGACCGTGACCATGCAATTTGTAATTTCTAATTATTATCATGAACTTACCAGAGCAACTGCAGGAGAACTTTCAATTTCTACTCCAGATAGCACAGCAAAATAAGCAACATTTGCAAGGACATAAACGCCAGTGACTGTTGGAAGTGCAATCCAAATTGCTCTTGGTAAATTCCTGAAACGAATGATGACGATTTTTTTTTGGTCATGATATACCTACTTATTGACAAATAATGGTGAATTCAATTGAAGTTTCAATAACCAATATTCATCGCACTTCCACTGATAAATTCTGGGTGTCCCAAGCTATCGTATACAGGCAATATCTCGCTTATTTGACAAGATAGTTGAAAAATTCAAAAACTTCATCGAATGGCATAGAAGTACCTTTCTAATGACATAAAAATATCCATTATATTTGACAGTTCTCTGGCAGCTACCTCCCACATTGCATTGTCAAATGGCATCTCCTGTATATTGTCATTGGAAATTACGTTATTTTTTGATTCGCATAAAAGCTATTTTACTTGAAATTCATAATTCATTGAATGTTGCTGTTTTTGTTATAATAATAAAAAAATACCAACAGTATATATGTTATCGTTGTATTCCTTATAGGATGACACGCAATTTTCACTGACAATATACAGGGGGTGCCATTTGAAAATAAAAAGTGGGAGATAGCTGCCAGAGAACTGTTGAATGTAATAGATTTTTTTATATGTCATGAAGAAGGTACTTCAAAGCCATTCAATGCAGTTTTTGAATTTTTCAATTATCTCGTCAAATAAGCGAGAAATTGCCTGTATACGATAACTTAATTGGGACACCCGGTATAGATGGGTTTATTGAGCAAAAAGTAAAATCAAACATGAACGACTTGAAGACTGGACTAGAAGATAGACAAATGAGGCTGCAGGTAATTTTACAGTCGATTTTATCGTCATAAATTGTCTATGTGTATTCAAATGTGACTGATTTCCCATCAGAAAAAGTGGTATTCCAAGAATAGACCTATTTTGAGTGTTCTGGTTTATTGATAACAAAATTAGGAAATTCATCATGAGTCAAACTCAATAAAAGAATAACATATTCAATTTGGCTCACCCCATATAATGTAATTAATGGCAACGTTTATGAACCTCCCATAAAATATATGAGTTCGGCCATTAAGAGTAAATGCTGCTGAATATATGTATACTCACCATAAAAATACAATAACCACAGTCGTGAAAATATATTTCAAAGAATTATGATTGTTGTACCTTTTAGTGACATAACCATTACATTTTTTGTAGCGGCCACTTCAGTATTTAGATATACTTAAGTTGCTAAAATGTCAGGATTCCGAATATATCGAGATTAATCATATAAATATTTATAGAACTCAAGAAATATGTTGGACAAACATGCGTACGAATAAGGCAACTCAATTCAAAGAACATATCGATAATTTCGAAAATGTAGGTACCTAGATGATAAATCGCGTAATTTTTCAACAAATTTTCAGTGTCAAGTTGAAATAAAAGATATCCACCATGACTGAAGTTCTTTTTCGCTCGATTCACTTTAGCAATTACCATTGCACGTTGTTATTCTAGTTATAAAGGCTAAAAGGATCCTTTTAGAAGTAGGTCGAACCTGTTGAATTAAACATCTCTTTCCCATCAATTCCCAATGTCAGCTTCCTACGCTTTCTGCTGGAAAAACAAAAGCTTTTCCACCGTAAGTTTGAGTTCTTCCCATCCTTATTGGAAACGTGATTTTCACTTGATTGGGATACTTAAAATGAACGGAAAAAGAGGGACGAGCAACTTTGTTTGGTGAAAAAATGAAGATATATAATACTTTTCTTGAGTTCGGCTTCCGAGACATTCATTGGTAAAAATGATAGTTTCAGTGGATGTATAGTTGTTATACAGGGTGTTGTGAAATTCGACCGACAAAGCTTCATTTGGACATCCTTCGAATGTGCCTCAGGGATATCCTTCGGATGTCCCAATTGGTAAATGAACTGTACTCTTCCAATGTCCTAGAAATGACGTCCTATGTACGTCCCAGTCGGTACTTTCAATATGTTGTTCCTGCGAGGACGTTAACTTACACCTCGCCGACGAATGATTGCTCGTAGGCTATAAGTACTGCTCGTCAATGTCCTTCACGTAAGTCCAAGGAACATCCTTGGGACACTTTTTGGGGACCTTCTACGGACCATCAACTCAACTGGATGTCCTAATCAGTTATGCAAGATCTGGTCCTAAAGGGACCCAGAAAACTTGAAATGAATGTCCTATGGATGTCCTAAGGATGTCCTCTGTAGTGCTTGATGAGGTATACTGTAGGATTTAGGTATTCGATAGTTGTCCCAGGGACATCTCTCAAGGACGTCCCTAGTTGGTCCTCAAGTGGGACATTTGTGCGTCCCAGAGACGTCCAATGAACGTCCACGGTACCAAATTCGAACGTCCTATATGGACGTCCTGAATGTCCCAACAGGACGTCCTAAGGATATCCATGGGACATAGGTGTATTAGGGCAGGGCGTTAAAGTTAAGAAATAAAAATAGTTGTTTCGCAATATCTCAAGAAAAATTGAATGTAATGCATTCAACTTCGGTATATGGTTTCATCTTTGAATGGGTCATTTTTCGACCAGGAAGCCATTCCGGACTTTTTATCCAGTGGTGCCCTACAGGGGGGTGTGGCAACTTTTCCTACCATATTTTCTACGCCACTGATTAAATTTCAATAGGGGAGACCACTGATGAAGAAATCCGTGCAAACCTCTTTCAATCGACGAATCATGATTTACATTTTATGTACAATCAATATTATGAGTTGAAGTTGAAGGGAATCGAATCCATATCGCTTTGAAATCAGCATATTTCATTCGATATTTCAAACAGCCAAATATGATGGTGGAGTCGTGACGTATTATTCCCGAACTGTAGCTATCTCTCTCTGATACCTCGTCATTCTGCAGTGTTGCAGTGTGATTGGTTCAGTTCAAGGACGATAGGCGTGTTGGGAATAAGACGTCGCAACAGTCACACCAATGAATTGATGAAATTTCAAATGGCGCAGGAATTGTGTGTTTTGAAATGGATATATACTAATTTATTTGTTTCATCGTCTTAGCATGAATGAAAAAATTCAAAATTAATTCACTGGTAGTTTTTCAGTATAGAGTTCACGATAATGTCGTTCTGAAAAATCAGTGGTCTTCCCCATTATTTCCAATGCCTCGAATTCATTGTTCAATTTTGCTCAAAAAGTGCATCACCTTCAACTGAGCTGAAATAAATAGTTCTCGAGATATTCGACCCAAAATAGAAGATTGCATAATAAAATTTCATCATTTTCTGTAGTAGAAAATTGCAAAAATATTTTTCTGGTGTTGAGTAGATTAGATACTAATCAGATTCCATTCTGTATAGCTGAACAGAAATGGTAATTGCACGCAGAAAAAGAAAACAAACATTTTTGTAAGTTTCTACTACTGAGGAAGATGAAAAAGTACTATGCAAACTTCTATTTTAGGACAAATATCTCAATAACTGTTCATTTTCGCTCAGTTGAAGGTGATACATTTTTTCAACAGAATTGAACAATCAATTCAAGGAATTGAAAATAATCGAAATTTCATCAGTGGCGTAGAAATTATAGGAGGAAAAGTTTTCACAACCCCCTGTAGCGCACCTCTGGATGGAATTCTCGGAATGTCTTTCTGGTCAAAAAATGAACCATTGAAAGATGAAATCAGTGAAATCATATACCGAATTTGAATACAGTATATCCAATTTTTCTTGATATATTGCGGAAAAACTATTCTAATTTCTTAACTTCAACGCCGTGTATCTCGAGAACTGAACACTTGAAGACCATATATTATGTCCCTATCTCAGTGATTATTAAATCACGAGGGCTATCACCTGTCAAGCGTTGTCGGTCGAATTTCGCAACACCCTGTATATAGGTCAAACATATAAATACTTCTTTATGCGAGGAAATTAAACGTCACCTGTCACCAGCTCCTGGTCTAAAAGTGAGAATTGTTTTACAGGAAGGAGAAATTCAACGTAATCAAACAGCAGAAAACAATTATTAGAATTTGACGTTTTTCTGGAAATTAGTGTAATATATTCAATTACCTAGTATCGCAGAATTACCTTGATAATAATCATATTATGCTATGAGACATAGTTGGAATTGAAAGTAATGCAGAATTAAATCTGCCTTATGATATTCACCTAAGCAATTCGCCCACAATTTAGATGAATTGAGTCAATTAGCTCATTTCTCGCTATGCAACTAACAAGTTATTGTGATACATATAAAAAATAATAAGGTAGGGTTAAAGGCCAATGCCAATTATTGCTTCGTTCGAGAAATATGCTTAGCGACTGTAAGTTCAATTTTGCTTAGTAGATGCATTCTTCTTATTCCATCTGAAAATTAACAATTGGAATTTCACATACCTATTTTGTCAGACATTGATGGTACGCCACTGATTGATCTCAAAATTGAAATAATTCTAATTGGGGTTATTGAGTCATCTCAATATATACCCACTATGACGCCACTGGAAATATTATTTCGAATCTAATTGCACCATAAGAAGCCTACTTCGGAAAGTTTATATCAGAGTCTAAATAAGCCACATCAGGTACACATTGACTTCAAATATGAATGAAACTATCTAACATTCGTCTGAATGCATCAGTTTATTTTTCTAATGTTTTTCTGCCTTTTCTATCAAGGATTTCATATCATTCATTTTACTTGGTTCTTTGGGATTTTCTCTCCTCGTTTCTATAAAATAAAAGTATTCGTATTATTTCAATATATTTGTAGAGGGACAAATCAGATGATTTGCCCCAAAATGTCACTGCGTTTAACACATTTTTCTATCAGGGAGTCTAAAAGAAAAATCCAGTAGCTTGTCAGTGACAATTTGTTTGAAAAAATTTTTGAAGGAAAGAAATATAGATATATTGAAAAAATATCGAATTTGTACTTATCTTTGGACGTTTCGGGACCGATTCTGCTCCCGTTCTCAACATGTAAATGCAAATTATTTTTCTTTGAAAGTTGTGCTGCGTATAGTTTGACACTTTTCAGCGTCATACTGATGTTGGCATATGAATGAGTGATTTTAGTCTACAAATGAGTTACAGGATGTTTTCATTAATTGATCTTGAATCTACCATTTTCATGTTCAGTTTTCAGTAGTGAATACCATGTTCTATCAATATCAACTGAACAGGAAGCAATGCTATTGTCTCCGTTTAGAAGAATGCAAGCGGATTCCTTTATTTTTCTTTTTTGTTTGTTATCTTCCTTTCCTATGATTTTGATATTATTCCACTGTGCCATATGTTGTCCATCTTCAGTGAGGATATGTTCAGTTAGCTTCGATTTATCGATATGTCTTTTCTTGATATTGTACTTGTGTTCTTTTGTCCTTACTGAGAGAGGTCTCTTCGTTTCACCTGTATAATACTTTCCACAAACACAAGGTATACTATAAATACAATTTTTTGATGATTGTTCTTCATTTTTTGGCTTTGTTCGAGTTAGAATGGATCTCATTGTATTTTCAGTTTTGAACACAGTTTTCACTTGGAACTTATCACCAACACGTTTTATTTTTTCAGATATGCCGGGAATGTACGGTATTATATTCGTCGTTATTGATGGTTGTTTTTGTTGTGGTGTATTTTGTTTGTTTTCAATTTGGTGAATCGTTCTATCAATGAAGTTCCTTGGATATGAGTTGAGTTGAAGAACATCTCTGATGTGGTGGATTTCGTTATTGAAAATTTGTTGGTTAGATGATATTGATTTGGCTCGATCATGAAGTGATCTGATTATTCCTTTTTTGATAGCTTTCTGATGATTTGATTGAAAATTGAGGTATCTGTTAGTATGAGTCTTTTTACGATATACACTTGTTAAGAAAACATTGTTTGATTTTTTGATAAGAACATCTAAAAATGGTTACTGATTGTCAGATTCAATTTCCAAAGTGAACTTTATAGTAGGTTCTGCATTGTTTACATACCCTTATAGAACTAGATAATTTTCTAGATCATGTCTTCCTTTCCTTCAAAAATTTTTTCAAACAAATTGTCACTGACAAGCTACTGGATTTTTCTTTTAGACTCCCTGATAGAAAAATTTGTTAAACGCAGTGACATTTTGGGGCAAATCATCTGATTTGTCCCTCTACAAATATATTGAAATAATACGAATACTTTTATTTTATAGAAACGAGGAGAGAAAATCCCAAAGAACCAAGTAAAATGAATGTACCACCTCCTCGATTAACCTACAGACAGTATTTCATATCATCTTCCACTAACTATATACTCGTACCTGTAAGGATCTTGAAGCTCTTCTGTGACGAAATTGAGGAAATTCCATCCACCAAAAGCGAACAACCCCGAATAGCAACTTAGAGCGATTTCTGTGACTTCATAATTTCCGTCAAAAGCATTGTGAAAATTCTCGGTGTGTCCTGAAACAATTTTAGAACAATTTCTTTTATCATCTGCTACACAATTTTCATTCAATCTCATTATACGAACGTTAGGACTTTCAGAATGTTCTGACTTTCTTTTTTTTTTAATTGACGTAAAAACACAAACGATAAGAAAATTCACAAAGAGAGAGAAACTCAAAGTCATTACCACATACCAGTTCATAAAATGAACGACAATGGTAGATAACGAGAGAAAAACAACTACTTCCTGGCTATATGCCATGCACGCAGAACATTGCATTACATCCTCCCGAAATCTATATGCGATAGTTCGTATAAACGAATAAAATCGCAAGTGTTTCCTTCCTAAGAAAATTCTCAAACACACGACATGATTCGCTAACACAGTAGCTTCGTCAGGTGATATACTGGTACAATGAACTAAACTAACGTTGGCTTGCTTAACTTTTATATATCTTACTTTCCCAATCTGAAAGGATTAGTTACCTGTGGACAAGTACGATTAACCTCCATTATCGGAAATTAGGCACAATATCTACATTAAAATACGGTACACCGGATTAACTTGAAAGATTTGATAGCAAATACATATTATTACTTACTAAGAAAACAAATTCAACAGTGGTGAACTATTGAGATCTAATTGATCATTAAGTAAAATGAAAAAATTTTTGAGTTTCAGTCCTTTATTTTCTACGTGCAGAATTTCGAAATTATCATCAAAACTATGGTTTTCTTCCAATATATGGTTGGCGTATGTTAAATTTGTTTTCTTTTTCATAAAATTCATCTTATGTTCATGAATGCGCTGATTAAACGTACGACCTGTCTGACCGATATATACCTTTTAGGACAAGATCCACATTTGAGTTTGTATACCCCTGAATTTAAAAGTTTTGTCTTTATTATTCTTGATAAACCGTCCCAACGTGTTATTTGTTCTATATGCCACTTTTAAGTCCTGTTTATGTAGAAATGAAGCTAATTTCTCAGTTGATGATCCGAATAAAATTCTATAATTTTGATTATTATTCTTGATAGTAGGATAAACTTCTTGAATAGCTTTATGATGAAGTTTTTTAGAAAGAATACTGTCTATCAAATTAACGTTGTATCCGTTGTTGACTGCAATCTGTTTTATGATATTGAGTTCATCGTTGAAATTTACTTCCGAAAGAGGGACATTCACTAGCCTGTGTATCATACTATTGTATGCTGCAATTTTATGTTGATAAGGGTGTGTTGAATTATTATGAATAGTGATATCAGTGTAGGAAGGGTTATGGAAAATTGAAAAATCATGTTTATTGTTAATTTTACTTATTGTCAAATCTAAGAAATTTATTGAATTTTCAGTCTCTATTTCTATCGTGAATTTAATGTTTGGATGAATAGTATTTATATATTGATGGAAAGTGTCCAATTGTCTATTGGTTCCTTTAAAGCATACTATAACGTCATCTACGTATCTATACCAATACAAACATTGTTTTATTAATGAATGTTTATGTATTATTCGCTCCAAGTTGTCCATGAAGATTTCAGCAAGTAAAGGGCTCAGTGGATTTCCCATAATCAATTTCCAATAAAAAAAATGTTTCGCTAACACAGTAGTAGCTTCGTCAGGTCAGGTGAAATAATACTGGTACAATGAACAAGTGACTCTTCAATTTATTATTATAACCATAGGATTAGGCTAATGTTTTGATTTCGACCAAAAATGGTGATAAGTATTACTCAAATATTCAAGGTTAATATAATTCATTAGATACCCAACAGTTTTCTTATATAGGTACTTATTTTTGTTTATTATTCTATCTAGAGCCATTATTATAATAAGCCTCACAAACAAAAATACTTCAATATAATTTCAAGTTATCATCTAATTATTGGCTTATCTACTAAACAAAAGACTGTGAACCTTTGTCATGTTATACCTATAGGAATTTCTGTTATAGGTATGATAAACTCGGTGAATTACTTTTGTGAGACTATATTGACAAAAACGCTTTTCTTTTATTAAGATCACGATCGATTCACATTGAAATTTACTGTTAGACCTCTATTGATCCTCTTTCACTTCACTGGATTCATTTCACTATATTGTTGGTAGGGAGAACAAAAAACTGCATTTCCGTTACTCAGTTTGTATTACTGCTTGCAAACAAATCCCTTTCTATTCATGCTGCTGTCGGTTAAATAATCTTCATAATTCACAAAATGAGAAGAAAAAATAGGTCGAATTCCATTTTAAAATCAAAGATTCACCGAAAGTAACTTTGACAAGTAAGTATCAATCTGTCTCTGGGGACTGCTCATAGAAGTGAAAACTAAGTACTAATTGTATCGTATAGCTATTATTATTCTGGAAATAGGGATTTTTTTGTGCGCGTTTGAAAAATTCTCGGAAGTCATGCTAGCACGGAAATAGTTATTTGTTTAACTAGGCAGCAAAGTAGTAGATTGACTGCCGAGGCTGAATTCATAGCCGACCGTAACGAGGCTAGGAATCCAGCTATGGCAGTCAATCTACTTTGCTGCCGAGTTGAACATATAATTTTTTCTCCGATTGTTCATAATGATATAGGAGAATATTGTATTTGCGAATTATTACAATTCCCACAATCTCTTTATTTTTCCTGTATAGTTTCAATTAAAATAAAATTCGATAGAAATCGCAGTTGTTGGTTTGACAATTCATGAAATTTCTGACAGTTGTGCGAAAAAATATCGGTATATCTATATTATTATATAATGGACAGTGATAGCGACCTGAAAGTATACTTACACCTCCAGAAATAAGGTAGGTGGCAAAAAATATAGAGTTGAATTTGTTGCCGGAGAAGTATCGGATGAAATTTGAAGGAAATTATAAACGATTTATGGATTTTCAATTTTCCTGATACATATCAAGTGGGTAATTTGCTGATTGATATGTGTCAGCAAAATCAATATTTGCTGCCAATCGGAGAAAAAATCATTTCTGGACGAGTTATGAACGATATTTTTTATTACACTTGGAAATGAAAATATAATAATAAAATATCAAGTACATAAAAAAGACACGAAAGAAACTTGGAATATTTTTATTTTCACGGTTGTAGGAATGCAAAAATTTGGAACTACTAGATCTGGATTTTACTGGTAATAAATTCGCGGTCGCTTGTGCCGCTTGCTCTAGGATATTATGGGAATTCCTGGATTTTCTTCTGAGTTCATTTTGTCGGCATAAATTTGATTGACAGAGAATAAACAATGCTGCATTCTGGTAACGGTGGTAAGAACACAATGCAATTCCCAAATAAAACGACAAACAGATTACCTTGAAAGAGATCTAGAATTAATTTATATGTTGGGGATAGATTGGGGCTCCGAATAATTTCAAAATCATAATACTAGAGTTAAAATTCAAGAAAATTAATCAACGCATATTTGGAGCAGTGTGGATAAAGATCTCCGAGATCGAGAGGATTCATTATATCTGGGAATGGAGGTATTAAACTGTCTTACTTGAAAGAATCAAACTTGTGAATCTCACGATAGAAATGTCTATACTTTCAAAAAGCGTAGTATTTATTCAATCCAATTCAAGTTTTTGACTACTGTCATCAGTCATTCCACATCATTCCTTATAGGGAGACGGAATGAAAAGTAGCAACCGGAATCGGAGTAGTTTCAAATAAAACGACACATTGAAGTGGTTCCGGTGGCGAAATCGGATAAATAAAATGCAACTACAGTGTTTGGCATGTTTAATTTGTTTCCATGGTTATTCTCAAAGTTTTTCCGTGCGCTGTTTCCGTGCGATAGCCCGAAAAAGCCTATCTTACAATATAACTAATATAGATGAAAACGAAGAAAACAAATTCAACATACGCCTTCCATATATTAGAACAAAACCATAGTTTTGATGACAATTTCGAAATTCTACACGTAGCAAATATTGAGTGCGAATTAACGCACAGGAAAGTGCAATTTCTCACTTTGCTCAGGATAGTGATTGGCACATGTGGCATTGGATAAAATACAATGTTCCAGATGACGGTCGATATTTGCACCCGGCTCTTAGACTATAGGCATTATCAGCATTTATTCAAAAAGAACCTACCTGTAGCCAAGTGATACACCCCTGCGATAATGATGGCGACGAGAGCGAACAATTTAGCGGCAGTGAAGACGCTCTGGATCCTCATGGCCCATCTGACGCTGAGGCAATTGATCGCCGTCAACAGACCTGCAACAACGAGACAAAAGACGTCTGAGAACAATAGACGATCGCACGGCTCGTTAGGCTTCTATTCGAGCCAGAGCTGATTGTCTCCAAGGGAGCTTATTCTTGGATGCACGTTTCAGTCTGATTGAAGACTTATTGAAACGAAACTAGGTTTTGAGTGTTGCATGCTAACTATACAGAAAGGCAGTTAGATTACAGGCTCTGTAGGGACAGGGATATGATACATCAATAAGATACAGCATCATTTTTACTAAGATGCTTATGGTGTATTGTAGTCGAAGCAACCAGAAGGAATATAATTTTTTCGACATGATTGTCACACCAAAAATTCAATGAAAGAAAATTTTGATTGTCTTTATCACCCCAAGAAACATTATTGTTTATAATAGGGATATATACAACAAAACATACATATAACATTGAATTGGATGTTTAAATGACTTAATTGAAGTCAAAGTTCATCATTTAGACCAAATTTATTGTGTTCATGGCGCCCAACGTGGGGTTAAAACCTGAGATTGAGAGATGCTTATGCTCTACCGACTCAGCTATAATTGCAATGTCTTCTCAAACACTCTGATGGTCTCATATTTAGCATGACAAAACAATTCTTCTGATTTTACCGAAAATGAACCTAGATCGAGAATTTTGAATTGAACCCTATAGATAGTTTTACGTCATTCGATAGAGCGGAAAATTCTCTCGATGACATATCAAAAGTGGACATTTGTGTTAGAAATGGCGGCGCAGGAGACATTTTTTCTTAAATCAATATTGATCAACCTAATGAAATAGCAAACAAAAAAGCACTTTGATGAGTAGGTATTTGATAAAACATGCAAAAATTTTGATTAATCGCCAATATCAGGATTCCTTTAATTTATACTTCCAAATGGCATTTTTTATTCTTCATATTTAAAAGACGTCCGAGAACAATAGACGATCGCACGGCTCGATAGGCTTCTATTTGAGCCAGAGCTGATTGTCTCCAAGGGAGCTTATTCTTGGATGCACGTTTTAGTCTGATTGAAGACTTATTGAAACGAAACAGGCTCTGTTAGGGACAGGGATTTGATACATCAATAAGATACAGCATCATTTTTACTAAGATGCTTATGGTGTATTGTAGTCGAAACAACCAGAAGGAATATAATTTTTTGACATGATTGTCACACCAAAAATTCAATGAATAAAAATTTTGATTGTCTTTATCACCCAAAGAAACATTATTGTTTATAATAGGGATATATACAACAAAACATACATATAACATCGAATTGGATGTTTGAATGAGTTAATTGAAGTCAAAGTTCATCATTTAGACCAAATTTATTGTGTTCATGGCGCCCAACGTGGGGTCAAACCTGAGATTGAGAGATGCTTATGCTCTACCGACTCAGCTATAATTGCAATGTCTTCTCAAATACTCTGATGGTCCCATATTTAACGTGAAAAAACAATTCTTCTGATTTCACCGAAAATGAACCTAGATCGAGAACTTTGAATTTAACCCTATAGATATTTTTACGTCATTCGATAGAGCGAAAAATTCCCTCGATGACATATCAAAAGATTGCGGCGCAGGAGACATTTTTTCTTAAATCAATATATAGCGACACTATGATAATATAATAGATATTGATCAACCTAATGAAATAGCAAATAAAAAAGCACTGATGAGTAGGTATTTGATACATGCAAAAATTTTGATTGATCGCCAATATCAGGATTGCTTTAATTTATTCTTTCAAATGGCATTCTTTGTTCTTTATATTTGAAAGACGTCCGAGAACAATAGACGATCGCACGGCTCGATAGGCTTCTATTTGAGCCAGAGCATATTGTCTCCAAGGGAGCTCATTTTTGGATGCACGTTTCAGTCTGATTGAGGACTTATTGAAACGAAAAGATGCTTATGGTGTATTGTAGTCGGAACACCTAGAAGGGATATCATTTTTTGAACATGATTCTCCCATTCAATCAAAGAAAAGTTCATTGAATTGGATGTTTAAATGGATTAATTGAAGTCAAAGTTGATCATTTAGACCAAATGTATTGTGTTCTTGGCGCCCAACGTGGGGTCAGAAACTAAGCTTGAGAGATTCTTATGATCTACCAACTGAGCTATTATTGCAATGTCTTCTCAAACCTAGAGAGATGTGGGACATCAACAAGATATGCAGCATTATTTTTAATAATATGCGTTTCTAGTTGTATTGTTGTAGAAACACGTAGGTGGGGGTGGGGATATCAATATTTTGGACAAAATTGAATGAAATGAAATTTTATTGAATAGGATGTTCGATTAACATCATCCGAAGTCCAAGTTCATCATCAAACCAAATTTATTGTGTTTATGGCGCCCAACGTGGGGCCCAAATCAAAGATTTAGAGTCTCCCTTGATGTGTTATTCCTTACACTGATGGTGAATGAAACTTCCATTCTATCAACTTATATTTGAGCTATAAATCCTCGTTTACTCACATAGACACACAGCAGCCAACAGCCTGATGGCGTTCTCTGGCGGTCGGCATTCGGGAAAGAACGGTTTGGCCGCGTATTCCGCGAAGGTGATGGCCACAATGGCCTGAGTGGTCGGCCGGATGATCAGAAGAGAGATCCACAGCATCAGAAAGGCGCCCAAAGGGCCGAAAGCCACGTATATGTAGGCAAAGTCGCCGCCAGATCGAGTCACTGCCGTGCCCAATTCTGCAAAAAAAATATCACACGAAAATATTCATAAAATGTTCCTCAGGGACATTGGAGCCTTATCTTTCAATTCCATATGTTTTTAGATTTTTTCGGTCGATTTTAAAGTGCTAATATTATCAATAATGCCACGGTAATTTCCAAACGGCTAGAAATAGGCGAGTGTACTGATTTTTTTATTTCTCAAATAGAATCATCACTCAAATACCTTTCAATTCCACTTTTTTTTAATTTTTTGGTCGATTTTTAGGTGCTAAAATTATCAATAATGTCACGGTTATTTTCAAAACGGATATAAATTTACCGCCATAAATACTGTAAGTAGGGGTAGACCATAGCACAGTTGCCATATGTTGAAATACGATCGGGAACTTCGGAAATATCATTTATTCACTAATGAATGAATTCTCAATTGAGTATTGGTAATTCTCCTAATTCGCAATAAAAATTCAATTGTCTCAGAATGTTCCCTGATGATTTGTGGTATTTGAATCGGTGAACGTGACAGCACCACGGCGCACGACTCGTGACCGTGGTCTTGTCAGTTCGCAGCATTCAGCACAATGTTGCCAAGTCTCCAACATTCATATGATATTTTGTTATGGAGAATAAGAAATATTTGGACATGCTGGTTGCTCGAAAAGGAGGAACTTATGTTTTATTCAACGACAGGACTCTAACATCTTTTTTATAACTGATTGAGATAATGTTTTATGATTATTCAGTGCTACTGGATTGTGAAAAAAGATCAAAGGGTAATTTTCTCACAATAAAATAAGGAAAATCCGTATAATCTGTTCTCCAGAGACCCTCGGTATCAACGTTTTCCGAACAAAATGGTTATAAGATATGAGTTTTTTTATAATATGTTGAAAATGTTGGATTTTTTCAAACACCCTGCTTTAAGAGAAATATGGGTCACTTTAAATAGTAGTAGTTCACCTAACAAGTGTGAAAATTCACTTTAGGCACGTGGTAGGTACACTATAGTTTTTTTTCGAGGTTTTTTTACTATAGCGCACGGAAAAAACCCAAATTCCTCTTTTCCGCACGCTAGTAGAAAAATAAATTATGAGAGAATTGTTTTCTTTTTTTTTTTCCAAACGGAATCTACCCTCGATATTTATCACACAATATTAAATTTCCAATCTAGAAAAACTACATAAAATGCGTATGTTCATACAGGGTAATTTTGAAAACTACAAAACGACAGTTTCAACGGAAAAATTGAAATATTCTGAAAATCTTCGAAATTAAGAATCATTCATAGCAGTTGAAATGGTAACAATAAACACATTATTCTTATTTTATTTACGCCAAACAATGAGTAATATCGCACCTGATACTTTATGTATTCTAACGCAAATGAAAACATGTCATTCGATATTCTAACGAAATAAAGATAAGACGCTAGAGCGATATTTTTCAAGGTCGTAGACTTTAATAATCCAAGGGGGTGACAGCAAAAGTAAAATCTCCATAGAAATACGTATACCTACGATTAAAAATACCTACGTAAAATTATCAAAACTGAATCACTCTGTAGGTATCTATATAGATTTGTCAAAGTTGATGGTCATACAGTGCGTCCGGAAATTATGCGCAAATAATCAAGAGGGTGATTCTGCATGAGAAAACATGAACTTAATTCCATATATACGTGGGTCTGGAAATGCATAGTTTTCAAAATACAGTGTGTTAAACTTAAAAAAAACGGTTTTTCATGAATATCTCAAATATCCATCCACTGCTCTTGAAATTTGGCGATGATATTCTTTGTCATAAAATGCTGATTGAGCCATAATTGAATTGGAATCGTGAAATCCAGTGGCGTCCCAGGGGCACACTTGCCAATATTATTGTGAATAAAATGTGCGCCAATAGTTTTTTGAAATTTTATGTCTTCATATCCTATTGAACCACTAAAAATACAGCATTTTGGTTTCTTGAACTGTTTTGATATTCTGCTTCGTTTCCGTGGAAAAAAATAAATACCAATTTATTGTATACATTTGTGCTAAACATTCCTTCAAGAGCAGGATTGAAAATAAATGTGCGATCCATGTCCATAAACATAGAATAAGAATGAAGATTCATTATCCTATGTTATATTTCATGTTTGACACACTTTGTATCATTGCAAACTACGCCTTCCTGGACCAAGAATACATAGTTCTCAATATACCGAATAATATACAGAGTGTAAACTGTAAAGTGTGTTAAACATGTATCATAAAATATTTGAAGAAAATGACTCTTCATTGTTATTCTATGTCTATGGACATGGATCACGCATTTATTTTCACCCCAGTCTCGACCCCAGTCATTGAAGGATTTTTTTGGCACAAATTTATGCAATAAGTTGGTATTTATTTTTTTCCATGGAAAATACGCAAAATATCGAAACAATTCAGGAGATCAAAATGTTGTATTTTCAGTTGGTCAATCGGTTTTGAAGATTCAGAATTCAAAAAAATCAGTGGCGCACATTTTATTGACAATAATATTCGGTAGGTTGTCCCTAGGACGCCACTGGATTCCATAATTCCAATTGTATTATGGGTATATCAGCCCCTCATGACAAAAACTAGCACTGCCAAATTTCAAGAAAATCGGTGGAAGGACATTTGAGATATTCATAAAAAACCGACTTTTTTTCTAAAGTTTAACACACTCCCAGATAGCACAAATTCCTTTTGAGGCCCTTCTGAGGCGTTCACAATAATGTCCTCAGGACGTCGAGAGCGAGCCAGAGGACATTCTTAAGACGTCCTCCTGTTACCATTCTCTACATACAAATAACGTCTCAGAACATCCCTATAAAATCTTTTGAGACAACCTCAGGACATCATAGTAACAACTTGAGGCGGTTCTTGATAATGTTTCAAGGAGGTTCAAGATTTATGGGAGAATATTATTCGTATACAGAATGAGTCACTAGTGTGTTCTCCTCCGATATTAGCCAAACCGTCAGATATATAAAATGAAAATTCAAGTACAACAGTAATAGGGTTTCATAATAACAATCACCTAAAGTTGTTTTCATATCTATAGGGTGTTCGAATTCCAAGATATCGGTTGATGATTGTTTTTTTTCAATGGAACACCTTGTATATTATTACATTTTTGAGTTTTCCCTGAAGAGTTGATTTCATCAATGCATCACACTTGGTGTCTAGTGGGAATTATTACAGAGATATAGGGTGTTGACAATCGAGATTCTTCAAATGTAGGATTTTTTGTGTCGAAACTATTCATTAATGGTCAAAACGGCTCACATGCCCCTGTCTCAACTTTTGATTAGCTAGGTATCTACTGATGTTTATTTGGAACAGATACAATTAATAATAGCTGATCAGTATTCTGAATGTTGAACCACCCTCTTTGTTCCGATTGAATGTCATTGGATAGTAAATCAAAAGTTCATAAGGAAATGTGAGCCGTTTTGACCAATATTGAATAGTTTCCACAAAAAAAATCCTAAAATTGAAAAATCTTGTTTTTGAACACCCTATATCTCTGTAATCATTCCCGCTAGACCCCAAGTGTGATACATTGATGAAATCAGCTCTTTAGGGAGAACCTAAAAATGCAATAGTATACAGGGTGACCCATTTGGAAAAAAAAACAATCATCAGTCAATATCTGTATGTTGAAAACCATGCATTTCCGTATATGTGCGATGGAAAACAAAATTGACATATAAACATCATGCATACCTACATTTATTGCCTACATGCGCAATAGAGCCACTATACAGGGTGATCCATTATTCTTATTCGAAAAAAATAAAGATATATAGTAAAGAAAATTGAATCACTCTGTATAACAAACACATTTTTGACGGCAAAACTTACCGGCATAGCAGAGCGCTCCCAAAGTGGAAAACAACCCCGACAGACACCAAATGACGATCGACAACCCCACGGACTTGGTGCCCGAATACACCCCCGTGGGAGACACGAAGATGCCGCTGCCGATGATTGTCCCCACGATGATGGCCACCCCATTAGACAGGGTGATTTTCCGTTGCAGCCGCACCGAGTTTTCTCCCTGCTTCGCATGGCCGTTTTCCTTTTTGTCTCCCCTGATGTCGGTCTTCGACCCCATGTTAATTTATTTCAGGGGTTGGTGATTTTTGAATGGTTTAGGGGTGGACAGAGCACATTTTTTGTGTTATTGCGTCATGCTGTATTCGCACGTGGGGAGCGAGATTCACGCGAGATTCAGCGAAGTCTCGTCCACTGGCACATTCACATTGCTATCACGTTTCACCGAACGGAAGTACGTCTTTATACTTATATTATGTATGTAGGTAATTGGCGCGGTTCTTTTTTGCCATGCGCGAAGTTTACAGTTCGCGCGCATTCTTTTTTAGCCATGGGCGGAGATTGATGCTGGCCTTAGGGCAACGTTTTTATTTTCTTTGCTCTCATGGATACCCTGGAAAGTTTGACGTGAGTGCCTTGATGGATGCGACGTAATGTTGAAATACAAAAACGTTAAATCTTGCTTTCTCCTATCAGTATCGGCTTCTACTATCATGGAAATTTTCCTAGTATAGGCACTCAATTCCAATAATTCCTTCCTTCTGCCTTCAACATAAGGTGAATTGAATTTTACAAGCACCTGACTTGGAAAATATTCACGATAGCATATAAAGATGTGAGACTGAGTATGTAGTTCTCGGGGGCCTCTTCAAAAGATACGTTTTTTCGTAAATATCCAAAAGAGACGTACGTATTTTCTTAGATATTTATTGGCTCATATATTTGTAATCTTAATAAAAAATAATGAGAAAAAGTATCTATATATATATCTGTTTGAGTCTATAAAAGTCGGCTATAAATATGGATTAATCTATACTCGCTATAGTCATCGAACTATTTAATCAAATGAATCAATCAAAAAACTTTTGATGATTTCTCCGTTGTTTGTGTTATTTCTTGAGAAAATAACTCATTATCTCGCCTACTTATTCACATCTTGGTTGCGAGTAAGTGAATTTTGACCTGGAATGTAATTCTATTAAGACCGAGATTAAGACGTGAATTTTCTTATGTTTTAAACATATTATTATTGTATTGTATATTGTCACGAGTGGCTCTAACGCCCACTATCGCAACTCGAACTAACTCGCTTGCAAGAGGTTTTTTTGGGAATGATAACAAAATAATTTAACTCCACTTCACAAGTTTATTCATTTTGAATAAAAACAATTAGGGCATGAAATAAATTGACCAATAATTATCCAGCAAGATACATCCAACTCAAATCGAAACAAAACAGGAAAACTAAAACTAGTAATACTCAGAAAAGGTACTTACAGAAGGGCTCGCTTTTCATTAGAGGATTGGAACTGCCACTCACAAAGTTTAGACAAGATGCAAATAAGTTTGAGATTTACTTCTATTAGAAGATTTGAAAAGACTTTACGGTCCACTGTCCGAACCACAACTGCCGGTTTTTTCTCTAATACTTTTTCATCTTGGTTTTGGTAGTGGTAATTGATTCAGCATAAAACCTAGTGTATTCACCCCGATTAGGAAAAATCCAAAACCAGCAGTTTCTGACCTCAGCGACTTTACTTGAATAATAATAAAATTGAAATCCGAACTATAATTTCCTTTGAATATCGTAATTCTCTACTGATATCCTGTAAGCTAAATAATTCTAAGAATATGATCTAGACTAGGTTATTGTACTGTTCTTGAATGAAATGAGAATTTCAAATATTCTCAATAAAATTATAGTTTTTATCCATTCTTGACAATATATGTATTCGAACGGCTCAGATACGTCTATAAGAAGTGTAATACTTTCTGAAATGTAAAGAAGACATGAATAGCAGGAACTATAATGAAGACTTCTGTTGACCATTTTCCCTCTTATTTATACATAACGAAGTGTGAAAATCAAAAGAAATAAATGACTGCCTGTAAATAATCTTCTGACTTGAAGGAAAAAAAATGGAAAAATTACTGGAAAACAGTTTGGAACTTGGTGAATGTAGAGAATTTGTTGAAATTAAAAGAGGATTTGTTGGAATTCAAAGAACATTTTTTGAGTTCAAAGAATTCCGAATTTGAAAAGGAAAAAGTTTGATATCATAGAGGTATCTGATTCCGAGCAATTGAAGGTTTGAATTCAGAAGAATTAATATAATATTTTTTTTATGTCTTGGTTCCCACAGCGTACATACAGTCTAGTGTATATGTACGCTGGTTCCCACGAAATGGAATATCCTGTAATGTTCAGACAACATCGTGAGAACCAAGGGAAATGAGGTAGGAATTGGTGTTATTCTTAAATTTCTGGAGGTTTTATGCTTCAGGGAACACCTCCCTTGGCAATGTGTTCCAGAGCCTCGCTGGTCGTGAACGAATCTTTGGAAAAAGATGTTCTGTAGGTCTCCAAAGTGACCACGAAGGGGTGCTAGGCCTCAACTCGACGGGTTCATCTCGCGGGGACTGCCAAGGGAGGAACAATTTTGTTGATATTTCAGAAGAGCATCGTCCATGAAAATATCTATAAAATAGAGCCAGATCGTCAGATCGACAACTTTTTACGTTGTTCTAGAGAAGTGAGTCCAACAGTTTTAGGGTATGTTTGGGTGCTGCACTCCAAATATGGGAGCAGTATTCCAGGACAGGTCGGATCTGTGCCTTATATAGATTATATAAGCAGTTGACTGGAAGTGAAATAGCTCCTGGCCCGAAACAGGAAACCAAGTTTTTGGGATGCACTTTGAGCAATTGATCTCACGTGATTTCCCCAAGAAAGGTTATTATTGCTGATAGTAATACAAAGCATCGAAATGGATGCCTTCAAAGGTATGGTTACTCCTGACAAGCTTATGTATATATAATCTTGGTTCATCAAGGAAGAATTTGGATCCAAAGAATTGAGTCCTGAACAAATGAATTACGAAAAAATGTCGCTTGCCTAAGTCTCTTCGAAAAAAGCACAAATTTTTCAATTTTCAAATAGGTACATTTTATATATATATTGTCTCTTTTGTCATCATAGCCTATTGTTGATGTTGATTTAATTGCCACATGAATGATGAAAGTATCAAAAATGAAACCTCAAAAACCATATATGAAATACTTATATTTCGAGAAAATTATTAAATCTCTTAGACGTTCGACTAATTGGTTCGAAGGGACAAGGATATTATTCATTGAAACTGTAATTAAATCAGTACCTATTTCCAGACAGCACAGAATATTATATGAATTTTCTGACAACGTTCGAATATACTTATTTTAGAATATTCTTATAGAATGTTCTCAGAATGATCATAGAATATTCTCATCATGCAGCGGATATTCTATGAACATTCAATTTGACATATTCCCAGAATATTATTTTTGAATATACTGAGAATAATCAGAATCGTATCAAAATAAAATGATGTTTCTATTCTTGTATCTATCAATATTTATAATATTTACCCTACCCAGCGAGTACAAAAACATCTCAGAGATGTTAAAAGTACGAGATTTCGAGACATTGAACCTCCACTGCGATGTTCTGTTCACACATGAATAGAACTATTATAGAACAGCCAATGTCCGCCGCAGGCGGCAATTATCGATATGTCCATGATATGTCACAAAACTACCTTCTCCCTAGTTCTTTTTAAAGCCTTTTCATGGACACAACAAAACATTTTCAACGCGTCTTGCGCACATTAAATCTCTGTAAAAAAACCATTTTCGAGGTACTTTTCTGAAGCCTTTTGTCAAAATGAACTTTTACATTAGGATTCCATTTCCCTTGAATGAAAAAATGCATTAAAAATAGATTGAACATAAAAATATTTTCTTGATATGAAATTACCTTCTTAATCGGTTTCTGGAGTAGTGCTTACTACACACACAGACATATAATTGGAAATAGGTTTCCCAATTTTTGAAATGTTCTCCACAATGCATAATTTTGCAACTGCGGAGAAGCTGATGTGTATTGATGAATTCGTACTTTTATAATATATTGATTACACTGAGACACCGAACAACACATCTTGCATCTGATAGTCATTATTACAAACTAAATAAGTCTTCTAACACAATAAACTTCACCAAATTTCTTTCTGTTCGTTAGCAGCGTGATGTAAGCGTGACACGCTGCAAACGCGAATGCCAATTGCGAACAAGAAGAACAAAATCGAAAACAAATCAGAATGCATCGTATTGTGACGTAAGCATGAGACGTTGTGGTGGGGCAAACAAAGAAAGGGCACAAAAGAACAAAAACAATACTTTCAATATCCTTCTAAGACCTCTTTGGGAAGTGCATATTACGCCTCAAAAAAACATCCTCATGCCTACATTTCTAAAACATCCCAAAATATCCCAGGGATACCTCCCATCAGTAGGCAAACAAAGAAATGCCACAGAAGAACAAAAACAAAAACAAAGACCTCTTTGGTCAGTGCATATTACGTCTCAAAATAACATCTTCATGCCAACATTTTCAAAACATCCCAGGGATGTTTATTGTGCTCGCTGGGAAGATCATAGGTTCGCACCTCCACCGGACCAAGCTTTCTTTAATTTCCTTCCTTCTCCTTCAATATATGTAGTAGGAATATTCTCAGAATATTTTAAACAGTCCAGTTCATAAAATATCCCTAGAATATTTGTATTATATTTTGAGGATATTCTGAGAATATTAGATTAATCTCGAAGAATATCCTATGAACGTTCTATGAATGACATTGTGCTATCTGGGTTACTTTGGTATCCGAATTTCAAATGCATTGTAAGATGCGCCTGGCCATCAGTTTATCTACTGAAATAAAATAGTGACTGACTGAACCTACCCACGAAAGATAAAAACCGACTCCGCGGGAGACTTGAAAGATCTGAAAATAAAACAGTATTCAGATGTCCCCAGATTGTGTAAGTTCGGTTTTTCACAATCATTTTTGGTGATTGCATTTCACACATCGTAGACATAAAGTGACCAAGTTGACCAACAGAGTTGAAAAGTCTAGGTGAGGTATATTAAAAATATTTTAAGTTCCTTTAGACGAACATTTATCATTGAAACAATGAAAACATCTGATGATAATAAAATCACATAGTTAATCATGTTTTCATGAGTCAGACAATATGTTCTGTTTTTAACTGAATCCCCCTAGAATCAACTTTCCTGTTTTCCTTTATAATTTTCCATAGTTGACATTCCTTTTATTTCATGTATGTACAAAAACAGCAAAGCCGTTTTTTAGATTTCTGAAAAATTACCTTACAAGTTTAGCTAACATGAGAACAACCATCTTGTTTTTGACTGTTATCCAACATGATTTCTATTTTTACACGCACTTTTTCAATGGTATAAGTGACAATTCTGTCTCTCTAATTAGCAGAAAATGGAGACAAAGTTTGGGGAGAATATGCGAGACAGGACGCGAAGGCCTATCAGGAATAAACGATTCAGCAGGTTAAACAAAGTTGAAAAACATGCATGGTTTTCGTTTTCTTGTACCTACCTAATTGGTTCAAGTTTTGCACTAAATCTTATGTGAACAAATAATTATCTACTAATTTGTGTGTTCTTGTATTGGTTTAACTGCTGCTACAAGTTTTTTTTACGTAATTACATATGCCTAATGATATATGTATAGTTGCATGTTTCCTCATTCTATAACTATTTACAGACATTTTGTTTAGTTGTATGAAAGCACTATTTATATAGAAACAAAAGATTATAACCTACCTATACCTATCGCTTAATTTATGATTTTTTAACTCTATACTTATTTATATTTTTGAAAATGTAATTCCATTGCAGGGAGGGCCAAATGGACACTTTTAAATTATTATTGGACCACTCAATGCTTCGGATTTTTTTCTCATGGGAACAAAGAATGTTCGAAGAAAAACTGAACATTTTTGATTCTTATTTTCAATTATGATGGCATTGCCGTTGAGTCAACGTTGAGTTACGAAGTCGCATGGTTGTGTTTTGAATAAGTTTAAGGTTCTATAATCCATCACATAATCAATATATTTGACATTCATCTGAATATATTCCCAAATAGTTGCTTGCTCAATCCTGTGATGGATGTACAGGAAAGCTCTACAAAACAAAAAGATTGATGTGAATAAGGAATTAGGTACATAATTTCTTCTTGACTTACTTGGAGTTGAAAAAATGTGATGCTACTGTTGTGGAATTGTTGTCAATGCCCATGCATGGTCGAAAAATCGAGTTTATATAAATGAAAAACGGGTTCTCAAGGCACGGGGCCAGTTTTCCATTTATAAACTCGATTTTTCGACTATGGGCATTGACAAAACAATTCCACAACTATAGTAGCATCACATTTTTTCGACTGCAAGTAAGTCAAGAACAAATTATGTAGTTCTTTCAATCTTTTTGTATTGTAGAACCTTCAATTAGGCTGAAAATGGTCTTTTATAAGATTGAAACATGTCCCTTATGATTGTGTAACAACACCATTCAAATTTGTGGAGATGACTCCGAGCATTCCTTCCTTACATTGTTGAATATTCACGATGAATTGAGGTAAATCGGACAGATACTGTGTCCACAAACATTTTTGTCACATAAAATAACAAATAAATATATATATACAAGGAAAAAAGTAGTAGATTTTTGCTCGAGGTTGTGTGTAATATTTTTCCCATGTATAATGCACTATTTTTTTCTGTGACATTATACCAAAATCATTAAATTATCGACGTGAAATTTCAAGTTTTCAACAGGAATGACACCTGCGTTGGAGGCATCTTTTTGCATTCTTTTGAAGTAATAAAATATCTGGCAGAGTGGTTTTTTAGTAATTTACATAACCGCGAAGTCGAATGGAAGATATAAGGACTTTCTCGGAGACGGTGTTATTGGCTTTTTTTCGGCTCTATAGCACAACAAAAGCCATCAACAGTGTGTATACAAAGAAGTGCACAAAAAACGACCAGGATTGTAACTTTTGAATTATTCGAGATATGGTTTTGAAAATTGGTGAGCAGCTAGTATACCAAATAATTGCCCATTAATTATTGACGAAACAATTTTTGTTCCATCACTTCCAGTTTTACTGGAAACGACCCCAACTTTTGATTTCTAAATGGGACACCCTGTATTGTATTTCATAATCGCTTAGGGATTATCATGACGAATTCAACGATACCGGGTTTGATAGGGTTATATCAAACGATTACGCAGATATTCGCGATCTGAGTTTCCATATGCTCAACGAGTGTGACAGAGAAAGAAGTTTTGATATTGCGAAGTCGCACGCATTGATCATCTGGAAACTTGGAACGCAAATATCTTTGTAATCGTTTGAATTAATCCTATCAAACCCGGTATCGTTGAATTCGTCATGATTATAATCCCTAATAACCGATTATGGAATACAATACAGGGTGTCCCATTTAAAAATTAAAAGTTGGGGTCGTTTGCGGTGAAACTGGTAGTGATAGAAGACACATTGGTTCATCAATTAATGAGCAATTCGATATATTTGCTGCCCACCAATTTTCAAAACCTTATCTAGAATAATTCAAAAGTTACAATCCTGGCCGTTTTTTGTGCAGTTCTCTGTTTATGAGCTATATATCCGAAAAAAAAGACTCACTTTTTTCTCGTGGGAAGAAAGTACTAACTTTTTCCCGTGCGAAAAAAGTAATTTATTTAAAGTGACATTCTATAACCTGTCAACAGAGATGAAATTTCTAACTTTTTCCCTTCACAGAAAAATAGTTATTTACTATACAAGGGAAAAAGGTAGTAGATTTTAGCTCCAGGTTGTGTTGTCTCCCGACGCGTAGCGGAGGGAGACAAAAAACCATGAGCTGAAATCTAATATTTTTCCCGTGTACCTATATATAATACACTATTTTTTTCTGTGACAGAAGAAATATTGAGAAGATATTTCATTATTTTGAAATCTGAAAATTATCGACGTAAAATTTTAAGTTTTTAACAGTAGAGACAACTGCGGTGTAGGCATCTTTATCATTCTTTTGATGTCATCAAATATCTGCATGATGTCACTTCTGTCAGTCTAAATCTCTGATTTGATTTCAAAAAATTGCGAATTTAGTGGTTGTTCAGTAATATACGTAACCACGAAGTCGAATGGAAGATAAAAGGACTTGCTGTTCTTTCTCGGAGACGGTATTATTGACTCATTTTTCGGAACTCTAGCACAACAAAAGCCATCAACAGTGTATATATATGTGAAATATATTCGGGAAAAATAAAGTTCTCACTTTTTTCCCACGGGAAAAAAGTAATTTATGAAAAGTGACATTTTATAACCTGCCAACAGAGATGAAATGCCAAACTTTTTTCCCGTCACAGAAAAAACAATATTTTTGTGTTATTCTAAAAAATAAAGGATATATATTCCTACCCTCGAGTATTAAGACTAACCGAATGATGAACATTGAATCTCAAATCATTTCCAAAAGTAATTTATAAAACTTCAAAGATTTTATTTTTCAGTAGGAGGACCTATGGAGAAGACCGAAGACCACCGAAGAGGTTATTCACTCCCGAAATCAAGAGGTTTTTGAAAGACTGGCTGGTGAGAAGGAGGGAGAACCCTTATCCGAATAGAGATGAGAAGAAAATACTAGCTGTTCAAACTGGCCTAACCTATATTCAGGTAAATACTCATCTATAAATCTATACAGTCGAACCGTTGATTTTTTTTTTCGTAATTGTACTTTTACGCTTTAGAAATGCTATACTAATTCCATTTATATTTAGTCTAACAAAGATTCGCAGTAAATTGTAATCGATTGTTCAAATTATTGGATGTTCCCGGATGTTCCTACTTCCATTTGAAATGGTTCATTGAAATTAACTTAATACCTTTATTGGTTTCTGAAATAACAAGTGTTAAAGACCTCTGTAATCAAAAGAAGTTCGGGACAGTCTTAAGGGACTGTCGATCGAAGTGAAAACTGAGAAGGTAACTTGTCAATTGTATCGTTGAGCTATTATACATATATATAGATTATTATTTTTATACTTTCTCTTGAGTTCACTTGAATCTCCCAATTTTGATGATGGAATCATAATCTCCGATCCCGAAAACCCTCAGATACAAATTTTGAATAGAATCGGATCATAATTACCTACGAAGCTCGTCCGCCATATTGGTTCCGCCATCTTGAATTTTTCAATTTTGACGAAATAATCGTAATTTTAGACCCCGTAAATTCCCACATACCAATTTTGAATAGAGTGGGATCATAATTACAAAACTCGTCCGCCATATTGGTTCCGCCATCTTGAATGTTCCAATTTTGACCAAATAATCATAATTTCCGATCGCGAAAACCCCCACATACCAAGTTTTGAATAGAGTGGGATCATAATTACAAAACTCGTCCGCCATATATATTATTGGTTCCGCCATCTTGAATTTCACAAGTTTGACAAAGAAAATTATAACTTCCGACCCCGAAAACGGCCACATATCAATTTTGAATAGAGGCGGATTATAATTATTACAAAACTCGTCCGCCATATTATATTGGTTTCGCCATCTTGAATTTTCCAAGTTTGACGAAAAATACATAACCTCTGACCCCGAAAACGACCACATACCAATTTTAAATAGAGTCGGATCATAATTACAAAACTCGTCCGCCAGATTGGTTCTCCCACCTTGAATTTTCCAATTTTGAATGAAGAATCATAATCTCCGACCCCGATTTTGAATAGAGTTGAATTACACAATTCGTCCGCCATATATTGGTCCTGCTATATTGAGTTTTCCAATGTTGCCGAAAGAATCATAATTTCCGACCCCGAAAACCCCTATTCACCAATTTTGAATCGTCGCGGATCATAATTAAAAAATAGTCCGCCATATTGGTTCCGCCATCTTGAATTTTTCAATTTTGACGGAAGAATTATAATCTCCGACCTCGAAAACCCCCACATACCAATTTTGAATAGTATCGGATTAAAATCATAAAACTCGTCCACCATATATATCGGATCCGCCATCTTGAATTCCCTAATTTTCACGAAGGAATCATAATCTCCAACCCCGAAAACTCCCAGATGCCAATCTTGAATACAAGCGGATCATAATTATACAAACAGAGAGTATATATGTATAGCTCATCTCATGGAAAGCGAAATCCGCAATATGTTTTCACTCACAAAAAGAAGTGCTGAACGCGCCTAAATAATAAGTTTTTAGTTCCAAATCATTCGCAGGTCTGCAATTGGTTCGCGAACTGGCGAAGAAAACTGAAGAACGCCGGCAAACAGCCCTACCAGAAAACATGGGGCGACCTGATAAAGACCTACAACAAACAGGTGCAGGGTAATGTCGAACACTTCAGCATCTGCTCAGAAGACAGCATCTGGGAGGAAACCGAAACCAACTACAATTATTACGAAGAGGAAGTTTACGAACGCGCCTCAGCAACTTTAAAGTTCCAAGAGCGCACTGGCGAATACCACCACGAACCCTTCCAGAACAACAACAACAATAACTTCGGTTCTAACGAGACCCAGAACCAATGCTATTTCGTCAGTTCGACTACTGAGAGTGAGGTGGACAACAATCCGTTCGCCCAATGCTCTAATAAATACAAAAACCACATAATGGATAAGTACTTAAGGTAAGCGTGGTAACTGGAACCAGAGTTAACGCGAAGCCATACCATATACGTATTTTAATCGAGCGTTAAACGGTTATTCTGATTTTTCGCTGAAGTCAACAGCATATATTTCATACTGAAAAAAATACAATTCAACTGAACAACTGTCAACTGACAATATACTTTTATTGTAAAATAACTTACATGTCTAATGTGATATTACTAAAATTTTCCGCAAGATGGCGATATGTACCTACCATTCAGCCCTTCAACAGCATTGATAGTGAAAGGATATTAGCCAATCCAATGACTTGTTATACGACGCTATACATAGTGGAGTATACTATACGGCCTTGCCAAAAATGCTATCTCGGAAACTAAGCGAGATAGAGGTATAGTTACTTTGGAGAAAATGATCCCCATCGAATTTTGAGCAACTTTGGTTTTTGTGTGTGTGTGGTCTGTCTGTCTGTCTGTCTGTACTCTGTGTTAATCATAAATCGATATATCTCCGGAACCCTTTGACATATCGACTTGAAATTTTGCCATCTTATTGTACTCAAAACAATATTATGTCATTAAAATATGAAGGAAATCGGAAAACTCTAAGGTGGTTTTTCCGGGTTTTTTCGATTTTTCACCAAAAGTTTCTTGCGACCACTCTACAAATCGCAAAAGTGGTTTGATCGATTTAATTTTTTGTGAAAAAACCTCTTTCAGGGAGAGACGAAGCCTATTTAAATTGAGCAGGGTCGGGAAATTCCAAGTGGGTTTTTCAAGGAGATTTTCCGAAAAACACGGTTCACTTCAAAACGACATATCTCCTGAACCAAAATAGACTAAATCCAAATTTGAAAAATGCACCGTATGCCTCTTTGATGACGCAACAAATTATTATTTAACCATTTTTTCGTGCATCCATCGGAAAATGGAAAAACAAATGAAAATCAGAACATCAAAATTTGAAATCCTTTCAATTCAATATATATCGAAAACAAATGAAAAAATCGAAAATTATCAGAAGTGCAAAGTTATCCACTGGAACATTTCCTACAAATTATTTCCCATAATTCTTTCTGTAAACCCAATAATAGAGGAAATAAAGTGAAAAATATGAAAAATAATTTTAACGACCCATAGGGTACTTTGAAGATATATTGAAAAACAAAGATTATCGATAGATGAAGCTCATCGACTTCCACTGAACCATGAAATATTTTTTCATTTTGTTGATTGAAAGATGGAACAAAAGTGTTGAAAATGTTATTCTCAGATCTCGAAAACAACTGAAAATATCTGAAAATGTTATAGAACCAAAATTATTCTTTTTGATAGAATCTACAAAAAATCCATGTAACATTTTTCACTGAATTCAATAGTTCGGGAGATACGATGAAAAAACTAAAAATTTACAAGTTCCTGAATAATCACTTGCCAATACAAAACAAAACAAAAAAACAGAAGAAAGTAAAAAAAGCACACTCGAGTGTCTTGATTTTTTTCTCATAAACTACGTACCTAGCTCACTCGACTGTGTGGAAAAACCAAGACAGTCAAGTGGGCTAAGTACGTAGTTTGTGGGAAAAATCTCCAGTTCTCCGAACTTTCACAGCGTCGTATACACATCCTTGGTGCCCAATGATATAGTTTCAATATAATAATATACTCATGATATGGTGCCATGGCCTCTACTTCCATCTTACATGAGCAATGATAAAATATAATCTGCTTTTATAGCGTCGCATAAATTATATCTGACCTCTAAATAAACTAATACCTTATGAAAACTACATCTATACTAATCTGATAACTTTTAAAAACTACGTACCCACTTGTTAAACTGTGCGCTGGTTGGCACACGCAGTGAAATCATTTATTTGTGATATATCGTTTTTATACGAGAATTGAGCTCTTTCCTACCATGAACGCGAGAAATATAGGAGAGTTCTCATATCGTCTATCTTTCTCTTCAATGCTACCAACGTGGCCGTCCGATAAATCTTTCCTTGTCTAAAATCTAGTTTGTGCTACTGAACTATATATGGTTATATGTTTCTGATTCATCGTAAAAGATAATCTATCTTTTAAAACATATATATATATATAGTTCGAAGATATAAAGATATATGTCATTTCTGTTTTTTTCCCACAGGATTTGCAATAAGTGCTATCCTCCCCGAATCTTTTTCTAGGCTTCTCTTGATGCTCAGGACAATCGCCCCCCCCCCCCCCCCCCCATCTCACCCATGCATTATTGTGGCGATTCTGTGACGTTTTTGTGACCTTTTCGACGTTTTGACAATTGCATGACGTTTCTGTGACGATTTTGTAACTTTTTTATTGTATTGTTGACGCATTGATGAATTGTTGACGTTTCTGTGACAAGTCTGAGACATTTTTGTGGCGTTTTGACAGAAACGTAACAGACAGAAAGTTAGGAAAACGTCACAGAAACGTCACGCATTTGTCAAAGCGTTAAAAACGCCACATAATCGTCATTGTCATTGTCACAACGCCACAGCATCGTCACAGAAACGTCACGAATTTGTCAAATCGTCAAAAAAGTCACAGAATATGGTTTTCTAGTTAAGAATAATGCTTGGGTGAGATAGGGGTAGATTGAGGCCGTGGTGAACTATCAAGTTCCTCTTGGAAATTGAAATTATCAGTGACACAAGTGTGAACTTTTCTTCTTTTGTTTGAAGGGATTGCCGAAAATCCGGATGCGGCGGCCTGGACAACCTGGAAGAGAGCAAGCCTTCGATGATCTCCAAATGGTTAGAAAGCGCCGCCAACTTCAAACCGAGCGAAAGCAGTTATCTGGACTGGACGTTCCAGAAGTCTTCGAAGAAGAAAATGAAGAAATCTCCTTCTGGAGAAACTTCAGACGGTTTGTTGGTAGTCCATGGAAGGGAAGAGCTGGATGCCGCTGAGGCTCTGACGACGTTGGCGAACGCCAAGTATAAGGTCTAGTTCGGATTCCGTGGTTGTTTCTGATATAATTTTCAGTTACTTGATTCTAGATGGATTCCGGATCTTTTATAGTTCCTTTCATGTATATTGACCGATCGAATTGACAATTTTCGGGGATAATTACAGAATAACTTCGATATTGTTGAATGAGTGGATGAACTATAATAAGTAAGTTAGTATAAGTATGCTTGTAAAATTACCTATGTGATTATTTTGATGCACGATACTGGACGAGTGCAATTCAGGAAGAAAATAAACTGATGAATATTTTTATAAATTTTCATTATTGCACCAGATAAGTATGATAAATAATATATAAGAGTGTAATTTTCGAACATATTCTGTTATCCAAGATGACATCATCTTCGGATAAAATAGAAAACATTTTATCACAAATCAGTGTTTTTTGGGATCATCTGATTTTTTTTTTCATTGTGAACGAACAGTTCTTCAGATTTCGATAAAAATGACAAGAAAATCTGTTCAAAATCAGCGAAACCAGAAGAATGAAACTTATACATTATGAGAACCTGAAATATTCCATGTGGGATTTTTATGAACAATGAAATTAATATCTTTGATTATTTTGATGCATCTGAAAGTTTGCTCAACCCCTAACTAATAAATTAATATATTTTTCATAATTGTGCATGCATGTGATGTGTGCATCCCCAGCGAGCACACATCCCTGGGATGTTTTGAAAATGTTGGAATGAAGATGTTATTTTGAGACGTAATATGCACTGACCAAAGAGGTCTTTGAAGGATATTGAAGTATTGTTTTTGTTCTTCTGTGGCATTTCTTTGTTTGCCTACTGAGAGGTATCCCTGAGATGTTTTGGGATGTTTTAGAAATGTAGGCATGAGGATGTTTTTTTGAGGCGTAATATGCACTTCCCAAAGAGGTCTTAGAAGGATATTGAAAGTATTGTTTTTGTTCTTTTGTGCCCTTGCTTTGTTTGCCCTACCACTACGTCTCATGCTTACGTCACAATACGATGAATTCTGATTTGTTTTCGATTTTGTTCTTCTTGTTTGCAATTGATGGCATTCGCGTTTGCAGCGTGTCACGCTTACATCACGCTGCTAACGAACAGAAAGGAATTTGGTGAAGTTTATTGTGTTAGAAGACTTATTTAGTTTGTAATAATGACCATCAGATGCAAGATGTGTTGTTCGGTGCCTCAGTGTAATCAATATATAAAAGTACGAATTCATCAATACACAGCTTCTCCGCAGTTGCAAAATTATGCATTGTGGAGAAAATTTCAAAAATTGGGAAACATCTGTGTGTAGTAAGCACTACTCATAAACCGATTAAGAAGGTAATTTCATATCAAGAAATTATTTTTATGTTCAATCTATTTTTAATGCATTTTTTCATTCAAGGGAAATGGAATCCTAATGCAAAAGTTCATTTTGACAAAAGGCTTCAGAAAAGTACCTCGAAAATGGTTTTTTTACAGCGATTTAATGTGCGCAAGACGCGTTGTTAATGTTCTGTTGTGTCCATGAAAAGGCTTTAAAAAGAACTAGGGAGAAGGTAGTTTTGTGACATATCAAGGACATCTCGATAATTGCCGCCTGATGCGGCGGACATTGGCTGTTCTATAATAGTTCTATTCATGTGTGAACAGAACATCGAAGTTCGCAGTGGAGGTTCAATGTCTCGAAATCTCGTACTTTTAACATCTCTGAGATGTTTTTGTGCTTGCTGGGAATACATTTTGAGAACCTGAAATATTCCATGTGGGATACTTATGAACACTAGGAAATTAATATCTTTGATTATTTTGATGCATCTGAAAGTTTGCTCAACCCCTAACTAATAAATTAATATATTTTTCATAAATTGTGCATGTGTGTGCATCTGATGAGTCAATACCAACTATAGAAACAAATCAAAATGTTCAATTTTGTAGACTATAACCCATCTTATCGATTTGTTGACAAATTTGGGATTCATGGGAAGCTGGAGAAGGGTTATCCTGTATCACAATTTTAAAAATAAAATTTTGAACAATGATTGATGAGCGAGCCAACGAAACTGATTACAATGCAATCAAAAACACATTCATATTTAAACACATGTGGAAATAGAAAATAGTCATGATGGCACTTAATTGTTGAAGATCTGTTATATACAGGGTGGGCCACCAGTAACGCCTCGGTCTCTAGAATAAGGCTAACCACTTATCTCCTTGGAATTCTTCCTTTCTAGGAAGTTGCATGTCAACATAGGCTACCATTTAAAATTATTTCGAAACATACAGGGTGTCCCCAAAAACCATAAAACACTGAAGTTAAACTTTTTTCTATCGAACACCCTATATATTATTTCATTTTGAGATTCTCCCTGATGAGCTGATTTCAACGACCCATCATACTTGGGGTCTAGCAGTTATAATTACTGAAATATAGGGTGTGAAAAATCGAGATTTTCCAAGTTCAAGAATTTTTTGTGTCGAAACTATTCATAATTGGCCAAAACGGCTTACATGTCCCTATCTCAACTTTTGATTAACTATCTACTGATATTTAATTGGGACATATACCGGGTGATCAAGATTCTGAATTCTGCACCTCCCTGTATTTGTTTCAATTAAATGTCAGTAGATAGTTGATCAAAAGTTGAGATAGGGACATGTGAGCCGTTTTGACCAATTATGAATGGTATAGACACAAAAAATTCTTGAACTTGGAAAATCTCGATTTCTCACACCCTATATCTCAGTAATTATAACTGCTAGACCCCAAGTATGATGGGTCGTTGAAATCAGCTCATCAGGGAGAATCTCAAAATGAAATAATATATAGGGTGTTCGATTGAAAAAAGTTCAACTTCAGTGTTTTTGTGATTTTTGGGGACATCCTGTATGTTTCAAAATAATTTCAAATGGTAGCCTATGTTGACATGCAACTTCCTAGAGGAAGAATTCCAAGAAGATGTGGTTAGCCTTCTATATAGAGACCGAGGCGTTACTGGTGGCCCACCCTGCATACACTGAAGAATATCAACACATTTTTTGTTAAAATTTTACCAAAGTATCAATTTTTCAAGACATACCCTATTTGAGAGCTTATTATGATTAAAATTACTAATGTTAATTTTTGCATTTGCATGTTTGAGGGGTTCCTAATTTTGTTTGATGATGTTTTAATCATTTGTAGAATAAGTATTGAAAAAGCGTGCGTTGTTGAATAATTATTCATAATAATGTTCATTGTAACTGTGATTTTTATTCTAACACTCATTATATTCATGAAAGAAGGTTACATTTTGATACAAGATTTGTTATATCTTAGGTTATAGACTGATTTTAAAAATTGTTATTGCTTGTATTTTTGAATAAAATGTTGAGAGTCCATGTCTTGAGTGATTTATTTCACTTCTTTTCTGAATTATTACGAAATCATATGTAGTTTGCTCACAAATTTGTAAACAGAATTCAACAGGAAGAATCTATACATATAGATTTATATTACCAAGGCTAAAAAGCAGGTTTCTATTGAAAAGTTGAAATGTGGCAACCCTGTCGGTGAGTTTAAAAACAAGACTTTTACCCGACATTTTGAATATATGCGTCTGTCAATCAATAACTATAGTTGATATCTTGTATCTGGTAACAATTTATAGTACATAAAAATTGTAAATATGCCTACACTGTCATTTACACCCAAAAATTCTTAACGTGCAACCACCGTCTTCTTCTTATTTCTATTCCTGTTCTTAACATTAGCTACTTCATAGAAGTTACTGCCTATTTTCTTCCTCTTCTGGGCTCTATCCAGAGCTCGCCTCTGTTTACTAGTTTTCTTCTTCTCAGCCACTCCGCCCTTAGTCTTCATTTTCTTGGAAAGTTCTTCCACTTCGAATTCTCCACTCGCCGAAACAGCATACAACTTTTCTTTAGGCGACACAAAATCTGCTTGTTCCGTATCTTCCATGTCCGAGTAAAAACTGATATCAGAATCAGAGTCGGAGTCTTCTTCTTCTGTTTTGACTGTTGTATCGGCAATACTGCTGTCATTATCGTCCACAAGCGAACTAGTTTCCGATTTATCTGCTGAGCTCTTATCAGCAGCTGTTTTGAGTCCTTTTATGGGTTCTAATTCTTTGACATCTTCTCCTTCATATGCTAGCCCTACTCGGATTTTTGCAAAGTCCTGAACCACCCCGATTTTGGAAACAATTTCTTCAGGAGCCACTTCTTCTGAAGGCAAAGGTTGTTCATAACCAGGTGGTGAACAATAGAAAGGCAGTTTCCCTCTTTGCCAGTCGTTCAGTATCATTTTTGCCACACTGGTAACATCCGGCTCTCCTTTTTTCAACAGTTTCCCCGATCGTTGCGCCATCTTTTCCAGGAAATCAATTGGATCGGTCCAGCTGTCAATTTTGTAAGTCTTCTTGATGTACTCCGGTTTGACCCTCTCCAGTAGCGGCTGGATATAGTCTTCAGGACTGTTTACTAGTTCCACCCTGACTACCCCTTTGAGAACTTTCTCGGTGTCTGTTTCGGCTGAGGGGTAAACAACCCCTGGGCAGTCTATGAGGTATATGCGCCTCATGAGGGTGATGTACTGCCACACTTTGGTTTCGCCGGCGATTGGGGCCACTTTGCATACTTTTTTGCTTCTCAGGGTGTTGATTACTGAGGATTTGCCGACGTTAGGGTAGCCTATGAAACCGACTGATATTTGTTTTTTGTCTATGTGGAGTTTGGCTGAAAAACAGAGATGGATTTACTTCAAAATTATCGCATCTGTGAAAGGAAAATGAAAAAATGGAAAGAATAGTACTTGATATTAATTTTTCTGACACTAAATGATGAATAGCAGATTAAGTATGTTCATTTGGAAACTATGAGTAAATAGCAGTGACGGCTCGTCAGGGACGGCAGGGTCGGCCGGGCCGTACCAAATAATTTGGGGAAAATTACTGAACTATTTGATGAATACAATTATTTTCCGAAACTGTTTTCATAATTCATCGTTCATTATCCTACTGTTATGCCACTATTATTTCAATTTCATTCACTGGAACCTTTGAGTATGCCATCCGCATAACTCCGAAAATCACGAACTAATTCAGGACCTACGACATCTGGTAATCCCATCGTCAAAACGCCGCTTCAAGTTGAAACGCTCGCGTAGCTCATTACACTGATGCAGACGGCCGGCCGATCGGTGGTTTCTTGTCTAGACCAATCTCGACGCATCGCCTACAGATTCCCCGCTTCAAGTTTGAATTCTCGCGTATAAGCGAACGATACGCGTCATACCTTGGGTGCGGCCAAGCTCTGCTGGCCGTCCGTACGTACGTTATCAGTAGTTTGCAGTGCGCTCGCTGTACACCGTATCCGACCATTCCGACCTAATTTTTAATATACGGATTGGCATGATTGACATTCTATTTTCATTTACATTGTAGGTATTTATAATTTTTATTCCTATACTTATTTGTAAGTTGATGTTGAAATTTGAAATGTACAAACTGAAAAAAAAATCGATGTTTTGGTTCACGCTTGCAGTAGTTGCAGTAAAAATGACTGGTGATTTTTGGATTTGCAATTTTTCAGTGATTCATAATTCAACATATCCATCTAATATTGGTATCAGAATTTTCCTTCAGTGCCTCTGAGCGTCAATAAGTTATAATTCAATTTGAATATTGTAATGTAACCTACTGTGCCTCTGCCTATGTAGGTAATATGGCAAGAAAAATGTCAGCAGTCCAAGAGCTGAGTAGGTATTGAAACATCGTAAAAAAGCTCTGGTGACGAAAATGTAATAAATGTATAACTTCCAGAATATCATTTATTTTCAAAGACGCATGTAGCGGTTATAAATAATATTTATGCATCCATCGCGGGAAACATTATACCAGAGATTATACACTCCTGATTATACCTACGGCTGCACGGCGGGCTCGGCCAGCCGACTACGAAGGAGTGGGGTGGCTTGTTACAGGAACGGCGTAGAGCGTAGACCGATTTAGTCATTGTTGTGCTTCTCGCGTTAGGTGAGTGGTTGTCGGTTATGTTGATTTTTTTGAGTTTACGTTACGTTTTCAACAGAATATAAATATTTTTTGTTCACGAGTTATTTTATTTTTATTTTCTTTCATTTTATTTTTTCGACTTTCTTGTTATTATTTTTTCATACCAACTATAACCCTTATCCACCTTCTTTTCATTTCCCCTGGCGAGAATGCTCTAACCTCGTGGTTCTTGCTGGACAATTCAATTTTTTGGTTATGTGTACAGGGTGATTCACCATAAATGCCCCCCCCTCTAGCTCAGTTATTTTTAAACCGATTTCAAAATTTGAAATATCATCTTATTGAATGATTTTTGATTGAGTTTTTTTCCGCTACATCAGAAAATACAGGGTGCTCAGAACAAACGATCTACAGGGTACCATTTGATTTTTTTATATGGAACACCATATTTTTCATTGTATTTTTAGATTCTCCCTGAAAAGCTGATTTGCTCAATGTATCACACTTGGGGTCTATCGGGAATGATTACAGAGATATAGGGTGTTCAAAATCGGGATTTTTTAACTTTAGGATTTTTTTGAGACGAAACTATTCATCATCGGTCAAAACGGCTTTCATGTCCATATCTCAACTTTTGATTTACTATCTACTGACATTTGATAATTGGAACAGATACAGGGTGATCAGAATTCTGAATCTTGAACCACCCTGTAAATGTTCCAATCAAATCTCAATAGACAGTTTATCAAAAATTAAGATGGAAACATAGGAGCCGTTTCGACCAATAATGAATAGTTTCGAGACAAAAAAATCCTAAACTTGAAAAATCTCGATTTTGAACACCCTATATCTCTGTTATCATTCCCGCTAGACCCCAAGTATGAAGCATTGATGAAATCAGCTCTTCAGGAAGGATCTAAGAATACAATGAAATACAGGGTGTTCCATTTGGAAAAATCGAGTAGTACTCTGTAGATCATTTGTTCCGGGCACCCTGTATTTCCTGATGAAACGGGGAAAAAATTCTGAGAAATCATTTTAGATCATCCTTCAAATTTTTAAATCGGGTCAAAAATAAAGTGAGCTAGAGGGGAGGGACAATTATGGTGAATCACCCTGTACATGCTTATTTGCCATCGAACTTCACTCAAGCCGCTGACCCAACGTGTTACGTTCGCATTTTAGAGCAATATCTATACCCTGGCCGACCCAGGTTCTGAGGGCACGAGCCGTCACTGGTAAATAGAATTCTACTTCATGAATCAATTTCCAAAAGCTCATACCACAATACTTTATGGAAGGCAGGAACCATTGTCACAATAATCACTGTTCCAGTGGTAATGATTTTGAAAAAGTATGTAGGTCAAACTAGGAGACCCAATGAAATTAGGTTTAAAGAACATCTATGTTATGGTAAATTGGGTGGAAAATGTATAGTGGAACCAAATTTTTGTGAAATGTAGATGTAAAAGCCTAGAAATAGTAAAGAACGGTAATACAGATATAAATAATAATAGAGGACCTTTTTATATTACAGGGAAGGATAAAATGTCACAATATAAAAATGACTGAAAATTGCAAAAATCGCAAAAATTCCTGAAAATTGCGAAAATCGCAAAAATGCCTGAAAATTGCAAAAATCGCAAAAATTCCTGAAAATTGCAAAAATCGCAAAAATTCCTGAAAATTGCAAAAATCGCAAAAATTCCTGAAAATTGCAAAAATCGCAAAAATGCCTGAAAATTGCAAAAATCGCAAAAATTCCTGATAATTGCAAAAATCGCAAAAATGCCTGAAAATTGCAAAAAACGCAAAAATTCCTGAAAATTGCAAAAATCGCAAAAATTCCTGAAAATTGCATAAATCGCAAAAATTCCTGAAAATTGCATAAATCGCGAAAATTCCTGAAAATTGCAAAAATCGCAAAAATAACTGAAAATTGCAAAAGTCGCAAAAATTCCTGAAAATTGCAAAAATTGCGAAAATTCCTGAAAATTGCAAAAATCGCAAAAATGCCTGATAATTGCAAAAATCGCAAAAATTCCTGAAAATTGCAAAAATTACTGAAAATTGCAAAAATTGCGAAAATTCCTGAAAATTGCAAAAATCGCAAAAATGACTGAAAATAGCAAAAATCGCAAAAATTCCTGAGAATAGCAAAAATCGCAAAAATTCCTGAAAATAGCAAAAATCGCAAAAATGACTGAAAATTGCAAAAATCGCAAAAATTCCTGAAAATTCCAAAAATCGCAAAAATGACTGAAAATTGCAAAAATCGCAAAAATTCCTGAAAATTGCGAAAATCGCAAAAACTCCTGAAAATTGCAAAAATCGCAAAAATGCCTGAAAATAGCAAAAATCGCAAAAATTCCTGAAAATTGAAAAAATCGCAAAAATTCTTGAAAATTGCAAAAATCGCAAAAATTCCTGAAAATTGCAAAAATCGCAAAAATTCCTGAAAATTGCAAAAATCGTAAAAATGCCTGAAAATTGCAAAAATCGCAAAAATTCCTGAAAATTGCAAAAATCGCAAAAATGACTGAAAATTGCAAAAATCGCAAAAATTCCTGAAAATTGCAAAAATCGCAAAAATTCCTGAAAATTGCAAAAATCGCAAAAATGCCTGAAAATAGCAAAAATCGCAAAAATCGCAAAAATGCCTGAAAATAGCAAAAATCGCAAAAATTCCTGAAAATTGAAAAAATTGCAAAAATCGCAAAAATTCCTGAAAATTGCAAAAATCGCAAAAATTCCTGAAAATTGCAAAAATCGTAAAAATGCCTGAAAATTGCAAAAATCGCAAAAATTCTTGAAAATTGCAAAAATCGCAAAAATGCCTGAAAATTGCAAAAATCGCAAAAATTCGTGATAATTGCAAAAATCGCAAAAATGCCTGAAAATTGCAAAAAACGCAAAAATTCCTGAAAATTGCAAAAATCGCAAAAATTCCTGAAAATTGCATAAATCGCAAAAATTCCTGAAAATTGCATAAATCGCGAAAATTCCTGAAAATTGCAAAAATCGCAAAAATAACTGAAAATTGCAAAAGTCGCAAAAATTCCTGAAAATTGCAAAAATTGCGAAAATTCCTGAAAATTGCAAAAATCGCAAAAATGCCTGATGATTGCAAAAATCGCAAAAATTCCTGAAAATTGCAAAAATTACTGAAAATTGCAAAAATTGCGAAAATTCCTGAAAATTGCAAAAATCGCAAAAATGACTGAAAATAGCAAAAATCGCAAAAATTCCTGAGAATAGCAAAAATCGCAAAAATTCCTGAAAATAGCAAAAATCGCAAAAATGACTGAAAATTGCAAAAATCGCAAAAATTCCTGAAAATTGCAAAAATCGCAAAAATTCCTGGAAATTGCAAAAATCGCAAAAATTCCTGAAAATTGCAAAAATCGCAAAAATGCCTGAAAATTGCAAAAATCGCAAAAATTCCTGAAAATTGCAAAAATCGCAAAAATGCCTGAAAATTGCAAAAATCGCAAAAATTCCTGAAAATTGCAAAAATCGCAAAAATTCCTGAAAATTGCAAAATACGCAAAAATTCCTGAAAATTGCAAAAATCGCAAAAATTCCTGAAAATTGCAAAAATCGCAAAAATTCCTGAAAATTGCAAAACTCGCAAAAATGCCTGAAAATTGCAAAAATCGCAAAAATTCCTGAAAATTGCAAAAATCGCTAAAATTCCTGAAAATTGCAAAAATTGCAAAAACTGCAAAAATTTCAAAAATTCCTGAAAATTGCAAAAATTTCTGAAAATTGCAAAAATCGCAAAAATTCCTGAAAATTGCGAAAATTGCAAAAATCGCAAAAATTCCTGAAAATTGCCAAAATCGCAAAAATTCCTGAAAATTGTAAAAATCGCAAAAATTCCTGAAAATTGCGAAAATCGCAAAAATCCCTAAAAATTGCAAAAATCGCAAAAATGCCTGAAAATTGCAAAAATCGCAAAAATGCCTGAAAATTGCAAAAATCGCAAAAATGCCTGAAAATTGCAAAAATCGCTGAAATTCCTGAAAATTGCAAAAATTGCAAAAACTGCAAAAATTGCAAAAATTCCTGAAAATTGCAAAAATTCCTGAAAATTGCAAAAATCGCAAAAATTCCTGAAAATTGCGAAAATTGCAAAAATCGCAAAAATGCCTGAAAATTGCAAAAATCGCAAAAATTCCTGAAAATTGCAAAAATCGCAAAAATTCCTGAAAATTGCAAAAATCGCAAAAATGACTGAAAATTGCAAAAATCGCAAAAATGCCTGAAAATTGCAAAAATCGCAAAAATTCATGAAAATTGCAAAAATCGCAAAAATGCCTGAAAATTGCAAAAATCGCAAAAATTCCTGGAAATTGCAAAAATCGCAAAAATGCCTGAAAATTGCAAAAATCGCAAAAATTCCTGAAAATTGCAAAAATCGCAAAAATTCCTGAAAATTGCAAAAATCGCAAAAATTCCTGAAAATTGCATAAATCGCGAAAATTCCTGAAAATTGCAAAAATCGCAAAAATAACTGAAAATTGCAAAAATCGCAAAAATTCCTGAAAATTGCGAAAATCGCAAAAACTCCTGAAAATTGCAAAAATCGCAAAAATGCCTGAAAATTGCAAAAATCGCAAAAATTCCTGAAAATTGCAAAAATGCCTGAAAATTGCAAAAATCGCAAAAAAATTCCTGAAAATTGCAAAAATCGCAAAAATTCCTGAAAATTGTAAAAATTGCAGAAATTCCTGAAAACTAAAAATTGCAGAAATCGCAAAAATTCCTGAAAATTGCAAAAATCGCAAAAATTCCTGAAAATTGCAAAAATCGCAAAAATTCCTGAAAATTGCAAAAATTGCAAAAATGCCTGAAAATTGCAGAAATTGCAAATATTCCTGAAAATTGCAAAAATTCCTCGCCAATATCCTTGTATTTAAATTTGTATACTCAATGGATTTGTTACTGAAACATATTGAGGTATCATTTTATAGGTTTCAATACACATTAATACAGAATACATGAAGATTTATTAAAATTAAACTTAAGAATCAACCAATGGGTCAGCTTCTTGGACCTTAGTCAAGAATCCCAAGATGATATTTGCTTCAATCATTTCTTACATTGATATTAATATCATTTGAATCTTTTGAGATATACATTAATGTTGTATCACCTAAGAATAATTTCAGTTTTTCTTTGAATTTCATAATACATATTGATGGAAATATTGACTTGATGTGAATTAAAAATAACATTAGCCCCAAAGCTGACCCTCGTGGTACACCACATTTAAAATTACCAACATGGAACAGTAGAAAGCCTAGGCTATTCAAGTTCCTGCAAAAAATGAATAGGAAAGAAGTATTTTAGGTAAATTTATGGGTTTTCAAGGTTAGGTCTTTTGGTTACTCACCAAATTGTCTGAGTAAATTTATCAGGGACCCCTTTCCAAAAGGATGGTTGATGCTTGCATGGAAAGCCACAGTAGGATAGTCTTTATTCAAAATAGAAACCCATCTCTGTGTTACCCAAGTGGGTACAAGATCAACTTTATTCAAGATGAAAATCAGATGTTTGTGAGGCTTCTCAGTCTTCAAATATTTTTCCAAATAAGAAGACCTTGTACCCAGGGGATCTCTTGCATCTAAGACTTGTAGGAGAACATCTGAGCTGTCTACAACTTTATGAAGCTCATTCCAAATTCTTCTAGACTGTCCTGCAGCCATCACCCAATCTCTGGGCATGTCCCTAACACCACCATCATCTTTGACAATGTTGGAATCTTTTTCATTACTGTATTCCTCTGCTTTTTTATCTGCAATTTCAGACAGCTCTTCAATGCCTTTTACTGCAAGATTTGGTCTTTTCCTGCTTCTTTTTGGACCAAAAACACTTTCAAAACTTTCAGTATCTAGTAAGTGTACCCTTGCATTTTTGGCTTTCTCATTCAGTAATGTTATGGGGAGAGTTGTGGGTTTCATGACAACTTGGTAAGGATTTTTTACGGCAGCTCCTAGCTCAGTTTGGAATTTTTGTAAGGCATTTTGTGAAATTACTCTACTGTTGCCAAACCATTTCTGATTTGGCTCTACTCTAGCTACTGTGCCTGAAGGCAACCAGCCCTAAAATATTATCAACATAGCTAATCAAGTAGGTACTCAATAATTGTATTTGACTTACCTGAAATGGGGCAGGAGTTATAATTTTTCCTGTTCTATCTCTTTTGGCTTTGAAGTTTCTGTACATCTGCAACCTTTTTATCGTGCCCTTTGTACGTGCCTTAGCTACTCCTTTCAATCCTTCTTTGGATCTTTCTGGATTCATAGAATGATTGGACTTATTGAAGCCCTGTTTACGTGGGGGCCCACTCGTTGATCGTGTTTTAGGCATCTTGGTGATTTATTAGTGAAACGGAGTATTTGAATAGTTGATTTCAATATAATTATCACCCACGAATTTTTGAACACCCCGATATTTCATTCATATCACAATCACTGGCACTGGAACCTGGAACATATGTAAAGTGAGGTTAGGATTTAGAAAACGTGGAAACTTTTTGACAGTTGCACCTGTGTGAACTTAGCAATGAAAGATAGCTGCAAATTATTTCACCAGTGGCGTCCTGATAGAGAGTCATTGTCAATAGTATAATTCGTAAAGTTATGCTACTCGATACTTTCAATAGTCTAATATCTACCAATATGATAATCAACATTGAAAAAGAAAACCGGTGGGCTCAGAAAATGATCTGCATTCGAATTCGAAACAGCTTTGACAGCTTATGATCCCATAATACCAAATGAACAAACCATTTGCGTAGGGATTTTTTCAGCAACAGGTACTGTCAAGTGACAGTTTGACGTTTGATGTTGCCACAACTGATAGATGTTTTTATCCTCCTTTCATGAGAAGGCGCCATGGCCGCCGAACAAGAGCAATTTTTCCAGATACTGACAACTCTTTTATCCACCGATAATACAATAAGAACACAAGCGGAGGTGAGTTTAATCAGTTTTCCATAGTATAAGATTATTTTGACTACATAAAACCAAACGATAGCCATCGGTTTGGTCAGTATCAGCTATGGCAATTCAACATTTTCAACGTGTCTGCACTACTTGAAAGCATGCTTTTACGAAGCTGTTAATCAAGTATGATTCATGCTCAAAGAATTAGTTTTATATATGAACTCATCTAGATTAATAATCTTGGTCAAGGTCGACACTAATGGGGTATATATTTTGTTTCCTATGGAGTATAATAACTCAATATACCCTTGAAAATAATTTTTTTCTGTCTATAGGAGGCATATTCCAACTTACCTGTAGAAACTAAAGTCAGTCACTTGTTGGGGGCTATTCACAATGCCAATTTGGGAGATGAAGCAAGGCAAATGTCAGCTGTTCTGCTGCGAAGAGTGTTTTCCAATGATTTTATGGAATTCTATCCAAAATTACCACCAGAAAGCCAAACCCAGTTGAAGGAGCAAGTTTTAATGGCAGTGCAACAGGTCCAGACAGAACAGCTGAGGCATAAAGTTTGTGAAGTGGTTGCTGAAGTGGCCAGGAATTTGATAGATGATGATGGAAATAATCAGTGGTCAGAATTTCTCCAGGTATGTGATGAAATCTTCTAATTGAACTACAATATTTATCAGTTTATTATTATTAAACATCCTAAATAATGTTCACTCCCCAACAAGATGCTTCTCCAAAGGGTTTGTGCTATTTATAAAATGTTAGTATATAGTATTTTCACAGATCTTTCAAAAACTGTTGTATAAATCAAACATTGCTTCTGTAATTTCATCAAATTTACCAAATTTCACACATGCTCTAAGAACATCATAAGTTACCTCAAGAAGTATAATTTCCTATGGTATTTTCAATAAATCTTTAGCATAATTGTCCTGGCATTCAACAGGTGTCATTTTTTCATGAGTTCCTAAAGTTGGAGTGTGAGCAAAATTGAAATGCCAACTATTACTTATTATTTATCATGGATCTGTTGGCAAATATTTGATATTTTTTATCATTGAAATGTGATTGGAATCAGTTGACTTCAATTTATCTGTGTGCTGTGTGTGTCATCATAAATTGGGATAGGTAGTTTCCAAAATAAATGTTTAGAAACTTAATTGGGAGAGCTGCTGAAATGTTTCTAGATATTCAATTTGATATTTGAACTCTGATGAGTTGAGAAGTACACTTGAAGAATAGCAACTTTTTAATTGGTGTTGTTTTTTGTAAGAGATTCCCATATTGTTTTTTTCTAGTTTCTCTTTCATTGTGCCAATGATCCAAATCCTGTCCTGAAAGAGGCTGCTCTGCAGATGTTCACAAGTGTGCCAGGTGTGTTTGGCAACCAACAAAACAACTATCTGGACCTCATCAAGCAGATGTTGTTGCAGAGTCTGCAGCCCACTGAGGCATATGAGGTAAGTGGAAAAAGGATATTTATATTCATGATGTTTTGTAGTTGACCCCAAAATCAGTTTTTTTTTTATTTGGAAATTGACCTGTTGACTAGCAGAGCTGTTCATTCTTTTTCATATTCACAAATATATCCATTAGGTAATATCTGAAGTATTTGAATAGTTTATTGATAATATAAATTTTCTACTTGTGGAATAAAAATAATCTATTTAAATAGCTCCAGAATATTTCATGATTATGCATGTATTAATTAAATACTTCTTGACCATTGACACTATTCAATATTCAATTTTGACCCAGTCAAGTATTTGATACTTGATAATTAAATACTTTTTTCACAGTATCTATTCAGCCCTGTTCCCCTGTTGACTAGTTTATTTCATTTGTAAATTTATGAAAATTTGGTATTATCTGAAGAATTTGGATAGTTTATTGATAATATAAATTTTCTACCTGTGGAATGAAAAATAATGCATTTAAATAGCTCCAGAATATTTCATGATTATGCATGTATTAATTAAATACTTCTTGACCATTGAAACTATTTTATACAATTACTTTTGACCCAGTCAAGTATTCTATACTTGATAATTGAATACTTTTTTCACAGTATCTGTTCAGCCCTGTTCCCCTGTTGACTAGTTTATTTCATTTTTAAATTTATGAAAATTAGGTATTATCTGAAGAATTCCAATAGTTTATTGATAATAAAAATTTTCTACTTGTGGAATGAAAAATAATGTAAGTATTTGAATAGTTCCAGAATATTTCATAATTATGCATTTATTAATTGCAAATATTTTATATTCAATTACTTTTGAGCCATTCAAGTATTTGATACTTGATAATTGAATACTTTTTTCACAGTATCTGTTCAGCCCTGTTCCCTTGTAGATGAGTTTATTTCATTTTTAAATTCATGAAAGTAGCTCAGAATATTGAAGGAAATATAAAGAGAATTCTCAATTAAAGAATCCTGAGTCATTCAGTACACTAGCATGAGAAAATGCACCTGAAGCAGTGTCAAAGAACACTTCATTCCCAACAAACAGAATGAAATCATTATCCAAATAATACATTCTATTTTTAATCATGAAATTAGTTGAAATTTGCATCAATCTTTTAAATGATTTCAATTGCACCTATCACTATCCGGATGATTTCTGTGTCACTAAGCTCTCATTCAGAATAGTTATTTATTATACATACCCCATTACAGATAAGACATTCTTATAATGTTTTTTATTATGGTTGAGATATGGTTTATTGTTCCGGTTTATTGATCAGTGATTAATATATCCCCCTCCAGTCCCCTGTGGCAATAAATGAACAAAGCAGCAGTAGTAGTAGTAGTAGTAGTAGTAATAGTAGAAGTAGCAGTAGTAGTAGCAGTATCAGTAGTTTGAGTCATTCATTAGAAATTACACTAGTATTAGATATACTAGTATACTACAAAAATATATTGAACAATATAATTGTGTTTTATTTCAACCTGACCCATTCAATATTTTGCTATATTTTATAACTTGAATGATTTATTTCAGAATTAAATGTAGGTAAGTTGGAATTGTAATGTTTTTTCTTTCCTCCTGTATAGTAGTAGTAGTAGTAGTAAGTATCATGAAGCTGATTAGTGATTTTTCAAAATATGCATATCATTGTGAATATCTCATGAAGTATTTTTGAAACAACCTAGGTGATCTAGGTATTTTACTCCTAGCAAAATTCATAGTTCTGAAATTATTGCACACCTTCGGAATATTATTGTTTCCCAATGTTTCAGAAATCAGAAACAATGTTCTCATTGTAAGTATGAGCATTTTTTTCCAAGACTTCAAAACAAGGTGATAGCAAATGGAAACAAAACATGTCATTAGGTGCGTTTTTCAGCGGTTCTTGCCACAGAAGCCTTCAATCTGAACAAAAAGAGGAAACCCGAGTTCTAAAGTACTATGTTCAAAAGCTCTGAATAATAAAAATCATTATTTTGAACTAGCATGGTTTAAAGTCAAATGATGAACCGGCAGAGCCAATCAAAATTTTCTCCCAAGTGATAAGTAAAAAGCAGTCAGCACTACTATGTCACCAGCAAGATAAAGAAACGCATATCCTGAAGCACTTTGCTGACCTGCTGGCCCCGCTCTTGCAGGTAACCGCGAATAGGGTTCAGCAGCAGGACGACAACACGCTGCTCAAGGTGCTCATCGATCATTCAAATCTTCAATATTTGCGCTAGCAAGTCAAAACACAAATACTACTATGTCTCTAGTTACGTTTCCAAGCGGTAAGGGCCGTGGGAGCATTCATCTTCATCAACGACAAGGAAACGCAGATCCAGCTCTGTATAAACAAAAATACACCTATTCATCATAATTTGCGAACTAGCGTGGTTTAAATTCTAATTATGAACCGGCAGATTCAAATAAAATGTTCTCCCAACCGATAAATAAAAGAAAACGGTTAGCAAATCAAAAAACACAGACAATATGTTTCACTAGGTGCGTTTCCAAGCTGTACGCGCCGTGGGAGCCTTCATCCTCATCAACGACAAGGAAACGCAGATCCTGAAGCACTTTGCCGACCTGCTGGCCCCGCTCCTGCAGGTCACCGCAGTGAGCGTCCAGCTCTGCATAAACAAAAATACACCTTTTCATCATCATTTTCGAACTAGCGTGGTTTAAATTCTAATGATGAACCGGCAGATCCAAATAAAATGTTCTCCCAACCGATAAATAAAAGAAGACGGTTAGCAAATCAAAAAACACAGACACTATGTTTCACTAGGTGCGTTTCCAAGCTGTACGCGCCGTGGGAGCCTTCATCCTCATCAACGACAAGGAATCGCAGATCCTGAAACACTTTGCCAACCTGCTGGCCCCGCTCCTGCAGGTCACCGAGGAAAGCATCCAGCTCTGCATAAACAAAAATACACCTTTTCACTATCATTTCCGAACTAGCGTGGTTTAAATTCTAATGATGAACCGGCAGATCCAAATAAAATGTTCTCCCAAGCGATAAATAAAAAAAGACGGTTAGCAAATCAGAAAACACAGTATGTTCCACCAGGTGCGTTTCCAAGCTGTACGCGCCGTGGGAGCCTTCATCCTCATCAACGACAAGGAAACACAGATCCTGAAGCACTTTGCCGACCTGCTGGCCCCGCTCCTGCAGGTCACCGCGGAGAGCGTCCAGCAACAGGACGACGACACGCTGCTCAAGGTGCTGATCGACTTGGCGGAGAACGCGCCTAAGTACTTGCGGCCGCAGCTGCTGCCCATCTACGATATGTGCATGAAGATTTTCAGCGATGCGGGAGCGTTGGACAGCTGGCGGCAGCTGGCTCTCGAGGTGAGTGTAGCTGTAGCTGGTGACGCAGCTTCTTTCTCATTTGAAATATCCCATGACATGATCAGCAGACAATTATTAGGGATGCCGGAAGAAGTCATTCAAAATAAGCCCTAAGCCCTAATATCCTCTTCCGGAATAGAGGCGTTTTTGTACCCCACAACCGCACGCCAATGGTGAATAAAACTATATCGAAGACTGGAACCTTTGGCACGATAATACACTACACTGTTTTACCACCAACCAAACTGATTTTTTAAACGCCTTGACACGTGTTTCGCTAACTATGTGCATCTTCAGGAGAAGATAAGAACTGAATATCCTAATCTAGTGTGCTGCTTATATACTAGGTATATGTTCACCTAACCGTGAAAAATACTAACCGTCAAGTTAATGTTTGTCATGGTTGAGTTCACATGTTAATCTTAATTTTTATATTACTAAACTATATAGAGGGCTATATGGAATAGGTCCATCATCCTTATTCATTACTCTATTACTATTCTTAAATATCTCTAAGCTTTCATATGCGTCTAATTTTCTTATATTATTAACTTGCTTAACAAATTTGAGGTTAGTAATATGTGTGTTATGATTGTGTTTGAACATATGTTTGGCTACACAAGATTTATCTAACCTGCCATATTTCAAATGGGCTATGTGTTCTTTGAACCTTGTTTTTATGGGTCGCCTGGTTTGGCCTATATATGTTTTATCACAATCATTACAACTTCTTTCGTATATTCCCGACTTTTCAAGTGTGTCCACTTTATCTTTCGGATTGCCTAATAAATTACCTAATTCTGACCCAGATTGATAAACGCTTTCAAAACCTAAGTCTTTGAAAACCTTATCAAGCCCCTTCGTATACTTGGGATTGAACGGGATTGGGATTCTTCTAGAGTTCTTTTTATCCTCTTGAAAAGTCGTAGAATTTCAGTGTTAACTTAAATTTATATCTACGTATTAATTTATCTACTATTATTATCATACCCATTGACGCCAGCCACTTTATAAACAACACTTCTTTCAGCATTGAATCTTTCTTCGCTCAGAGGGAATGAAATTAATCTATGTACTAGAAAATTTAAACTTGCCATTTTGTGCTGAAAACAGTGATTTGAGTCATTAGGTATGTATCTAAATGTGTTAGTTTCTTTTCTAGAAACATCAAATTCCAAGTTGTTTTCGCTATTTTTGATCACAAGTACATCTAAAAAAGGTAATTTGCCATCATTTTCGCATTCATAAGTGAATTTGATAGAGGGGAAGCAGTTATGTAATTTTGAAATAAAGTTATCTATATCTGTGGTTTTCGTATCAAAAATAGCAAAAATATCATCGACATATCTAATCCAAACATTAACTTGACGGTAAGTATTTTTCACGGTTGGGTGAACATATACCTAGTATATAAGCAGCACACTAGAATAGGATATTTAGTTTTAGTCTTCTCCTGAAGATGCTAACATAGCGAAACACGTGTCGAGGCGTTTAAAAAATCGTTTTGGTAAGTGGTAAAACAGTGTAGTGTAAATAAAACTATTCACTACCAAATACTTCATTGTTCGAACATGAATTCTAACATCACCAAAATTTCAAGAAAATCGCAACATTAATATCTGAGATAGTTATTAGTGTGTATTCATAAAAAGCGGGACACACTGTATAATACCAATTAGGATTGTTCTTGATATCCTTAATCTATCTAGTCTATTCGTTCATCTGATTAGAGACGCTGAATAGGCCTTTTCATCCATATGCCAAATAACTAAAGTTGTAAATTACGTCTAGAAAGATGGTGCATATTCTTCACAAAATCATATATAGAGTGACTGCATGGCAGACCCTTCTACAACTGCTGAGACCTTTCTTTCTAAGCTAACTCGATCTGCTCCCGAATTTTTCCTATATTTTTTCCGACGTTTGGTACAGTTGTCGATCGCTTCTTGAAGGTTATGGTTACTTTGGCTGAAATGGCGCCCGCCATGGTCCGCAAAAACACCGGCAAATACATGGACACGCTGATCCCGTTGATTCTTCAGTTCATGGCGGACCTCGAAGAGGAGGACGGTTGGGCGGAATCCGACGAATTATTAGACGAAGACAACGACTGCAACAACGTGGTGGCTGAGGCTGCCCTAGATCGACTAGCATGTGGTTTAGGTAGGACCATTTTTCGATTTTTTTTGTTCGACATGCAACAATGGGGCTGTACCGTTACCACCGATACAACAAGGCCAGCAGACTCTGACGTAAACAGCTCGTGACGTCACCAAGAGAGGCCAGTGTTTTATTTTATCGCTTGTCGACTAACGCGTCAGTTCGTGTTAATTCATCGGTGATTCATGTATGTTTTTGAAACGGTCCCGAATTCTTTTGTTGTTTATTCATCAAAATAATTGGCGGAAAAATTACTGTTTTGTGAAATATTTTGTGTTGTGATCGGCGAAATAACAATGCCTTTCAAGTGCAGTGTTCCCTTTTGTCGGGGGAATTATGTGGGTGGTTCAAAAGTTCATGCTTTTAGTTTCCCGTTGGACGAGGAGCTATCGATAATGTGGGTATATGCAATTCACCGCGAGGATTTTACTCCATCTAAGTTCAGTAGTAAACAGAGCTTAATTTATAATGATGAATTAATAATAGAAGACAATTACTCTCTTATAAAAAGTATAAGTAGAGGAAAAATAGAAAAGCTTTGATTGTGCAGTTAGTTTTGTATTCGTATATTATAGTCAACAAAATCATCTCTGAATTCGAGGAAATTTTCTTGAATGTTCATAATAATCCAATATATAAAGTGTCCAATGACAAAATAAGAGCAAGTAGCTTCAAATGCCCCCAACACAAGGGGAGAAAGAAATATCTCAATAAATAGTGGTTTGTTCACATTTTCATTATAAAATTCGGTTTATCAGACAAAAATACGTGAGTACCAAAAAAAATTAAAAAAAAAAACCATCGCATGATAAATGCAGTTTTACCCTTAAAAATTACGGTTTCAAGTGTAACGATCCACTTGGGTGAAAAATCCAACAACCGAAAATTGAAAACACTCACTGGGTATTTTTTCAGGTAATAGGAATTCTTCAAGATAAATATAGGTAATTGTAACAAACGGCATGTCAATCAAAATAATATACATTTTCCACAATTTTCTTTCGATCAATCTCACGATAAGTTTATGTTCTGCGGGCCCTGTATAAGTAGGTGTGAAGTTTACCTTCATCACAATTTGTGCCAATATATTTAATTCGAATGGGTTGCTGTAGGTGGATATTTGTGTTTTATCCTGGTTTTTGCTTTAAAACTTCCATAATAAAATCGAATGGGGTGCGAAGAAGGGCTCAGTTGACGACTGGCATCCTTTTTTAACCGGAAGCCCTTCAGAAAACTACTAAAATTAAAATCGAAATACGCGGTCGCCTTATAGCGCTATAAACGCTGGTCGTTTCGAGCTGCTGGTTAGGCCTCACTAAGTGACGTCACCCACGGGGCATGCAGGCCTTGTTGTATCGGTGGTAACGGCTGTACACGCTAGTCGAATTTACGCCACATACCTATTTTATATTGATCATTACCTGTATAAATAGTATTTGATGCAATCATACGTTATTTAAAATCATCGCATATATTTATTTTCAATAATTAAATTCGGCGATATCGAAAAACGCCATGAACCGAATTGTGGCCTTGGCATGAAAAGAAGGACCACATATTTCGACGCTGCCAGACTTGTTACTAGTAATTACCTTAAGAGATTCATTATGACCAATGACAACAGTATTCACATTCACAGAAGATAATGGTTCGACATGGTCCCTAATAATCCTAATACTTATACAGGGTGGGCCACCAGTAACGCCTCGGTCTCTAGAAGGCTAACCACTTATCTTCTTGGAATTCTTCCTCTCTAGGAAGTTGCATGTCAACATAGGCTACCATTTAAAATCATTTCGAAACATACAGGGTGTCCCCAAAAACCATAAAACACTGAAGTTGAAACTTTTTTCTATCGAACACCCTATATATTATTTCATTTTGAGATTCTGCCTGATGAGCTGATTTCAACGACCCATCATACTTGGGGTCTAGCAGTTATAATTACTGAAAAATAGGGTGTGAAAAATCGAGATTTTCCAAGTTCAAGAATTTTTTGTGTCGAAAATATTCATAATTGGTCAAAACGGCTTACATGTCCCTATCTTAACTTTTGATTAACTATCTACTGATATTTAATTGGGACATATAATACCGGGTGATCAAGATTCTGAATTCTGCACCACCCTGTATTTGTCTCAATTAAATGTCAGTAGATAGTTGATCAAAAGTTGAGATAGGGACATGTGAGCCGTTTTGACCAATTATGAATGGTTTAGACACAAAAATTTCTTGAACTTGGAAAATCTCGATTTCTCACACCCTATATCTCAGTAATTATAACTGCTAGACCCCAAGTATGATGGATTGTTGAAATCAGCTCACCAGGGAGAATCTCAAAATGATATAATATATAGGGTGTTCGATTGAAAAAAGTTCAACTTCAGTGTTTTGTGATTTGGGGACATCCTGTATGTTTCAAAATAATTTCAAATGGTAGCCTATGTTGACATGCAACTTCCTAGAGAGGAAGAATTCCAAGAAGATAAGTGGTTAGCCTTCTAGAGACCGAGGCGTTACTGGTGGCCCACCCTGTATACTCGCAAGATGCTTCAGTGCCATAAAAATATCCTAGTATTCCTAATAATGATCGAGATTTTATTAAATCCCAAAATATTTTGTGGCACAGGCAACCGTGTAATGCCTAAGTGCGAGTATTGAATATCCCCTCGGTTCCTTGCGGGAGAGAGAAGGACATATTATGACCTCTCACTCAGTTCGGTTTCGTCTCCGTGGCGGTTTATTCAAATCCCTTGTGATAATAACTTGTCATATTTCGTCTTACCATTGTCGATCTAGATGGAAATACTAGTTATTAGTAGGCGAGGCACCCTCTCATTTAGATCGTCAATGGCCTTACCAATATCTGGAAAAACAGCGCACGTCTTTTTTTTTGCAATTGCATTATATGTATATAATATCAGAAAATGCCTGAAAATAATTGACGCTTAGAATAATATTCAAATTTCACCATGAAAACGTGTTCCGAATTACAGCACTGTACTTTTGATTTTATATTTCGGAACACACATGTTCAGCAGAGTCAGTGAATATACTGACAGAACTGACCAGTTGAATTCCGAATATAGCCTCAATGTACGAAAACAACAAAATGTCAAGTACATCAAGAAACTCTACCGACTACAAGTGTTTTCTAAATTATAAATTGTTTTCAAATTGTAGCTTGGTAATATAATTCATGAAATTACAAAATGAAACAATGAAGTGCATTTTCAATGTTTTTTAGAATCAAGCTATTCAAACCTAAAGTCTTGCTGAATCTAGTTTCATTATATAAATCTAAAATTTGTTGTTTTTTTCTATTCGTCAGGAAGGAATTGAGAATATCAAATTTGAATTTTAATGAAGTCGATTAGATTCATGCCCATGAAACAAGGCAATTTAATTTATTGATAGCAAATAATTATAAGTCAAATTTCGGTAAACAACCAATATTCCATAATGGAATAATTTTATATAACTCCTTACCTAATGAGTTCAAAAATATAGAAGAAGCAGAAAAATTTAAAATCAAACTGATGAAATATCTGCCCAGTAAACTTTGATTCCATATCTACTAATCATTCACAATTTGATTACTTGAAATGGATTATAATATTTTCATTTCATATTTTATTATAATTTTTTTTATGAAAAACAATAATTGTGAAATTATTATTGTTCCGATTTATTATGTTATATGTATGTTTTGATGTACATATCCCTATTATAAACAATAAGGTTTCTTGGGGTAATAAAGACAATCAATCATACCGTCTGTAGGTTAATCGACGAGTAGTACATTCATTTTACTTGATTCTTTGAGATTTTCTCTCCTCGTTTCTACAAAATAAAAATATTGGCTTGCTCCAACGTTAGTTTAGTACATTGTATTAGTATACCACCTGACGAAGCTACTGTGTTAGCGAAACATGTCGTGTGTTTGAAAATGTTGTGGAAATCTTATCGTTTGTGAAGTTTTTACATTTGTCATGGATTTCCATCAAGTAACGGCCGAGTCAATTCAAAACATTTATGACCTCTCACTATGATTAGAAATGGATCCAATTCCTGACAAAGAATCGTGATTACATATTTTCTTTATGAGTCAAAAAACGACAATCTCGCCCAATTAACCTCCAAATGGCACCGTGCCTAAATCGCTTCTTCTTCCTTTTTTCCGTAGGCGGCAAGATCATCCTGCCCCTGGTGACGGCGAGCGTGCCCGCGATGCTCGCCAGCCCCGATTGGAAGCAGCGGCACGCCGCCCTGATGGCCCTCAGCGCCGTGGGCGAGGGTTGCCACAAGCAGATGGAGGCGATGCTGCCGCAGATCATGGGCGGCGTGCCGGGCGTAATGGAGGGGGTGCTCAGGTGAGTTTGGCTATCGGGAATTAGTTTTTTAAACGTTTATTAACACTCATGTCAGTTAGGGTACCTTGATGGAAATTGACATTAAAGTCGTCTTAACAGGGTACGGACAGATCCTCGTCTCCTCTCACTCTAAAGTGTTTGTGAAACAGTTATCGCATTGCTATCTATTATTTCAAAGATAATGGAGAAAGCTATTAACATCCAGCTCATGAAATACCTGGAACATTCAGGTATTATCAACGATAGGCAATATGGCTTCCGTCAAAAGAGATCAACTGGTGACCTGCTCGCTTACGTCTCACATATAAGGCAGCAATCTATTGAAAAATATGGTGAAACCTTAGCCGTGGCACTTGATATCTCCAAGGCATTCGATCGAGTCTGGCACCACGGACTCCTCGCCAAGCTTCCATCTTATGGCTTGCCTCCCCAGCTATATTCTCTGTTAGCTAGTTTTCTCTCAAACAGGTCTCTCCATGTAGTGGTCGACGGAGTTTCATCTGACTCTCTTACCATAAATGCTGGTGTTCCTCAAGGATCAATTCTAGCATCAACACTATTTCCACCCAACATCAAGGATTTTTTGGAAGCAACTTCATGCCCAGTACACAGCTTCGCGGATGATAGTACCCTCCATACCGCCTTCTCTTCCAGGGCTCCAATACCAGCCAGGCAGATCAGAAACGAACGAGGGAGAAATGTTGACAACATAAATATGAACTTGGCAACAATTCTCGAATGGAGATCCAATAACTTGGTAGATTTCAATGCAAACAAAACACAAGCATTCCTTTCCTCTAGAAAAGCCGATCTCACTGTGAGCATGTCAGGACTGTCAGGAGTAACCATACCTTTGAAGACATCCATTTCAATGCTTGGTATTAAAAATCACGTGAGATCAATTGCTAAAAGTGCATCCCAAAAACTTTGTTTTCTGTTTTGGGCCAGGAGCTATTTCACTTCCAGTCAGCTGCGACCTGTCCTGGAATACTGTTCTCATATTTTGAGTGCAGCACCCAAATATGCCCTGAAACTGTTGGGATTTTGTCCAAAAAAGGACAATTCTTCTCGTGGGTGATGCCTCACTCACAAACTCATTCACTTCTCTGGAACACCGTAGAAAAGTTGGCAATCTGGCTCTATTTTATAAATATTTTCGTGGACCTTATAGTTATCATTGTAAACAGTATGTAAACCTATTTTATTTTTTCAATCCAAAACCGTTTGTCTAACGAAATGAAGTCAAGAGGTTCTCTTTGTTAGAAACTAATGAGAGATTACAAAACTGATTTTTATTTTGATAATAAACAGTGGCGTGCCATTTTTTAATGTAATAAAATTATATTTTGGTCAATATCAACGGTTCAAAAAAAGGTAGATGATAAATTATTTCCATCAAATTATAGAGAAGTGTATCCTCTTTTGAAACATATAAAAATTAATATACCATTACATTTTTTTTCTAAACTCGAAAATTTGCTAACATTTCAGTTAACACCATCTAGCGGCAATAGCAAAAGTCAAAAATTCAAAACCAAATAATCGTTTTGTAGGGCAAATTTTGCTCTTTCATATGAGCCTAAGTTTGCTAAAATCGATCGAAATAAAACCAAATAATCGTTTTCTAGGGCAAATTTTGCTCTTTCATATGAGCCTAAGTTTGCTGAAATCGATCGAAATAAACGGGAGAAATCTTGGTTTGTTTAAAAAAACAATTGAAGTTCCCCCACTGCTTTATTTTTATAGATAGAACAAAACGTTTTGGACAAAGAATGTAGGGAAATGGTCAGTAAATATGGAAATGATATCATCGATATACTTTCATTAGACAAAATTCTATGTAAATCCAATTTTTCTACTTGGTGTTGGTTGTTACGCCCTCTAACGGACGTTTGACAAACTCGAAAATAATTTCCAGCAATTTCTCTTGGCAACTTTTATCTTGATTTGTTTTTTCTGAAATCTATATTTATCGTAAGGAAACTACCCCATCGATGATTAATCTCGAGATTATTCTTGTCTGAAAGTTGATGTTCGATGAACAGGACCATCGAATATCATTGAGTACAAAACAACCTTGTCAAGTTGTCACAGAAATAACTTTCTCCATTTAAGAAAACGTGTGTTTGACTCGGCAGGTACCTCCAGGATCCTCATCCTAGGGTGAGGTACGCGGCTTGTAACGCCGTCGGGCAAATGTCGACGGACTTCGCGCCCGTGTTCGAAAAGAAGTTCCACGACCGGGTGGTGCCGGGATTGTTGATGCTCTTGGACGATAACGCCAATCCGAGGGTACAAGCTCATGCCGGTAAGTTAGAACAAGAATACTATTCTGCAACCGACACGAAAGTCGTCCATTTCAATACCACAATTAGCTCTTGAATTGACGTACACAAGTAAGAATAATAATAATAATAATAATAAATTTTATTCAATAAGTACATACAAAATTCTCAAGAAACGCATTGTAGAATTCATCAACAAAAAATATAGCTTCGATTCTAATCAATTTGGTTTTTAAGAAAACAGTGGAACACAAGCAGCAGTATTACAAGTGATAGAATCAATCCACAGAGAACTTGATTCAGGAAATTATGTGGTAGCTGTTTTCATTAATCTCAAAAAGGCTTTCGACACAGTTGATCATGCAACACTTTTAGAAAACTTAGGAACAATGAGACTCAGAGGCACTGTCAGAAATATTTTGAATTCATATCTTGAAAATAGGACAATCAATACAAAATCATCCAACTCTGTGTCAAATAAACTATTGATCAATAAGGGTGTCCCACAGGGCTCTGTTTTAGGACCTATACTATATTTACTTTATGTTCAAAATATCAGTGAAATTGGTCTCACGAGTAAATATACCATGTATGCAGATGATACAGTACTTTTATATGAAGGCAAGAATCCTTCAAATTTAGTAAATATGATAAATGAAGACTTGAAAAATATTTGAAAAATGACTCCACTCTAACCTTTTATCGATAAATACTAACAAAACAGAATATATGATTTTTCACCAAAAAAATAAACAAAAAATTTACCTCAACCTTAAAATGAAAAATGAACTCTTAAAACAAACTGACCAGATAAAATATCTCGGAATTTGGTTTGATGACAGGTTGAAGTGGGACAAACATATTGATGTTCTGACTAAAAAAATATCTCCAATTATTGGTGCATTGAGAAGATGTCCCAAACTTGATATTAAAATTGCAAACATGATTCTCTACTCTCATATACTGAGTCGTATCAACTATTTAATAAATGTTTGGGGAACTTGTTCAAAGAACAATTTCAATAAAATATTAAAACATTATATAGAAAAACGTTAAAAGTATTGTATCGTCTCCCATTTGATACACCAACCAACAAATACGTATTCTTTAGATGAAATATATAGAATTGAAACTCTTAAATTATCATTTAATATCATAAATAAAAAATTGAAGTCGAATTTTATGTTGATACGGAATTCTGAAATTCATAATCATGAAACAAGACAATATAACTTGTTTCATCTTGACGCCGCTAGCTCCATTATCGGACAAAAAAGATTCACTCATTCAGCCTTAACTGAATTCAATAAACTACCTGACAATATAAAAAATTGCAGAATATAGGTTCATTCAAAAATGAAGGGAAAAAATTGATTATTTCTGAGCGAACTGGATGAAATTGAACTTGCCATTTTTGTTTTTACAAATATTATTCTTTGTTTGTCAATTTACAGTTGTTGATATATTTTGTATAATGATTATGTTTACCTATAGGTATATAATTATGTACTTCCTTATACCAGAGCCTACTCTGTCTGGAAGTTATTTGTTCAATAAATAAATAAATAAATAAATAAAAGTGCACCAAACGAGTCCGACCGTTCTTCCAGGCGCGGCTCTCGTCAATTTCGCCGAAGACTGCCCCAAGCACATCCTCAGCGGCTACCTGGATCCCCTGATGGCCAAGCTCGAGGGCATCCTCACCGCCAAGTTCAAGGAGCTGGTGGAGAAGGGCACCAAGCTGGTGCTGGAGCAGGTGGTCACCACCATCGCCAGCGTGGCCGATACTGCAGAGACGGAGTTCATCGCCTACTACGACCGGTTGATGCCTTGTTTGAAGTACATCATTCAGAATGCCAGCAAAGAGGAGTTGAAGTTGCTTAGAGGTTGGTTGGATCATTTTTCAACATTCTTGAAACGTTCTATGAAATTCTTCAACCTTTTGGAATATTCGCAAAACAAATCTTTACGACAATGTCCTACATTCTGATGCCTTGAGATTCTAAAACATTCTAGATGCTTCTAGAATGATTAGCACATTTTGAAACATTCTTAATCCTTTAGAACAATTCAATCATTTTGAAAGCAGCAGCACCGCGATTCATTCTCAAATGATTGAAAAGTATGCCACCAAATCTAAACGGATTAATGAATGAAATCACGAGTGGTGGGGATATCTCTTTTGAATCATCGCCAGAGAATTGATATTCTTGATAGATATATTCTATAAATCAAATGAATTGGGATTTCTATAGATGTGTGTATGTGCATTAATAAATTAGCTCTCACTTGTTGTTTCATAATACGTAATTTTGTAACATATTAAAGAGGTTTTTTGCAATATTTTGAACAGGCTCTTCATTAATCAGATTAATGGGGAAGTTTCCTTCCGATGACTTTTCATAAAATAAGTTCGGAACTCTCCAGTTTTATGTCCACGCTGTACAGAATGGCGACCGATAAAATCCAAGTCGTTTTCATTTTCAAATTAAAGCAATTTCTAATTTTCGGGGCGGCAAAATGTGACGTACATTCTGAATCTAGTCTGAAAATATCTGATGGTGAAGAATATAGCTAGCGAATAGCTAACGAATGAAAAAATAGAATTAAAACTGGTGAACAAAAACATACATAACCACAAATGCACTCGAAGCAGAAATGCAGAAGGTAGTTCGCTCCATTCTGACAGGTTATGGTTTTGGTATTTATGCATTGAAATATATTCCAATAGAGCTCGATCCTAAACGAAAATATCATCGAATCAATGAATCACTATCGGCTACATTCAATGATACTATCCTTCCTAATTTACTGTCATCGATCAAAACAGAATGAAGCCGACACCCATGGCTCCTTCCTCTTGTTGTGCCTGTCGGTATTTTGAGTGGTGTGGACGGACTCGGAAGTATTAGGTGCTGTTGCAATATATAATCTGCAACTTTCCTAGACAATAGATCCGTTTTATTAAGGAACAAATTCATTAGCAAAAGAATGACTGACAAGTTATGAATTACATACAACTTTATTCAGCCAATGAGAAATTCATAGCAATTATTCATAATACTTGACAGAGTATGATATAGTTATTATGCATTCAAAGAATAATTTCCGGAAATCTTAGACATATTGATGATGTCGGCAACGTCGTACTGGCACAGGGAATCGTATTTTAACATTGTGTGAATGTGGATTTTCAGGAAGTATGTCATAGGAATGGTGGAGGAGCCAAGTTCCTCTTTTATTTATTTTGTTATGAAGTGGAATTTGATCTTACGAAAAAAAGAAAAAAATACGTATATATTGATTCTTTACAAACTTCACAGCGAGATAAGAACCTCAATGTAGGGAACTTCCCCATTAAAGAAAGCCATCAAGCAAGACCGCCATTGGACCTAATTTCTATGTACCTGTGAAATATCAGGTTAGGATATATTTTGTAACTAACTTTTCTTCACAGATTTGACACTCCCCAACCATAATTATTCACAAAATTGTTGCGTCAGATTTATCACATCAAAATGAGTTACTGACACACCAAAATCTAATCACACAATAGCCGTAGAACCATCAACACCAACAAAAACGACAAATTACATTTCTCACTTCAATTATTGCTCATCTACTATGAAACTTTGCGGAGCCGCCACGTTCATCTTTGATTAATTCATATATTTTTATTTTGATACTAGCTTTTACCAGCTGCTTTGCTCGCGTTCATTTTGTACAATGTGCAACTTTTGCTGCATAGGCCCGTGACGGAACTTCTAGACAGATGAGCGACCCCTGGAGGTGAAACAACCGCACTTTTATTAATAAATCATAATTAAGAAGCTTCATTGCATAACCAAAAGGCCACCGAACAAGGTCCTTCAGCATGTGTTACACAGTGATTATACATTGATAATAGTGAAAAAAAAAAGAGAAAAGTCTATTGTGAGGCAAGAACTTTGAAAGAATTTCAGTCTTCCGAATTGATCAAGCATTCCAATAGTGTGTTTTCCGGAAACTTCCGTATTGGGTTCACTGTTGGATCTCTCTGTAAACACTAGAACTGGATAATTTAGAGATTGGATTCGTTTTTGGAAAATTTCAAGGTTAGCTTTTACAGTCTCTCAGAAATTGGTTGCACCCTGGTCAGCCGATATAGAAGTTCGTTTGATGGATGGTGAAGGGGATTTTGAGGGTGCCGGAATTTTCTTATTTGTTTACATATGATTGAAATAGGTTTTCAGAATTATTTCGGCATACAGATCGTGTTTTTGGGTTATATTATTAATTCAAGCATGCCATCACATTGTGCTGATTTATTTTCAGGTAGGTAAGTAATTGCTCCTGTAGTCATTCACATAGTTATCATTTGTTTTCATTTTGAAATTTTGTAATTTCTCTTTAGAATTCCTTCTGCAATAGGAGCTAATAGAAATATTTGTGAAGTTTCTAAAGTGAGGCAAGAAGCTTGCATTCGAAATGCTGACAAAATATCCTCCTGTGTGTTACATTTTCACCCTATTAGCTTTTCTATTGCAGAAGTGGCAGAAGTCATTCTAAAGAGAAAAAAATGAAACTTTTCAATGAAAACCATGTGAGTGACTAGAGTGACTTCGGTTCATTTAGATCACAATTTACCTGAAAAATAGTATTCTCGCTGCATTTTTTGTGCATTGTACAACAGCACAATGGATGGCAGGCTTGAATGAAAAACATGAATTGTATACCAAAATATAAATTGTGAAAATCTATTTCAATCATTAGTGAACAAATGAGGAAAGTGAGGTTGTTTTACTTCCAGGGTCGGGCATCTGATACATGTAACCAAAATTTAATTTTTGAGGTTAGTTGTCAGTTATTGTTATCACTTTGCAATCTCGCTGCTCTTACTCTTTTCTTCAAAATGCCTCGGAAGCGTAAGCAAAAGTTGCACGTTGCACGAAATCAACGCTAGCGAAGCCGCGGTAAATATCTGTCAATTATGTTGCTATGGATGTATTATTATGTTTCTAAGGTTCTATTTTTGGTGATAAACTATTTATGCTGAGTTGAATAAGATGGCAATGGCAATGGCATGTAAAAGAAAAAATGATAAGTCTATAATAATAATAATAATAATAATAATAATAATAATATAAGTTTATTCAAAAACGTTTACAAAATATACATTGGAATAAACAGATAGGTATTTTGAATAAACTGGGAAAATCCTTACGAAGTTAACCTTGTAAGGATAAAAAAAATAAATGTACATAGGTCAATAAATATTTAACAATATCAAATTAGGATTTTATGAGGTATACCCCAAGATATGGTCAATGATTATAAAATTGGATCCAATTACTGATCTTGTACGGTGATTACAATCTTTTTATGAGACGACAACTCACCCCACATCATAACTCCAACAATTAATTGTTTCTTTCAATCCTATGGAAACCCGGTGATTTTTTCTTTCAAGGTAAGGCGATCGAATGCGTCACGCTGATAGGCATGGCGGTGGGATCTGAAAAATTCAGCGCCGACGCCACTGAAGTGATGGATATGCTCCTTAAAACGCACGGCGATGGTGCCGAACTACCAGACGACGATCCGCAGACCAGCTATCTGATTTCCGCCTGGTCGAGGATTTGCAAAGTGAGTTTATCCATTCATTCATATTTTTCAACAGTATTCTTTCAAATAAAAAAAAAAAAAACATCTGAAAAAATGTAAAGAGGGGGAATGTCTGTGTTTTGAATCTAATGAACGAGAATGAATGCGCTTAGGAAGCAGAGGGTCACTTCAAATTATGACAGAAAACATTAGGGTGGTATATGAACTTAGAATATCTAACTTGGTGAGGACCTATGTAGCAGACCAACAAAGAAAAAGTGTGGCTTCATCATAGACATGTAAAACGAGAGGGAGGGGGACATAACATTTCATTAATGAAACACTATTTGTTCACAATCATACATACTTCAAAAGTTTCAAATAAGTCGGAAAGAGATTGTTTCAAAAATGGCAACGCTGTAAACTCTGCGTCAATATTCACACTTTTCTTTATCAGTCGCGTGGGTTAAGCAAGGGGCAAGAACATTTTACTATAAAGAAAACACTATTATACCTGCTATTAGAAAGTGTTTGGTTCAAATATTTTAATTTCAATAACAAATATTCATAGTACCCTAATATTTAATTTCAATACCAAATATTCATAGTACCATAGGTACTTACCTAATTTTGGTCAATCATTCAGTGAAATTTGAACAAAACAAACAAGGTTTCTTGCAATAATTCAGTTAAATGAGCTGCGATAACTACACCACTGCTCAAATTGAAAGAAACATAACCTTACTTACGCCGAAATACCAATGGGTTGCGTGCAAGAACTGTCAGATGACTGACCCTGGAGGTAAAACATTGAAACACTACCTCACTTTTCTTATTGGTTTACAAGTGGTTGAAATAGTTTTCCACAATTATTTTGGAATACGAATCGTGTTTTTCGGCTACTCATTACTTCGCGCATATGCCATCACATTGTGCTGTTGTAAAATGCACAAAAAATGCAGCGGAAGACGAAGGAATCCGGTTGGTACATTATTATTTAAAAGTAAGTACCTACTATAAACACTCACACTCTCTCTCTTCCTCTCTACTGTAGCTTAGTCTTAGTCTAGATTACAATTAGGTTAGGTTAGGTTCGGCCTGAATGGTAGAACAGTTCATTCTACTCGTAGATTGTAACTGAACTCAGGCCCTTTATTCACCACATTAAGTATTGTTACCCACTCCTTACTGTACGTATGCTTCTGATGAATAATAAACTTATTATTATTATTATTATTATTATTATTATTATTTGGTAATTTCTCTGATTTCTCATCGGAATTCCTTCTGCAATAGGAACTAATAGACTCGTGAAATTTCTAAAATAATTCATGCAATCAAACTGGTGGACACGCCTGACATGCTGACGAAATATGATCGTGTTTGTTGTAGACATTTTCAATCTATATTAGCAGTATTAGCTTCTATTGCAGAAGTGGCAGAAGAATTTTTGATAAAAAATGACGAAGTTTCATAATGAAAACTATGTGAGATTACTATTTACCTGAAAAATCATATTCCTTCGTCTCTTGCTGCATTTTTTATGCATTGTGCAACAACACGTCGTAGTACACAGATGATAAGAATTGATTATGAAACATATATAAAAAATGTAGAAAATGATATACAAGTAGACGTGAGAAAATTCTGGCGATTTGCTTCGAACTCAAAACATGGTACAGGAATCCCTTCACTAGTGACTTATAATAATGAGCAGGCATCAAAAGGCGATGACATTTGCAATATGTTTGCAAATTACTTTCAGAGCGTTTATGAGCCATATCAACAAATACCAACTAAATTGTCACCGAATCCAAACAATATACTGATAAATAAATTTTATTTCGAGGAGCAACTTGTCCTGAGCAAGATAATTTCTTTAGATGAGAATAAAGGTAGTGGTTTCGATAACATTCCAGCTTATTTTGTGAAAAAATGCGCAAATAGCTTATACATCCCTCTCACTTTGTTATTCAAACTATCTATAGCCGAGGGTGAATTTCCTAAAATGTGGAAAACCGCATATTTGGTTCCTATATATAAAAACTCAGGAGAAAAAAGCTCCGTCACCAACTATAGGGGAATCAGCAAATTATGTATATTTAGCAAACTTCTGGAAAGCATTATTCATGATCAAATGTTCAGTCGCGTAAATGTTTTGATTATCGAGGAGCAGCATGGGTTTTTGCCAAAAGAGCAATCGAAACGAATCTAATGATATACTGTCAGTACATTGCTGATTCTATGGATGAGCGAACCCAAGTAGACTCAATTTACACGGATTTCAGTAAGGCTTTCGATAAAATTGATCATAATATACTCATCTCCAAACTTGCTGAAATCGGTGTACATGGTGATCTTCTGCGGTGGTTCTCCTCCTACGTCTTCAATAGATCGCAGATTGTGACAATAAATGGTTTCAAATCAACACGTATTGCAGTAACATCGGGAGTACCGCAGGGCTCTCACCTGGGTCCTTTATTGTTTTTAATCTTTATAAACGACGTAAAAAAATGTATAATTTGTAGAACTTTCAAGAAGCAAGAGACCTTCAAATCATTATATTTTACTTATGTACATAGTAGATTGACCTTTGCCAGTGTCATCTGGAGTCCTCGTTATAACCTCTGTAAAATTAGACTTGAAAGAATCCAAAATAGATTCATAAGATTCTTAAACTTCAGAGTAAACGGTGTTTACAACGTTGAAAATCTACATTCAGCAAGATTAACATTCAACATTCTATTATTAGAAAAACGAAGAATTATTTCGGACTTGGTCTTTATGTTTAAAATTCTTAAGAACTATTATGATGCCTCCGAATTACTATCCTTAGTATGTATCCACGTACCATCCAGAAACACAAGAAATAGACAATTTCTCAATGTGAGTTTTAAACACACCAACCTCGGTCAAAACGCTCCTATTCCTAGGCTTAGCGATAACTTCAATAAATATTGCTCGGAGATGGAAATTTCCTGTATGTCGTTGTCTCATTTCAAAACTAGAGCCAAACAAATCTTTTCTATGTAATCTATACCTGTAATTTACTTATAGAATATCTACAATTTGAGTTTATTATTGTATATTTGTAAACTATGAGATATGTATATGTATCAGTGGATACTGTTTTGGGTTTATACCTGTATGTATCCCAAATCTGAATAAATAAATAAATAAATAAATGAATAAACACAATGAGAAGGCATGCTTGAATTAATGCATAGCGCAAAAACACGATTCGTATGACAAAATATTATGGCAAACTATTTCAATCCTTTGATTCCTCTGTAAACAAATGAAAAAAGTGAGGTTGTCTGTCAAATGTAAACGATTTCGTCTCCCCTCTTTCTATATGTCTAATTGTTGTGTCTACACTACTATCTAATTGGAGATTTACACACTTTGAAAATCATCTGGGAATTGAACATAATTGAATATTTGAATTGTCTCTTGGATAGGTTCTAGGGAAAAATTTCGAGCAATACCTGCCTCTGGTCATGGGACCAGTAATGAGAACGGCAGCGATGAAACCCGATGTGGCCCTTTTGGACAACGACGATATGCAAGGCGTCGAAGGAGACGAAGACTGGCAGTTTGTTTCGCTCGGCGAACAGAAGAACTTTGGAATACGTACCGCCGGTAAGTCGAAAAACATGCCATAGTTCATATAACTCATTTCTACACGGCGATTTATGCAATATGTCTTAGAAATGTTCATTATACTTCATTTACATTTTCCCACAATATTCTCTCAATGGTTGAACACTCAGACTAATAAATAACAATCCTAAACGCCAAATATGGATAAAAGAATGAAATCGCGAATGGTGGAGATATCGTTGCGGTATTATTGTAAGACAATACTTGATATTCTTTATAGATATATTCTATATATCTAATGAATCGGCATTACTATACATATTATGTGCAAGGAGAATATCTTCCGATAAGGCCTGGTTCAGTAGAAACTGCTCCAGAGCTGTCGCTTCCAAACAGGCAGCATTCCATCGATGGCAGAAAAATCCAGGCCCTGAGACAAGCAGAATATGTCGAGGCTAGAGGCATATGCAATGAGACAATTCGATCATCAAAGGATGCTCATGATGCCAAAATAAGATCGAAACTTGTTGAATGCCCTAACGGATCCCGTTCATTTTGGTCCTTCGCCAAAGCTGTAGGAAGAAACTTCACTTCCAGCTCGTTTCCTCCTCTAACCAAGGAAGATGGAACACTAGCCACAACTGCCTAGGAGGAAGCCAACATTTTTGCGCATTTATTTGCTGGAAATTCCACTCTGGACTCATCGGGAATACAACCTCCAAACATAACGCCAATTGACAAGTCATATTCCCGAGATCACCTTTCGCCAACGTACTATAAGAAAGATTTTATTGGGTCTCAACACCAACAAAGCTTGTGGCTCCTACGGAATCCCACCGATTGTTCTAAAAAAATGTGCTCCCGAACTAACACCTGTTCTCTGCAAGTTGTTCAACTACTCTTACGAATTGGGGATATTCCCGTCCAACTGAAAAATTGCAAGAGTACAACCAGTTCCTGAAAAAGACATAAAGACCCTACCTAGCAACTACAGACCGATCGCATTGCTATCTATTATTTCAAAAATCATGGCGAAAGCTATCAACATCGAGCTCATGAAATACCTGGAACAGTCAGGTATTATCAACGATAAGCAATATGGCTTCCGTCATCAGAGATCAACAGGTGACCTGCTCGCTTACGTCTCACATGTATGGCAGCAATCTATTGAAAAATATGGTGAAACCTTAGCCGTGGCACTTGATATTTCTAAGGCATTCGATCGAGTCTGGCACCACGGACTCCTCGCCAAGCATTCATTTTATGGCTTGCCTCCCCAGCTATGTTCTCTGCTAGCTAGTTTTCTCTCAAATAGGTCTCTCCATGAAGTGGTCGACGGAGTTTCATCTGACTCTCTTATCATAAATGCTGGTGTTCCGCAAGGATCAATTCTAGCACCAACACTATTTCTACTTCATATCAACGATTTGTTGGAAGCAACTTCATGTCCAGTACACAGCTTCGCGGATGATAGCACCCTCCATACCGCCTTCTCTTCCAGGGCTCCAATAACAGCCAGGCAAATCAGAGACGGACGCGGGAGAAATGTTGACAACATAAATATGGACTTGGCAACAATTCTCGAATGGGGATCCAATAACTTGGTAGAATTCAATGCAAACAAAACACAAGCATGCCTTTTCTCCAGAAAGGCCGATCTCACTGTGCCCAACATAAGCTTGTCAGGAGTAACCATACCTTTGAAGACATCCATTATGATGCTTGGTATTACTATCAGCAATAACCTTTCTTGGGAAAATCACGTGAGATCAATTGCTAAAAGTGCATCCCAAAAACTTGGTTTTCTGTTTCGGGCCAGTAGCTATTTCACTTCCAGTCAGCTGCTTATGATCTATAAGGCACAGATTCAACCTGTCCTGAAATACTGTTCCCATATTTGGAGTGATGCATTCAAACATACCTTGAAACTGTTGGATTCTGTCCAAAAAAGGGCAATTCGTCTCGTGGGTGATGCCTCGCTCACAAACTCACTCACTTCTCTGGAACACCGTAGAAAAGTTGGCGATCTGGCTCTATTTTATAGATATTTTCATGGATGATGCTCTCCTGGAATATCAATAATTGTCCCTCCCTTGGCAGGCCCCGCGAGATTAACCCGTCGAGTTGAGGCCTCGCACCCTTTGTGGTCACTTTGGAGACCTGCAGAACATCTCTTTCCAAAGACTCGTTCATCCAATGAACAGCGAGGCTCTGGAACACATCGCCAAGCGAGGTGTTCGTCGAGGCATATAACCTCCAGAAATTTGAGAACACCAATTCCTACCTTATTTCCCTTGGTTCTCATGATGTTCTCTGAACATTACTGGATATGACTTTTCGTGGGAACCAGAACATGAAAAAAGTTCATATACACTTTTATTCTCAAAATGAGCTAAGGAACCATATCCTATATTTCTAGTTACCTTCGTGTTTCTCTTTAGGTCTAGAAGACAAAGCGGCTGCTTGCAGTATGCTCGTCTGCTATGCCCGCGAACTGAAAGAGAGCTTCGCCAACTACGCCGAAGAAGTCGTCAAACTGATGGTGCCCATGCTGAAGTTCTACTTCCACGACGGCGTGCGCAACGCGGCGGCCGAGGCGCTGCCGTGGCTGCTGGAATGTGCCACTTGCAAGGGCGAGGCGTTCGTCGGCGACATGTGGCGGTTTATCTGCCCCGAGCTGCTCAAGGCCATCGACACGGAGCCCGAGAGCGAGGTGCTGATGGTGATGCTCGATTCGTTGGCCAGGTACGACATCATAATGGGGAAGTTTCCTTCATATGAATTTTCATATAATTTCGGGACTCTCCTTTTGTCCACGCTGTACAGAATGGCCACCGATAAATTCCAGAAATTGTTCTTTGAATGCATAATAACTATATCATAACAGCAATGGGATATAATAGGTTCTTCAATCTTACTTTGTCAAGTATTATGAATAATTCCCATAAATCTCTCATTGGCTGAATGAAGATGATTAGTACTCAAGATAAATTATGATATTTTGCGATAGTATCTATGATTTTTCACTATCGTTATATTACAATGTTATTCATAACTTGTCATTCATTTTTCGCTAATGAATTCGTTCCTCAATAAAACGGATCTACTTTCTAGGAAAGTAAAAGATTATATCTTGCAGCAGCGCCTAATACTTCGAGTCCGTCCACACCACTAAAAATACTGACAGGCACAACAAGAGGAAGGAGCCATGTGTGTCGGCTTCATTCTGTTCTGACCTATGGCAGTAAATTAGGAAGGATAGTATCATTGTATGTAGCCGACAGTGATTCATTGATTCTACGATATTTTCGTTCAGAATCGAGCTCTATTCGAGATATATCAATGCATAAATAACAAAACCATAATCTGTCAGAATGAAGCCAACTACCCTCTGCATTCCTGCTCCGAGTGCATTTGTGGTTATGTGTGTTTTTGTTTAACAGTTTTACTTTTTCTTCTATTTCTTCATTTGTTAGCTATTCGCTAGCTATATTCTTCGCCATCAGCTATTCTCAGACTAGATTCAGAAGTCACAGTTTGCTGCCCCGAAAATTAGAAATTGCTTCAATTTGAAAATGAAAACGACTTGGACTTTATCGGTCGCCAATCTGTACAGCGTGGACATAAAACTGGAGAGTTACGAACTTATTTTATCTGAGTTAGTGATTTTCCTGCATCTGAAAGAAGGATATTCTTAGATAATTCAGCAGCTTGTCGATGGACTCGAGCAGACTCCGAAAGTATATACAAATCGGCCATATTTTGCCAGCGTCACCTACGAACCAGTCAAGAATTAAGGCCAAATTTGGCTTCAACATTTCACATGAAAGTGGATCATTTTGCTGTGAAATAATCAAAGATAATTTCAATAATTCTTTATTGTCCTGTGAGAAAGTTCCCTTTTTATAACAAGACTTCCTCGATCAATTCATGATTGATGTTTCATGATTGTGGTTGAATATAAAATGTTCATGTATAATCTCTGCAGACACTTGAAACACCGAAAAAAAATTTTAACCGACCACGTGTTGCCAAATACTTTAAGAATCCGCCATTAACAGCGAATAAAATATTCTCAAGACTTTTCAAACGGAAACGGTTCAGATCTCCATGTTGACATGAGACTGACTTTGTGAAGACTTATGTTTCTCCACAATCATCGAGACTTTTTTTGCAGGTGTATCCAGAAGCTGGGACCGACGTACATCGACCAGGAGTCCATGACTGAAATTCTTAGGATAATCGACAAGTTAATGAAGGAACACTTTGAGAGGGCGAGTGACAGACATCAAAAACATTTAGATGAAGACTATGACGAAGTGAGTATGCCTCTTTCTAATTATATGATGTAATTTTCTGATGTATTTTCTCTGACACGGCGGAACCCAGTATGCCTGACGAATCAATGTCTGGTACCACCATTCCCACAGAGTCCACTTTATGCTCTGTATTTTCATCAGCAATATTCTTTCTCGGGAAAATCATGGCAAATCCATCATGAAAGCTGCTTCACAAAAATTCGGTTTTTATTCCGTGCGAAAATTTATTTTACAACCTCCACAGCTCATGATCCACAAAGTACAGATACGACCTGTTTCAGAATACTGTTCCCACATATGGGGTTCATCACCCAAACATACGCTGATGCTCTTAGATTCTATCTAGAGAAGAGCCATTCGCCTAGTGGGTGATGCCACCTTCACTAATTCTTTGACATCATGGGAACACTGTAGAAAAGTCCGCGAACTTTCAAACAACACTTTTTCAAAACTTGTTTGCCTATAGAATCGCAAAGCTCTGGAATCCTTCGCCAATGAAAGTATTTCCAAGAACATATAACCTTCAATAGTTGAAAAAAAATTTGATACCTACCTTCTCTCACAAATCCTATTGAATCATTCTTTAAGGTCGCCACATGGCTACATGGTGACCTATCTAAATGTGTCACCCCCCTTTGTCTTCATAATTCTTAAGATATTTTGATTATTCAAAAAGGTTTCTGGAATATTTTTTCATGAATTCTTTGAATCTCTGCTCACTTTTTCTTGATTAAAAAAAAATACGGGGGGGCTAAAGAAAGAAAAACGTGTTTTCAAATGAAATGATCTGAATTTGATTCTCTAATAATATATGAATGAAAATTTATAAAAGAAAATGTCAGTATGATAAATGTCAAAAAGTGGCAAATAGGGTGTCATTGTACTTACAATGTTATATTCTCTATCATGTTCAGTTTTGATGAAAATAGTAGATTCAAGATCAATTAATGAAAACATCCTGTAACTCATTTGTAGACTATAATCACTCATTCATATGCCAACATCAATATGACACTGAAAAGTGTCAAACTATATGCAGCACAACTTACAAAGAGAAAAATTTTACATTTTCATGTTGAGAATATTGAAAGGATAAGAATATTTTCATTTTATAGAAACGAGGAGAGAAAATCCCAAAAAATCAAATAAAATGAATATGTTGAAAAGGAATATTCTCAGATAAATTATGAACATACAAAAATCGAGAATATTCCTTTCCAACACTTTCATACCCAATCAGGGGGTTCAAACTTGAACGATGGAAACTTGTGATTTTTATAGACCTCTAATCGTAGATTCGTGATAGTCTCAATTCAGAATTTCTTTCCACGCCCCGTATGATGAATGTCAATTTATCATATCATTTATCAAAAGCTAAAATGAATATACCACCTCCTCGATTAACGTACAGAGAGTATTTAAAATAAGGACCATTTACGTTAAACCGAATCAGTTGAAACGGCAAGGCTCTTCATTTCACTGAATAAGGAATCCCCCGACTACCTATAGAACGTGTGACGTCATTACCGCTGACGATTTTCCGACGTGTTCTAACGGGAGCATTTATTTGGGAATGTATTTTAAGAAATCTAGTACTAGAACGTCATAGTATTTTCAATAGAAATGAAATGTTCTTGCCTATTGTTTATCTGTATTAATAAAAAGTTGAAGGGGTGAGCCACTTTTGAAAAACACCCTGCATATCGAACCGAACGGTTTTTCAGGAGGTGCAGGAACAACTCGAAGACGAAGAATCCGACGACATTTACGTCTTGAGCAAGATCAGCGACGTCATCCACTCGCTGTTCCTCGTCTACCGCGAGAACTTCCTGCCCTTCTTCGACCAGATATGCAGCGACTTCGTGCAGCTGCTGACGCCGAATCGCGGCTGGGCGGACAGACAGTGGGGCATCTGCGTGTTCGATGACGTCATCGAGTTCAGCGGCCCCGCGTGCGCCAAATACCAGGGCTTCTTTTTGCAGCCGCTCGCTATGTACGTCAAGGACAAGAGCTGCGAGGTGAGTCAATTCTCTCTTTTATTTTGGGTGTGAATCTTCGTGGAAAAAACTTATGATAAATAAAAAAAATCTAGTCCACTCGCCAATTGATTTTACAAGAATAGAATAGAATTTATTCAATATAAGATACATCCTAATATTTACAATTCCAATAGCATAATAGAATAAGAGGCACAGCATATTGTTAATCGAAAGTTACCTAGAAAACAGAAACCAGCAAGTTAAAATAAAAAACAAACTGAGCAAAACTCAAAAAATAACATGTGGGGTGCCTCATGGAACAGTGTTAGGACCCTTGCTATTCACAATCTATCTGAATAATTCATTTTTATTGGAAAAGGAAGGTCAAATCATCAGCTTTGCCGATGACACTGTTGTTATACAGTCTGTCCAAGATAAGGTTGAACAGCATGGGGATCTCGGAAACGGTAAGAGATACAAAGTCGGTTAAATGGGGAAAAAGTTGCGCATTCGGAGGCTCATATCAAGAGCCTTCGAAAATTTTGAAAATTATTTTTAGTTTTTGAGTTATATCGAAAAAAGTGAATTTTTGGAATTTCTATTTTATTTTTTTTTCTCCGTTATTATTAGAGATACAGAAAAACTGGAAATACTTTTTCATAACAACTTTTGATGACGTTTTACGTGGTGATACCGATTTTTTTATGCGACGTTTCGTATTCGTGGAACCATCATCAACTTTTGTTTTTTAAATACGGTCCTGATAATTTTTTCACAGATTCTGAAAGGCTTTTTTATTCTGAATTCAACCATGTACTATACAAGGTGATTCGAATGTGTTTCGACCTATTTCAATCCATCATCAATCAGTTCCACTTATTTCTGATCATTTAGTGTCAAACTTGATGGATTAGTTATTCAATACTGAAAAGTGAATAAAAAATATTTCACTACATCATTCGATCAATGCAGCGTTTAAAATTGTTGTTGAATTCTTACACGAATTACTTTAACAACTTAACTTTGACAATACCTACAGAGACATTCATAACAAATTTTCAAAATGATAACCATTATTTTCTGAACAAAGATATCCTCTTCTCACAATTGTTTCTAAGACATTGCTGAGCATTTCTGGGGTTATTCTATTGAATGCTTCGAAGACACTGTCCCTTAGTTCTTCTTCATCCTCAAAGTTATTTGCGTGTACAAAGTTCGATATATCCCCTAAGAAAAAATCCAGCTGTGTTAAATCAGGCGACCGCGCCGGCCAAGGGATAAAAACGCACGGACTTCTCTGGAATTATGTACCGGAGCGCCATCTTGTTGAAACCAACAGAGTTCTGAACTTCCGCAATCGGTAAATCATCCAGAGCTTCCTCAAGATGATTCTCAAGCGAATTTCTATAACGTTCGGAAGTCTGTGTTTCATGGTAAATAGAAGGAACAATAATTCGTGTACCAAATATTGCAACCCACATATTAAAGCCGAAACGGTGTTGGTGTCTCGCTGTAATGTATAAATGTTCATTTTCTCGTGAACAATAATGTGTATTTTTTCTATCGAAGCTACCATGATTAGTGACCATGCTTTCATCAGTTCAGATGATTGTTTGAAAGAAATCTGCAAAATTTCATCATATCCTGGTATACCACTCACAGAATGTCCTGCGCCTTTCGTCATCGCCTGGTTTTACCGCTTGACATATTCTGAATTTTTATGGACGGCATTTTTGTTTCTGCAAAATGAAATGGGTTGTTGAACTGGTAAGTGGAACTGATGGCATTTTTCTTTGGAATTTCGAAAAAACATTGATGATAGCTGAAAATAGGTCGAAACACACATAAACCACTTTGTATAATACATGGTTGAATTCTCATGAAACACCCTGTATATTTTTTTATTTGTTTATTCATTTTTAAAATCAAATGAAAATATTATGGATGTTGTGCGAATTCATGTTAGCATCAGAACATTTGATAATATGTTATCCTTCTAGGGGGTTTGTTGTTCATACATTATATCATTGTTGCTTACAGGTCCGTCAAGCGGCGGCGTACGGCTGGGGCGTCCTCGCCCAATTCGGCGGCGACCAATTCGCCGCCGAGCTCGCCAAGATCCTGCCCGCCCTTGTCGACGTCATCTCCGATCCCGAGTCACGTGACCCGCGCCACGTCAACGCCACCGAGAACGCCATCTCGGCTGTCACGAAAATCCTCAAGTACAACGCAGGCGCCATCAAAGCGGACGAGGTGGTTCCGATGTGGTTCTCGTGGCTGCCGGTCATCGAAGACGCGGATGAAGCGCCGCATGTCTACGGGTTCATGTGCGATCTTATCGAGCAGAATAATCCACACGTCCTAGGTGAGACTTCCATTTTCTTCAAGTTCAATACCAATTCGCGATGAAAAATACTACTGGGTACTAGAGTTCCTGAATGTATTTGACACTGCTGACACAATTTTCTACTGCATTTACTCAAAAAAAAAAAAATAGCTCTAACTGGAAAAAACCATTTCAAGGGATGGATCACAACTGGCATTAGGAATTCATGTGAGAATAACTATGAAAAGTTATACTGTTGATCCACACATATTGAACTATATAAATATATATCAACACATTTTGAGAAAAACCATCAACGCTGCCAAAATATCGTATTACAGTGGTGAAATAACCAAATCTGATAATAAGAGCAAAATAACTTGGAACCCAGTAAATCATTTCACTAAAAAGACAACTAATAAAGTTGATAATATTCCCATTGAAATTGACAATACTCCTATTGAAGATTCCCAACGACTGTCAGAAGAATTTAAAAACCATTTCTCAACGAATGCCTGTCACATAAATAACGACAGAAATAGTGTGAATAGACACGCAGAATTCCTCAAAAATATGAAACGTAACTTTGTAAACTCATTCTACTTTGATACGATAACTGAGGCTGAAATGAAAAATTGCATTACTGCCCAGAGACACAAAAAATCAACTGGCATTGACGAGATACCAATGACCCTCATTAAAAGAAATGCTCATCTTCTTTATGTAGTGGAATCTTTCCCGAATTTTTCAAAACATCAATCGTCATACCAGTCTTCAAAAAAGACAGTAAATTAGACATCAACAATTATAGGGGCATTTCACTATTACCTAGTTTTTCAAAACTCATTGATTGGATTGTGAATCTTCAACTATTGAAGTACCTTGGGCAACATAATATTTTAACAGATTCACAGTTCGGCTTCCGGCAAAACCTGAATACTACCAACGCATCTTTTGCTCTACTAGAACACGTAAATGAATTATTAGAATCCAAAAAATATCCATTGGGGATCTTTTGCGACTTGTCTAAAGCATTTGATTGCGTCGACCACTGTATTCTTTTGAATAAATTGGGGTATAATGGTATACGGGGTGGGGTATCTCTAATAGATGGTTTGATACTTATCTGAATGACAGGAGAATGCTGGTGAAAATTGATCACATATCTAGTAAATATTTAACTAATTCATACTCTGAAATGGCAAACGTGAAAAGTGGTGTCCCCCAAGGATCTATCCTTGGCCCCACCCTGTTTGGGCGCCATATTGAATTTTTGCATTTTTGAACAGTCTTTTTTTTTATTACAATGATGTATCACACGATATGATCGAATCTTTCCTGTTGATCAAAATCGGGAAGACCCATTTTTGCGAAGAGTGCTTTGGAAGAAACGCCAACAGTTTTGTTTAACAATGTGAATTTCGACAGTTCAATTGAATATGCGAACAGAACTGTTGAATTCTTAAGCTTCTCCACATAATGCAAGAAGGGTTGCTGAGTGTCTGTCAGATATCTTCCCTGACAAGGTAATTTCCAACAACGGAGACATACGTTGGCTAGCGCGGTCACCTGATCTCTCTCCGCTGGATTATTTTTTATTGGGAACTTTTGATTTTCAAAACTGTACCGGTCGACATTGATGAGCTGAGAAGAACCAGAATCACCACTTTCAGGACTAAGATAAGAAGATGGGACATCTCGCGAGCAATTCAGAATCTGAGGAAACGCGTAGAATTGTGTTAAGAAGTAGAACGTGGAGTATTCGGGCATCTTTTATAACTTTGTTTTGTTTCGTTTTGCGAAGAATAAACTTCTAGCTCATTACGTCGTTCCTAATTCAAAACCATAGTTTTCAAGTAGATGAGCTTGACGAAAATGTGAAAGTTAGCTTGTTAAACAAAACTGCTGGCGTTCTTTCCAAATCACTCTTCGCAAAAATGTTTTTTTCCCAATTTTGATCAACAGGAAAAATTCATTTTGTTATAGTTTTACTCGGTATTAGTTGTATTATAGAGAGATGAAAATTGTGTATATCATAAAGAATGGCTGTAAGAATAAGTGGACATCATGGTTACTGATGAGGATTCAGAAATCCGAAATGGTTTCATTGCAATAAAGTCATATAACCTGTGTGTGAGAGATAATATTTCCCATATCACTGATATGAATGATTATTTTTGGAAGTTTTCAAGCTCATCAAGATCAGAGTTTATGCCAGTATACTTCTCCTATACACTCCAATTTTCATTTCAATGCTGAATATATCGGTAAGTTATATTTCTATATCATATTATTCATCCGATTTGAAGAAGAATGTCAATTCTCAATTTCGGAGGATTTTATTTTTTATTTTTCATGTTCTCCTTTTGAATGTTCATCAGATATAATTCAATGTTCGACGTGGCAAATAGCGTGGCAAATAGCCAGGAAAGTAGTTCGTAAACTGGTCTCAGTTCTACTGTTCCAAATGGTCTCTTCAATAATTCTACTACACCAGGGTGATCAAGCCTGCTGTGAGCCAAATCATTGCTATTTTGACTATTTTTAGTTCGCATCGATTGTGCCCTAGTTGTGACAAACATATTTTCAATTTTTTCACCCATTGCTTTGAGTTCGTTCGCGTCAATTTGAATACGGGACAAAGCATCTGCTGATACGTTTTCTGATCCTCTTATGTAAGATATTGTGAAATCATATTCTTCCAACGTTAACCTAAATTTAGTTAAACGACTTGACGGATTCGTCATCCCAAATAGATAGACAAGAGGTCTGTGATCTGTGAAAATGTCAAATTTTCTACCAAATAAGTAACTCCTGAAGTGCTTTACTGCCCAAACTATCGCAAGTAGCTCCTTTTCGATAGTGCAGTAATTCAATTCTGCTTTGTTAAGTGACCTACTGGCATATGCCACAGGCCTGTCATTAGAATTTGACAGAACTGCTCCTAAAGCAAATCCTGACGCATCCGTTCTTAAAATAAACCGATTATTTTCTGACAGATCAGGATATTGTAGCACGGGAGGAGTGGAAAGAGCACTTTTTAGTGTCTCAAATGATTGCTGACACTCCTCCGACCATTGAAAGTCACTATTTTTTCTAGTTAGTCTGTTTAATGGATTTACTATTTTAGCAAAATCTCTTATGAATTTCCTGTAATAGTTGGCAAATGCCACAAACCGCTTTGTCCCATTAGCATCTTTGGGAATCGGATATCTCTGGATCGATTTAATTTTTTCTGGATCAGGTGAAATGCCGTCTGACGAAATCACGTGACCTAAGTACAAAATTTCTTTCTTAAGAAATTCGCACTTACTCGGGTTGAGCTTGAGCTCAACATTTCTGAGTCTCTCTAGCACTTTGACAAGGTTTTTGTTATGGCTAGTTAAGTTATTTCCAAAAATGATCAGATCATCTAAATAAATAAAACACGACTCGTAATTCAAACCAGACATAGCCATTGTCATTACTCTGGAGAAAGCATTTGGACTAATTTTCAGCCCCATTGGTAAGCGCTTCATTTGGAACTGACCCCTATCGGTTGTAAATGATGTATATGGTCGACTAGCAGGATCTAACTCTACTTGGTAGTATCCTTGAGACAGATCAAGGTGAGAAAAATAGACTGCGCCTGCTAATGAATCTAAGATTTCTGATATACAGGGCAGTGGAAATTTATCATCCTCTATCTGTTTATTTAACAACCTATAGTCGATCACTACTCTCCATTTTTTGTTACCTTTGCTGTCGCATTTTTTAGGCACTATGAGTAATGGCGAAGACCATTCTGATCTTGCTTCTTCGATAATATCATTCTGCAACATTTGATCTATTTGTTTATGAATCTCCGCTTTCTGTGCATGTGGTAATCTGTAGGGCCTCACGTAAACTGAGCTCGCATTTTGCTTCAATTGGATTTTTTGTTTCGCAACGTTAGTCACCGAAAGTGAATCATCCTCTAAGTGAAAAACATCGGCATATTTCGCACATATTTTCTGGATTGCCGTTATTTCCTCTTTATTCAGCGAATCAACATTTATAAGATCTAACACTCTATCTATTCTTTCAACAGCTAAATCCTTGCTCTCAAATTTACATACATCAAAACTGGCAAGTTTTTCACATTTTGGTCTGAAGTTCCGAAGTTTTACTTCCTTGTCATTAACATTCAATAATCTAACGGGTATCAAATTATTTTTTGGTTTTGCAATCACGCTACCTGCAAACACACCTTCGCTCAATTCATCCCCTAATACAACACATTCATCATCACTATCAATCCAAAAGTACTTGATAATTTCACAACGTGGTGGAATAATCGTATAACAATCGTATTTTGACTGTAAAGGTATGGTTATTTTCCTGTTATTCTTCCATAGAGAAAAACAGAATTTCTCGAAATCAATGGTGGCACAATATTTAGTAAGAAAATCGGATCCTAAGATTCCATGCATCTCATTTGCAAAGTTATCAAGTAATAAAAACTCGTGCTTAATCATCACGTCCTCTATAAACAAAGAAACATTCACTGAACCTTGTGAAATTGTTGATCCGGCTATTCCATTTATTCTTATATTTCTTGAGGTGTCAATTCTTTCACACTTGTCTAAATATTTTGCAAAAAGAACACTAATAGTTGCTCCAGTATCAATCAAAAATATGAGTTCATTTGTTCCATATCTCATTTTCACAAAATTCATCCCATTCATACTTAATATAACAACATCGTTCATAATATTTCCATTTTGTTTAGGAACGAAAAAACCGTTCACTCGCAGAGTTGTTATTGTTTACTTGGTTGTCGACCTCAGTGTTTGAACTTGAACTTTCCGCAAGATAAGCTCTATGATTCTGGCTATTCTGATTTCTATACCGATTTGAACGACGCATATTCACGCTACCGCGTCCACGATTATTATTATATCGCTGATTAGGAAAATTTCTTTGTTGGCTATTTGACTGTCTAAATTCGTTGTTTTGATTGAACCTAATGGAATTATTATTGTTATTTTTATGGAAATACTGATTTCCTCTGATTCCTGAAAAACCGCGTCTAGCTCTTCGATCTCTCATATGGAAACATTGAGAATTTGAAGACCCTATCTTTGACTTATCTTCATCTTTAGCGCCACCTATTGCATCCCTCAGATTATTATAATTCCTTGCTTTAACGATGGTCCGTAACTCAGAATTTCTCAGCCCATTTGCAAAAGCATTAATCGCTATTTTCTCGTTAACTTTTGACAACATTTTTGCACTATCATCATCTCCATTGGATTGACATAAGGTTAAATTCACTAACAGTTCTTCAATACTTTTTCCGAATTCCTCTATTGATTTATTTTCCTGCTTGACATTATGAATTTCAATTGACAAAGCTGCAGCAGACTTTTTAGTGAATAGATGAACTTTCATGTCCTTTAATAGATTATCGATAGAATTGTAAGTATTTTCTAACCTTAATTTTGCATTTTGAGAGAGCCTAGTTTTTAATACATAGCTGATCAAGAATGTTTTCCCATCTTGATCTAGAAGATCACTATATAACTCAATAGCATCGATAAGCTGTTTAGTCGTATCTTCCGTGTTATCCATAATGGGAATTAAAGAAGAAGCAGTCCTAAGGTCAAATTTTTCGCCCATTTTTGCGATATTTCCTCCTTTTTCTATATTTGATAATCTGTCCTTTAAAATAGAATGTGCTTCAGAAATCAAACTATTTATTTCTTTAGCATAACTTTTGACTTGTGCCGTTTCTTCTAAAGTTTTTTCACTTTTACTATTAAACAACTCCTTAATTTTATTGAAATTGTCTTCTATTTCCCTCAATTCTGAACGTTTCTGATCAACTAATTGCAAATTACCTCGCCTCTGAGAATTATCTTTTGTTAAATTACGTCTAAAAACCCTAATTTCCTCATAAATATGCCTAAATTCTATCATTTGTACTACCTAACACTAATTAACTTATCTACCTTATACATATTAATCCTGCGGTCCTCTCTGCGCCTCCTCGAACCTGCTGCAACTCCAACTCGATGCTCATCTATGGGTTGAAGTTCAATTTCTCTCGGCTTCACACAGTCTCCTGGCTCCTGGAAAGTTCTCTCCTAATCTTCCTCTCTAGTGCTTTCTTCGCTCGTCTTCGGATATACAGGATGATTGCTACCAGAACTAAGCAACCAACTACTACGGCCAGTACCTCGAATATGGTGTATTTCTGTTGACTTCCTTCGGCTGCAGTATTATTGATGGCACCTCCGTTGATTCCTGCTTGGCCAATCACGAAGTTTTCCTTTGCTTGCTGGTTCCCCATATCCAGTATTTAGGTATACCAATCGTGTAAATTTTAACAGTACAACGACTGGCAGGATCGCCATGTAATAGGATGAATGATCATTCCTATTCCAGGGTTAATAACTGGGTTGTGAATGTATGGTGACAGACATTCTAGTAATCAACTCAAAGTCAAGTTAGAATCAATCTTCTCTTTATTGGTGGTACCAGGTATATATATATAAATCATAGGAACGTACCCTAAACCTAAACAACCTAATATCATGAATACACCGTGCGTCTTGATAACAACAGTGTTAACAACCCACACGGTGCGTTGTCCTCGCTTAACCTATTATACAGAGTATTCCTACAATATAATATCACCCTATATTATCTTACATACTACACTCTTGAATATTCAGAATGATGTGTGAATATACATATTTTTGTCTGAAGGAGAATGCAAATTCTCAATTTCAGAAGTTTTTTTATATTTTATTTTCAAACCCTTATCGTGTGTGTTCAATAGATATAATTCAATGTTCGTCGTGGCATATAGCCAGGAAAGTAGTTGTTTTCTATTGAATAAACTGAAAAAGAGTAGATATTCTCATCACATTGAGAATGCAAATTCTCAATGTATTGCTTCATATAAATATATATCCATTTTTGTATGTTTATAATTTATCTGAGAATATTCCTTAAAAAAAAGACTTAAAAAATGCAAAAATCCAATGTGGCGCCCATGAAAAAAAACAAAGTTGTGTGTTGTTACTTTGACAACAAGAACGTACAATAAATTCAATGGCAGATTCAGATTCCTTGTAAGAACGTCCCAGTCAAAAACGTCTAGGTCTTTTGGTTTCCGCTTGAAAAAATGAAAACGAGAATTATAAATTTTCGTTTTCTTCCAATAATTCAAAAACTAAAAATGACACATCAAATTTTCTGGCAGATAAATGTTCAGCATGAAATTACGCAACTTTGCCCTAATTTAACCGACCTGTATAGACATTTTTATTCAGGAGGGAGTTGGTTTTTATTGCCATTAGTTGAAACTGTTGCAAGGTATAAATATTATGTGTTATGTGCAAGTGCACCATCAAACATTTTCATCCATTTTACTGAGTCCTGCTATTATCAAATGTTATTGCAGGTGCAAACAATTCCAATATCCCGAGGATAATCAACATAATCGCCGAGGCATTCTTCAGAGAAGCGATAGAGCCTAGTAAGCCTGAAGGCTTCAGGATGACCAACATCGTGAGGCAGGTTCAATCGAACGAAACATTTTTCCAAAGTGTGGTTCAGTCCTTGGCGCCGGAATTGCAGCAAGCGCTACACATAGCGTTACACACTCCTCCCCCCTCTTAGTTGAAAAACATCTTTAAGTTATTTTAATGTTATTTTTTAATATGCAGAGTTGAAATAAAAGTTGAAAGTTATTATATAAATTATTTTTATATATGTGCGACTTGTAGCCGAAATTTATGTTTGTGTAGGAAAATCGAATTTTACTGATATTTTTGTACGGTCATTAGGGGCACTACCTTACTTGGAATAGGCATTATCTTTTATTTCAACCGAGACTTGATTGGTTATTGTAAATAGAATTTTGCAACCGTGGACTGTATGTGATAATTTTTTTCATTGATTTCACAATAAGCCTGTTTTTGTCTAATGAATTGAGTATCGTTAGTGTTGGAATTTATTACTCATCAATGACGTTATATGAACATCTCAATAAAACATTTTCTCTATGAATCGTTGACTTTTCTTCCTCAAGATTACTGGCCAGATGGATATCCTCTCTATATACCAAGTCTGATTAAGTAGTTCTTGGAATCATCAATGACTGGTGATGTTGTTTTCTCTTGTATCTGATTTTTTTAGTAAGATTATTTTCAGATACTCTACTCATACAAGGTGTTTTTGAAATGAGTACATATTATATTGACCACATCAACATGATATGATACCATTATGCAGGATGAATTGGGTAGGATTGACAGAAAAAAAACTGTTTTTTAGTATAAATAAGACAAAGTAAGATAGAAAATGTATGAATTGTAACTCATAAACATGTCTAGTTGTAATCACATGAATTATAGTAAATCAAGGTGGAGGCACGGTCAGAAAGTTCATTTTTTAAACAGATAGTTATCAAGAATCAAAAATACGTTTTCAAAGCTTACGATAGACTAAAACTATAATGTCTCACCAAAATATAACTTGTTGATTTTGGAAATAGTGGTTGCATTTTTTTTTTCAGAAAAATATAGGAGTTCAAGTATCCTATACCATGATACGACGTTTTTAGGAACATTTTCGGCTTATATTTTAGAACTCAAATCTTTTTCTAATGAGCCTACAACAACATAGTGAAATTTTAGTCAGTTCGACACAGAGCCAATTTCACAATTCCCCAATAGAAAAAGAAAAATAATCTTGCCTTCTGCGCGGAAATTTGTACAGAGGATAGAGATGTTTTGCCCCAGATTTTAATCCCCGCAGAAATTATCTCTGTTTTATGGTGCCATTTGATTTGAGCATTCCCTATAGCGTTTGGATTATGTTATGTACATGTCATGTATATTTATTTTTATGTTACTGTGGATTTTTCTTTAATAATTTTGGCACTTTCCTGAACAACTTATTTTCTTCCTACTGTCTCAAATTAAGTAGGTACCTACCCTAGTGTCCATATATCAAGTAATAGGAATAATGAGATATGATCTACAATCTCCATCATAAACAACTAATAATAGTGCAAATTTGAATGAACTGTGTTACTAGTTTCTAACTAGTGATTGCCGCACAATCACAGAACATTATTAACCGGAACATCCGACCGCCATTTTGAGAAAACTGTTATGTAAACAAACTAGTACGAATGTCAAAGTAAAAGATTTTTAGTGTGTGGAAATTGTTATAATTATCTATACGTGAATCCTAATTTTGAGCTTCAAAAACAAGAAAAAGTTCGAAATGGTTCTGAATACTGGATAATTGTAATACAGGTATGTTCCTACTATGTTTCCTTCCATTGTCAACTTTAACTGATTAAATTCAAACGCTTCTCCGCTTCAACACGCATCTTATCTTTTATGAACATTAGATACCTCGTCAGTACTCATTAGATACATACCTTTATTCTAATGGATATCAAGGAAAATTGAAGCATTCCATGTTCTGGAAAAATCGCGGCCTTATAATTTTAGGTGGAAGAGAAAGTGAATTCTCTTGTGCTTCAATCTCCTTCTCTACCTCTTGTTTAGTTCTGATCTTCAATACTTCAATATGATGATTGAGAATAATCCTACTATTCTTTGTAAATACCACCAGAAAATTGGTTATTTTTATGGCGCTTAACGTGAGAGAAGAAGAGTCCTTAACCTAAATTCTTCTGTTTTTTTGGGCCAAGTGAGTTATCCTGGAATTTGCAGCACTGCTCGGCTTTCCTTGATTTGTTGTTTTCTTTGTTTTGATTATTCGTTCCTCAAAGTTCAAAGCCGCCATCTTGTTAAATTCGTTTATGACTTGAACATGCTTTTGGTGAAACCGGTAAAATAATGTGAATTTCGTTTCAAGTTTGGTATTCTACGGTGATACAAACCACTTATCAACCCAACAACACATTCTACTGAAGAAAACAACAAATAGGTAAGTACCTATAGGTATTATAATATTCCCAGCCTAAGGTGTTCATTTTCCATCCGAGGTTTCAACAACTGACGTTTCTATCTTGAAAGTCGCTCATCTTCAGAATCGCTCGGCATGCATGTGCTTGTACACACACCTATTTACAGACATATTTTTTATATTTCGCGATAGGTAAAAGAAAAGTGCCTTCCTAATACATTTTCTAGCTGTTATTAGGTAATTAGGAATATTGATAAAATGTTTTCTTCACGCTTCTCCACATCAACACGCATCTCAATCTTCTATGAACATTATATACATACCTTTATTCTATTGGGTACCAAGGAAAATTAAAGCACAGTTGAGAGAATATTACATATTCTCTCAACTGTGATTAAAGCATTCCATGTTCTGGAAAAATCGCGGCCTTATAATTTTAAAGGTGGGAGAGAAAGTGAATTCTCTTGTGCTTCAATCTCCTATTTTACCTCATGTTTGGTCCTGATCTTCAATATGATGAGTGAGCAGATAAAAATAAAATACCACCAGAAAATTGTTTATTTTTATTTTGTTATTGATCATGGCGCTTAACGTGAGAGAAGAAGAATATAATACCTTAAGGTCCTTAACCTAAATTCTTCTGTTTTTTTGGGCCAAGTGAGTTATCCTGGAATTTGCAGCACTGCTCGGCATTCCTTGATTTGTTGTTCTTTGTTTTGATTATTCGGTCCTCAAAGTTCAAAGCCGCCATCTTGTTAAATTCGTTTATGACTTGAACATGCTTTTGGTGAAACCGGTAAAATAATGTGAATTTCGTTTCAAGTTTGGTATTCAACGGTGATACAAACCACTTATCAACCCAATAACACATTCTACTGAAGAAAACAACAAATAGGTAAGTACCTATAGGTATTATTATAATATTCCTAGCCTAAAGTCTTCTTTTTCCATCCGAGATTTTAACAACTGACGTTTCTATCTTGATAGTCGTTCATCTTCAGAATCGCTCGGCATGCATGTGCTTGTACACACACCTATTTACAGACATTAAAAAAATATATTTTGCGATAGGTAAAAGTACCTTCCTAATACATTTTCTACCTGTTATTAGGTAATTAGGAATATACCTATATAGATTAAATATGTTTTAGGTTGGAAATGAGTATATATATGTTTTACTGAATAGTTTATTTTCTTTTATTACATTTCAAAGAAATTATGGCTATGTAAACTCAATTTATTGTAACCTTGGATCGTTTTTGTGGTTATAGGTACTACCATTAATAGATCGATATGGGTACCACCAAGATCTTTATCATCACTGATTAGTTTAGTACTTATAGTAGTAGTACTAGTAGTACCTACCTATACCTATATACCTACCGACTTATCAGATTCCGGTTCAGAAGGCAGAATAATATCTGAAAAGGTTCAGTGAAGAAAAATTGAAATTAGTTGGATAACCTTGGGGAATACCGGGAATACCTACTTGCTCTATATTGGTAGTTAGTTACTTATACCTATGTATCTAATACGTACCTCGTACCTAAAATGAATGCTTTGATAAAAATCGTAGTTTTGAAGTAGATATAGGTAAATCGCCCAAACGGATGTACCTATAGATTTTATAATAACATCATCAATTTTTTATTATTTCTCATTTTAATTTATTGGCAGATTGGCAGTGTCTAATATACCAATCCCATGAGTAGATTTCGTGATCGATACTTACTTGTTTATCAAAAGTTGACATTCTGATAATGAAAATATTTATTATTCAGAATGGCTTAGTTTGACTAACCATTATTTTACGTTTCATGATCTGTATCATAATTATTGTATAATGAGCATTATAAATTAATGATTTGATTCTGATATAGTTATTGCAAGGTTATTGCTTTGAGAAATGATGAAAACTAAATAACGAACTGTCAAATCTGTCATTTCCTTAATTCTTCTTATTTTTTCATTCTACTGAAATATTCGTTTATGACCATTGCCATGATGCTTCATTGTCAAATCGGTCATTTTCCTCATTTTTCTGAATTCTTCTTCTTTTTATTATTGTACCGAAATATTCGTTTGTAACCATTGCTATGATGTTTCATTGTTCACATTCGCTCGAACTCGATTCGACCTTCTGCTTCGTGGTTACTATTTGATAAATAGGAGAAGAATGAAATAAATAATGTTTTTGTTGGAGAATGGGAGTTGGAAAGGCACGCCGTCCGCCATTTTGTTTTAAATGTTCGTAGTTTGATAATAAGTGCGGTTGAGTGGAAATATTTAACATCTAAATTCGAGGTATGATGATGAAATTTAATTGGTTTTGAATCGATTAGGGTATATGAGCCAAGATGAACCAAATGAAGTTATGTTCGTGAACTATGTTGATATTATATTTTGTTTCGTAACGGTTTTGGTGATGTTATTTTAGCAAGATGGCCGCGCTATTTTCAGATGCGTGCTTTGTCACGTTTTAAGTAGTAAAATTTGAGTTTCATTTCTTCTAAATTATAAGAACTAATTGGTAAAGGGATTATTTTGTATTGAGCTATTCTTTTGTGTTGGATTATGTTGAATAATTAAGGATACAGCACAAAATTTCATTTCTAGATACAGGATGTAAACCTTTCTAATCACTAAAAATTGTATTCTGCAAATTTGTCAATATAATATCTTGAAAGTTTGATTACTGATTCCTAGGTACCATCGGAATGAAAATGCGAAGAATATATAAGTACGCCCTCGAATTTTGCACAATATTCCTAAACACACCATATACCGGGTGTCCTTTTGATGTCAGCTATCAGCTGTAACTATCAAACTGATCGTCATCGTCAGTGTCACTACGTTTTACACCTACTAGCCTATTTAATGGAATCCCAACAAAAGTGGCGTTGAGAAGAATTATAAGACCAATATACCCATTTCTCCTTTGGTTTTCTAGCTATATTTCTGACATTAGGAACATCGAATATGCTCACTTGATCTCACAGTTCAGGCATTTTTTTTCATCTTCCGGTTTTCCTTGAAAACACCTCATATAGGCCTCTTCAAACATCAACTTTTTAAACCGGGTTTGATTGGGTTATTTCAAACGATTACGAAGATATTCACGTTCGACGTTCCCATAAGCTCGTGTGACGGCGCAATATCTAAACTTCTTTCTCTGTCACACTCATTGAGCTTATGGAAACTTCGAACGCGAATATCTTTGTAATAGTTCGAAGTAATCCAATCAAACCCGGTATCGTTGAATTTGTTATAATTATCCCTAACCGATTTTGAAATAAAATACACGGTGTTTTATTTAAAATTCGAGTTAATGTCATTTCCAGGAAAACCAGTGTATAAAAAATCCTAGAATGTGAGAGAGTACCCTCTAGTGAGCATATTGGATGTTCCAAATCTCAGAAATATAGCAAGAAAAACTAAACGAGTCAGTGCCACCCGATATAGTCAATGGAAATTGTTTTTCACTTCAGAATTTCACCACTTGATAGTTAAGCAGTGCATTTTTTAATCGAAAATGAAAATTGAGAATTTTATATAAATCAATTGTGAAAGTGATTTACATGGAATATTATTCAATCAACACTCCAAAAATTATTCATTTGACATTTTTGACTTAGGTATAGGTGGGTATACCTACTTTTTGAGGTACCATTTCAAAATAAAGGGACGAGAGGGAGGGTTAAATGATATTACAGGTGTCAATGTGAATCGATTAATAGCCCTTGATCTTGAATCTGAGCTATTATAGATATCCCTTGTTCACCTGGTATTTACAGAGTAATTGTTTATATTTTACTCAATAGCTATCTCACTTAATATTGGTCCAACAAAAACATTGATGTGGGCGAAAATTATGTATTTTTTATGGGCATGCAGAATTCAGTACTAGAAAATGCAAAAAAACTAGTATTCTTTAAATGAAACACACTGTATTTTCTTTTTCTGAACGGTTGACCTCTCTCTTCTGATTTCAAATATATATACTCTGTTGAGGTTCTCTTTTGTCAGTTTTTGAAAAATATGGACTTGGTACAATGCTGCGATTTCTGGCGTTCTATAGCTGCCTTAGAATCAATATTTTTCGAAATGAATGATACTCCATCATGGCCACTTTTTCTTCCCTAAAAGTTGGCGTTTCAAATTTGAAATTCGACGTTTCTTCTTCCAGAAACCATAATCATTTTTTTAATGCGGACCTGTATTTTCATTAATTTTTTTTCCTCTGGATAGCTCAAAATGGACAGTTTCGTATAGAATATTGAAAAAAATACAGGAACTATCAATTTAAATTTAGACTGTGATTGCTCATTGCTTTTGGGCATTGTCTGCTAAATATGAAGAAAAAAATCTAGATACTATATAGCTCACTAGATTTTTTCTCCATATTTAGCAGACAATGCTTTTGGGCTATCCAGGTAAGAAAAAATAAAATGAAAAATCCAGGTCCGTATTTAATGAGCATAAATTCATAATAGTTTCTGGAAGACTAAACGTCGGATTTCAAATTTGAAACCGGCAACTTGCAGCAAAAAAAAAGTGGGCATGAATTTTTTCGGATACCTCTTGAAGTATTCAGAATTTTCCAAGTATCAAATGGTATTTTGTTAGTCATAAAATTGCACAACTTGGCCATATTTCAACCGACCCTGTATATCTCACGGTTGACGAGATTCTAATGATAAGGTTCTAATTCCAGCCAGCCTGTACATTACATTTAGGAACACCCTGTGTGACCCTGTTTATAACATGTGATCAGGAGACCCAAACTAACCAATATATCGAAGACTGGAACCTTTGGCACGATAATACACTACACTGTTTTACCACTAACCAAACCGATTTTTTAACGCCTCGACACGTGTTTCGCTAACTATGTTAGCATCTTCAGTTTTAATCTTCTCCTGAAGATGCTAACATAGTTAGCGAAACACGTGTCGAGGCGTTAAAAAATCGGTTTGGTTAGTGGTAAAACAGTGTAGTGCCAAACTAACCATGTAACTTTGTAGTGTAAAATAACATTTTGAATTTCGAAGGTTCTATAATAAGTATGCGAGTAAGTATGTATTTCATGATTTACTTAGGTGGCTGTGATCGTCATAGTTTATTTAGTTATATTGTTTCTTGTTATAGACAAGTCTTAATAGTGATTTCAGAAACATTACTAGAAGTCGTCTAAAGGATGCCTAGTTACCTACCTACTATAAGTAACTATAATAATTCGAAAAATATACAGGACGAATAAAAAAATTGAATTTAGGGGGATAAAAAATCGCCGAATATCAAGGACATTCTAGGTCACATACCCCTAAGCAGGTATACGTTTATCCGAGCGTTTATCTCAGTGGAATACCCAGTTAACCACACTTAATGTTTCAGTTCTATCTCAAGAGACAGTGGCGTAACCATGCAGAAGTGTCGAGATAAGTGTACTTTCACTTTATGTACAACACATTCTTATTGATTATTGATCATTGGTAATCACAATGATTTTGAGCATTCCAGAATACAATCATAAAATCTGAGCTCTTTGGCTTGAGAGCAATTTCACCGAGGATATGACTATTTTTATACCTCTCCATTGAATTGACAGCATGGCTAGTCCATTAAGACTCACATGGGCTGTAGTATTCTTTGAATTAGTCTGGATGCGTATCAAAAGATATTTTTGGAGTCCATAGTGGACACTGCATATGTGCACATTTGGGTAGGGAATTTCCAATCATTCATTCAAATGTTCGTGTCACATTTTGATTTCGGCTTTGATAATATTTTTAGAAATATCAGGTAGGAATATCAGTCGATATATCTATCTGATACTGCACCATGTAAAGAACTCGAATATCTTCTGGATGAATTTGTTCCAGATATTTAAAAACGAGAAATCAGTTCCATCGCTCTTAAGCTAGTCTCACACAATGGCCGACGACACAGAACCCTTATGAACATGAAACGTAATACGTGAATTAAAAAGTGGTGTCTTTCTATCGGCATATGGGGGGGGGGGGAAGTATTTTCCCATTATCCCCCCGTAGGTACGCCAATCACAAGAGAAATCAGTCATAAAAACTAGTATTATCGTGAATCATGAACGGATTGAAAACATATTTTCCGAGCAACCAAAAAACAGAGTGGAATTCAAAGGTTAATTTGAATTCAATGTGGCCTCATATTTCTTGGTCAGCTCACTACAAAATATAGTACCTGAGTATTTTTTGGTGTCAATCAGAATAGAAAACATTTCTCAAATACCCTGACCTTGCCTTTTGAATTTGTACTAAATGGTTGAGGCTGTTATAGCCAGATGGTTATGGATTTTTCGTAATCTCTCACTGTTATTTTGATTTAACGAAATTCAGATGACAATTGAAGAGTTGATGTTAACAGCCTCTGTCCTTTAATATTGTTTAACGGCAGACGTTCCAAAATAACACGATGTTAGGATTTTTCTGTTGAATTATGAGGTACGTGTGGTAGATTATAATCCTCGGCTGTGCCTCGGATCACAATATCCAACCTCATCCGTTATTTGCTACAAATTGACCTTGTAACGTTAATAACTATGATACAGCAACAATTTTCTCTCAATGATTTTAATATGTAGTTATTATGAAATTATTCTATGCTTTCACCCTCGCTTTATACAGATATACAGATTTTATAATAGGAATATATATATAAATAAACATGAGTATATAAAAGTACATTTTTTATTAGGATCAAAAGTGACACTTGGTTTGACAAGCGAATTTTGCATTTGCGATTCGGAGCGTCTAGCGAAGCCGAGCGGAAGCAAAATGTGCTGACGAATTTTTGAATAGCCAAGTCCAATGCAACCAATTTGAGAAATGAAAATTTTTGGATTCTCTCATTCATTTGATTCGAGAGTAGAATAAAATGTCTCGAGCCAATTTCGTTTGTATTTTTTACAGAATTATTATGGACATAGATGAGCCAATCCAAGAGTTATTAAAAAATACTGGCTGGTCTTGCGAAGACCTCTTACAAAAATTGCAAAAATACAAATCCATAAAAAGTGCATCGGGCACTGAAAATACTTTGAGTAATACCTCCACTACCAAAACCACTGAAAATGAGGATCCCAATCGAAGTGAAACTTTGCAAAAGGGAACAGACGATACGAGCGATTCGGGGAATATTGAAACCTTCTCGGATACAGATGAAGAGGAAACAGAGGTGAACGTGACCAATAGTCACATAATAAACGAAATTATAGAAGATATTTCTGAGACGGCAAACGTCAATCCTCAAGGAGATAAAATCGCGGTAGGCGTGACGAGTATAAATGACACAACTGAAGTTACTGAGGTCAGAGTAGTGGAAGTGGATGAAGATTATGATGACGACAATTTTGAAGAAATGAATTCACAGCCAGTTTGTTCTGAAACGTACCCCCGAAGAAGCTTCTCCACAGATGAGAATACGACTCTTGAAAACCCACAGCAAGACAATGATTTTGAGGATAGCATCACTGAGGTTCCATTTGTTGAAAGAATTGCTAGGAAAAGACCAAATACATCAGAAGGGGAAAACAGAAGCACACCTGAAAACAATGATTCTGAAGGTAGCATCACTGAGGCCCCATGTGTTGAAAGATTTGCTAGGAAAAGACCAAACACATCAGAAGGGGAAGACAAAGAAACACCTGAAAACGATATGTCTCAAAATGAATCAACAATTGACATTAGCTCTGATGAAAGCAGTCAGAGTGATGGTCCTACCAATGAAATTGAATATGTAGAAACATTTCCACGAAAGAAAATAAAATTGGATGATAAAAGTATTAGCGATGATTGTAAAACTGAAACTAAACAGTCATCTATCAATGACATATCTGTACCAGCCACCACCAAGCCTGATACTGATTGCATGAAAGAAAGCTCTGCATGCTGCTCAGATGAAAATATTGTAGACAACACTCCTGCTTCCGAAAATTTTCCAACAATGTCGAAAGTTGCTGAAATCAGCCATCGAAATTTGTCTTCGAGTGATTTATCTGCTTCCTCTGATGTAGATATAACCGAGGTACCACAGAAAGATTATTATAGCACCTTCCTAAGTTTTATTAGCACCAAGAAGACAGAGAAGAGAAGCCAAAAGCCAAAACCATATAAAACAAATCTCCCCTTATTATACAGAAGTAGAAATAATATCAAGGTTCATCTTGGCACAAATAAAACTAGGAAAATCAAAGTTTTTGAAGAGTCGCCTTGGAAGTTTATACCAAGCGTACTAAAGTATCCTAGAACTCTCGCTTCGAAGTCAATAAACTTGAATACTTCATTAAAAATACATAAATTACCTAAAAAAATCATCTCTGAAAATGAAGAGCCTGAAATTAGTGAATCTGCTCTACCGATTTCGAATGCATCTGAAGATATCATTACAGCTACTGAGATAAATGAAAGTTTACCGAATGCAACCAACTTTTCCAAACTGGTCATTGAAAGTAATGTTGTTGAGACTAATGATACGGATAAAGCTGGAGACGAAAAAGAAGAAGTCACTGCTTCTAATGAGAATACACCTCAACAAATAATTCCATCGCAAGAACCAGATGATCAGCTCATGGACAGAGATGAAGACTCTCCCAATGACGATTTGAACGAACAAGCTCCAATAGAAAATTTGGAGGATATCCGAAATAACTTGAAGCTGCAGTTGAGTTGTCTCAGGACGAGAAAGAAACAGCATGCTCTACATCCCCTGACTACCAAAGTCGTTGAGCACATTGAATGTAGCGCAAAACTATCGAATATATTATCAATTGAAGGTGAAATGACAAATAAAAGCACTGAAGTAATGAAGGAAAAAGAGAATAACGAAAAGGAGGCCAATTCGGAAGACAGTGAACTTTATACACAAACAAATGAGCTAGGTCTTGTCATACTAGATGTTCAAGGAGGTGTAAATATAGAAGCCGGAAGTAACGATGACCATCGCATGAAAACTAGTGATGAAGATAACCAATTCAATGAGAAAATTCCTGATCCTGTTGCAGATGATGAGGAAGATGCTGTTCAAGATGGCCTACTAGACCAAATCAGAAGGATAATTCGTAAACAAAGATCACCCCGGAAACCGAAAGAATTAAGCAGCACTAGTTTTAGAGGGAATAGTAGTTTCCTTCAGTCTAGTACATCTCAGAGTTCAGGTGCAAGAAGCCCAGAAAAACCTATTGGAGAACTATTATCGAACGAAAATTCGCAGTCGTCATTCACGAACGAGAACGATGGCTTAGTAAAAAAATCTCCTTTTGTCAGTGATTCGCTGGATGAATTTCTAGTTGGGGACTCCAAATTAAACATAAGCTATAAAGTACCGCAGAGTGGAGCAGAAGCGGGCTTGAAAGAACAGCTTATAGATGAAAGTCCGCTGGTGATCAAGAAGATAGTCGCCATCAAGGAACCACAAGAAAAAACAAAGAAAACTTCTTCGGTAAAAGCGAAAACAGTAGCCCAGAAAAGAAAGCTCTTGGAGAGACAAAGACGAATTGCCTTGAGAAAGAATGAGAAGAATGAAAAGATCGACAAGAAGTATAAGGGTGAGCTCGTTGTGGTAGACCCTAAACAAGAAAAAGAGGAAAGAGAAGAAAGTGATGCCGCATTCAATAGAAATAAGAGTTACATCCTTTGCCACGACAACAAACTTTGGGTGAAGACTAACTGCCCTAGCAAATGCATTGCGAAAATTGGACAGAAAAAAATCGTTAGTGATCCGATAACCCCCAGGACAAAGCGTTTGAAGAAACTCTCCTTGCTCGATGAGTGCAGAAGAAAACTGGATTTCAGGCTCAAATACCGACCAGGTCCACTATGCAAAAAAGTTGACTTGCAGGTAACTGGTAAGGGTGAGTGGGAATCAAAAACCAAGTGTTTGCCGAAGATACTTTTGGAATTATCTCCCGCCCTAGGCCAGAGATTTCCTGATGAAATTTGCCGCAGGATTTCTGCTCTCGATGGAAATTTAGACAGCAACAGAATCGAATTCGCTTTGTCCATGTTGACAAACAAAAAAACTGAAGATGAACAACCATTACCGTCCAAATACAGCATCACTCTGAGCTACAGCAATAAACAAGAAAAAATATTGGTGCGGAACAGGCGACCACAAGAACCTATTAGTGGCAAAACAGAATTTCCCTGCGAAAAAATAGAAAATGAGTGTTCCAACGATGATATAGCTGATGTTTTGAATGACTTGATAAGCTACGTTGAGATCAAAGAGCTTGCCCCGAGTTTGATCAAGGAGGATGAATCTGCAGTGAAAGAAGAAGAAGTCCATGTGAAACAGTTATCTCCAATCAACAATAACATCAGCGTGTTCAAAAAACCGCAGAAAAAACGGTCCCGTTTCGAAATAGAGCTGTTGCGACTCAGTTGTAAAGTAGTGAATGTGGAAGTTGAAGAAACTCCAATCGAAGAAAATTGCCAAAAACTTTACTGCCAGTTGGGATGCGTTTGCAAAAGCCTAAAGTGCGACAGCACTTTCAGTAATCATTGCCAACTAGTCGAATGCATGTTCGAATGCTCGTGTCCACTCAAAGAAAGGTCTTTGGTGTACGATCACACCTTAACTCTCCCAGCTGGAACGGATGTTTTATCCAACGATGCAGTAACCAGAATCGAAGACGAAGCTAAGAAGAATATGGCCAAAGTCGAGAGAGAGTTCACGCAAACCGTGATACAAACCAACGATAAAACTATAGTGGTCGGTTTGGGTGGTAGAAATAAACCACGCAGGAACGCCAAAGCTCCGGTCAAGTATGGCGATTTCGTAGAAAATATCGATTCACCCAAGCCTAAAGCTTCTGCAGATTCGACGATTTCGGCGGGTAATTGCTTCGTCAGCTTGGAAAAGCTCGATCTGTCTGAGATCGTCCCGTTCTGTTTATCGCATAGGCACTACGATTGTTTTTGTAAAGGAAGATCGAATTACTTGCCAACAGTGCCAAAACTTCTGGCGTCCAATTTCTCAGAGTGGAAACGAGACTTGAGGAACAAACCTCCTAAGAGTTACCGTTTGGAAGCTCAGGAGGAAGACATCGTTTGTTCGGATGATAAGGATAAAATACCGTACGTGCCGAAGAGCATGAACCAGAAGAAAAAGATACGCCCACAGGACAAAACGAAGAAAATGGTTAAACCAACAGAAAATAATGAGACTTGTGGAAATGAAACTGTAGTTAGTGAAGATTCCAGGAGTGAAACGGGAAGTTTGACTTTAGCAGATGAAAACAGCGACACCCACTCTCCTATGAAAAGAACTTCGAGGAATATAAAAAAGAAGCTGTACGACGAAAATTACATAGATTCCAACGACCTCGACTTCATTCCAACGGATTGTTCGAGAGTAAGAGAAATATCTCCAAAGTATTTCAAGAAATTCGTTTACAGTGACCAATTGTTCATGTTCGATTTCATCAATAATCTCACTGACTCTGACATGTTTAAAGCCAAGATAAACGCCTCGAGGAAGAACCATCAACTTTTAGAGGCAGATCTACTGAAACAACAATTGTTAGGCAGTCACTTGGCTGACAAAATGCGAGAGGAATCGGACCTTGCAAACAGTCAGGCCTTCAAAAGCAAGCGAAAACAAACTCTCAGTGTCCGCGAAGAACCGAGTAGTCCGAGCAAAATGGGCTCTACTAATGTTAATAGGAGTTTAGTAAAGGTTAAAGTACCAACAGTACCATCAGCCAGTGACCCTGCAGAAATAAAACCAGTGTTCGATGGAGAGATCATCATTGATAAGAGCAATGTGGAGCTTTTAAAGAAAATGGGACCAAAAACCTTGCAAGACGGTTACGCTAGATTGCTACCTTGGAAATCTCTCACAGAAAGCTTCAGAACGGGGAAAATCAACATTTGGAGCATGGTGGACCAGCCTTCACGTCTGTTACTGAACCGAAGTGACAAAAAGGCACCCAAGAACTACATCGATATCAAAGAGTCTGACCAAACGACCGAAGTTATCTTGTGGATTCTGAAGAATAAGCTACCTGCCAACTATGAAGAGAACAGCGTGTCTTTCATTTTGAAAGAGACCAAAGACAACTTCGAGATTTGCGGCGTGTGCACCAGGAATTTTACTGCTGAGCATGCGGAGAACGCTACGAAAGAATTTCCAGGTAAATAACATTATGTGGTAAATAATTATGTTTGAAGGCATGAAATATGGGTATATCTCTTTTCAAGTGACATAATTTTTCGCTCTTCGAAATATTGCATGCCGAAATAATAATTATTATGTTGTTTCTTGGATTCTGTATATTGATACAAACTCAGTTAGCAAAATTTTCACATTGGTCAACGATCTGGCACTACAATTTTCCAATTCAATGAAATTATAGGGAGGCGAAAATTTGATCGTAAGACAAATGATAGAAAAACATTTGATCGAAAGTGTTTTTGATAGAAATGCATTTGATCGAATGTTTTATGATAGAAAATACATTCGATAGAACCATAATTGATAGAAAATACAATTGATAGGAAAAATATTTGATAGAAAATACACTTGATAGAAACAGCATTTGATAGAAAATTCAACGGGCCTATGCTCAAGTTGGGTCAGTACGTTTGTGAAGATATGATCCTTCTTCATATATTTGAGAAGAAGGAGCTAGATGCTAGATGGAAATCGAAGCTTATATGAATTTATTGATACCACAAACTTCTAGCTCCTTCTTCTCAAATATATGAGGAAGGATCATATCTTCACAAACGAACTGACCTAACTTGAGCGGAGCCCCGTTGAATTTTCTATCAAATGCTGTTTCTATCAAGTATATTTTCTATCAAATATTTTTTCTATCAATTGTATTTTCTATCATTTATGTTTCTATCAAATGTATTTTCTATCATAAAACATTCGATCAAATCTATTTTCGGTGAAAAGTTCTTTCTATTTTTTGATTTTCGATCAGAAGACTATCAAATGTTTTTCTATCATTTGTCTTTCGATCAAATTTCCGCCACCCGAAATTATATTACTTTTGTCAATACATAAAAATACGGACGATGTTTCTTTGACTTGGTGTAACTCGAAAAGTACTATACAGAAACTGTGTTTCTTCATAATGTTGTTGTCAATTCTCGGGAGATTTTCTGTTGTATTCTCAAACACATGCCTGCAGCGTTTCATAAGAACACATTTAGCCCTGCAACTTTTTCTAATCAAGAATTGATATTATTTCTTGTGATTATTGTTGAGTAAACGTGATTGGATGGTGAAACATAAAAAAAACCATCTATTCAGTTCTGATTAGTCAACACATGCTGTCCTTTTGAAAGGACGGTAGGGCTATTATACTTCTGTGGAATGAAATACATGAGCACGTTGGAAAATATTTAATTCTGATCAGAATAATCTAGTCGTGGTTGATCAACCTGTATATATATTTTTTCCGATTGCGTAAAACGTTTTACTCCATTTGCCGGGAAAACTGTTGAAGCATTAGAAGTTAAGCTCACAACGCTGTGAACATTACATTTACTGATGACTCCACAAAATTCCCATCCCCAGAGTCTTTATTGGAATTTTCCCGTGGAAAAATCGCCATTATTCCTGGCACTCTTCCAGCAACTCAACGATAGCCAATTGCTTTCTCCAATAACTGAAAGAGAATGCAAATATTTTAGTCGATAGTAGCAAATTAGCCTACCGTCCTTTTAAAAGGACACGATGCCCTTGTACTATTTCTTCTAAATTTGAATGAATATATAGGGCAATGGTACTAGATGCGTTACTTGATACTATTTAAACTCAAATGAAATAATAAGTAATCGTGATTACAAATAGCAAACATTATTACTCACCTCAAGTTGCTCATTGTAAATGGCCGATGAACGCAATAGCAAAGTCACATATTCAACTCTTGAAAGTCAAATATTACTATGATCACACATGCTGCAGATTGTTTCTTAAATACACAGAAGTTTCAAGTACAGGGTGTCTCCGTATATTTAAACCCATACCTACGGTTTTAACTATACGAGGTGGGAAAAAACTTCGAATATGCGCTACGCTACGCTACGCGTCGGGCAGTAAACTTCATTCTTGAAAGGAAAAGTAGCACTTTACTCCCTTGTTATACAGCTATATGTATACATATAGCTGTATATTACAGCTATATGTATACATATAGCTGTATATTTGTTTTTTTTTTAACTCAAAAATTTGCTAACATTTCAGTTAACGCCATCTAGCGGCGACAGCAAGAGTCAAAGATTCCAAACCAAATAAGCGTTTTCTAGGCCGAATTATGCTCTTTCATATGAGCCTAAGTTTGCTAAAATCGGTCGTGATAAACGGGAGAAATCTTGGTTTGTTTAAAAAAAAATTGGAACTTTCCCCACCGCTTTATTTCGATAGATAGAACAAAACGTTTTAGACAAAAAATGTAGGGAAATGGTTAGTAAATATGAAAATGATATCATCGATATACTTTCATTACACAAAACTCCATAAATATCCCATTTTTCTACTTGGTGTTGGTTGTTACGCCCTCTACCGGACGTTTGACGAACTCGAAAATGATTTCCAGCAATTTCTCTTGTCGACTTTTATCATGATTTTTTTTCTCAAATCTATACCACCAATATCTTTTGAGATATGTCGCTCGCTATCCTTAACTGATCATCCTGTACATTTGAATCTGAAACACCCTGTATATTCAAGGTGATCTGAAAATGGGCATCATCGACAATACCAAACAATTCGTCCACAAAGACCTCAACGGAGACATCCAAGTACTCCAAATACGCTACCAAAAATACAAGCTGCAAGAATTGGTGGAAGAAGGCGAGTCCGATATCGGCGAGATGTCCATCGACAAGAGCAAGCTCTACATGTGGGCTGCTTTACCAGAAATCTACCGCGTTTGCAAATGGCGGGTCATATACCTGAACTCCGATTTCTCCTATCTGTTCTTCTCCAACGTTAAGTATTCGATCAGATACACGGATTTGCTCAACATAGGTAAAGTAGCCAAAGCTCGCCAGTGCACTTTCATGTTGAAACACGACCTTTTGCAAACGAATTACGACCATGGCTCGTTCGGGATGTACTTCGATCCTCATTACACCGATAGAGTTTTCATTGGGCCTTACTTCAGGCCCTACCAAGGGCTCGATGTGGAAACGCTGCGGTATATAAATAAGTATCTGGTGTCGACTGAGTCGTTCAACAAGATGCGAGGCACTAATGACTACAAGTGCGGCCATTGGTTGATAGAACGGCCCTATTCTAACTCGAAGAGAAGACAAAAATCGAAACTTGCTGAGTTGTCGGGCAGAGCTGCCACTTCTGAACAAGCGGACAAAGTTGAAAGTGCTGTTGCTGATTGCGGTGGGGTTGAGAAGTCGGAAGAAGTTGAGTCTGTCGTCCAAAGACCTGCTTCCGCTGATTCTGGCAAGAGTTTGATTGCGAAAGAGGTTGGCGATACTATTGATTTGACGGAGGAAAACGATGAGGTGACGGATGATAAAGAGAAGAGGATACAGCCCAGAAGGTTGGTGCGGAGGAAGCCGGTCAAGACAAAGGAAAAGGTATTCATTTACAACCATATGTGTCATGTTGTCAAAGTTATGTTTTTGAAATGGAACCTCCTGCTATATTTTTCCATATTTGAATCATTGATGCTTTGCGCTTTTCAAAAATATATCACTTTTGAGATATTTTCAGTATTGACCTTGAATTTAGATAATTTAGAATTGTTTACTATATTCCTTTGTGATCCGCTTTGTACATGTATAACAATATTTTATACAGTGTGTCCCACTTACCTTGCTCACCATGGGTATCTTTTTAACGGTGAGAGATACGAGGTCGGTTAAATGACACCAAATGTGGAGTTTGTCAAGGCCAACTATAGTGTGAAAAAATATTTTGAAAAAACCTATTCGTTTTTGTTTTATACGCAAAAATCAGATTTTGATCATTTTCATGTCCCCTCCGTAACTTCTTTATTTATGAATATATTCAAATAGGAATTTCACATTCTCATGGCAGTTTTTTGAAGTGATTTCGAAAAAAATATGAAATTTTTACCAACTCTTCTAGAATTTGAGATATCAGCACCAATTTTAGTTTTTCAAATGAAGGTCATAGCTCACTATGACTTAGTTACAAATAACTTTTTTTTCTCTCACAGATGATATGTCGCAGTAATAGTTTTGTGTTGATAACAACGGAGTTATCGTCATTTATACAAAAACAAAAAATTATTTGTAAGCTGCCATCTTGAAAATATAAATTTTGACAAAAAAATCATGATCTCCGACCTCAAAAACCCCCACTCACCAATTTTGAATAGAATCGGACCAAATCTTGTCCGCCATCTTGGAGCGAAATTATGAACACCTGCCAAATTTCAAGGTAATCGGAGTTATGGAATTTTTGTTGAAATTAAAAAAAAATGGCTGCTCCAAGATGGCGGACAAGATTTGGTCCGATTTGGTTCAAAATTGGTAAGGGGTTTTGAGGTCGGAGATAATGATTTTTTCGTTGAAATTCATAAATTCAAGATGGCGGCTCCCAAATAATTTTTTGTTTTTGTATAAATGACGATAACTCCGTTGTTATCAACACAAAACTATTACTGCGACATATCATCTGTGAGAGAAAAAGAAGTTATTTGTAACTAAGTCATAGTGAGCTATGACCTACATTTGAAAAACTAAAGTTGGTGCTGATATCTCAAATTCTAGAAGAGTTGGTATAAATTCCATATTTTTTTCGAAATCACTTTGAAAAACTGCCATGAGAATGTGAAATTCCTATTTGAATATTTATATAAATAAAGAAGTTACGGAGGAGACATGAAAATGATCAAAATCTGTTTTTTGCGTATAAAACAAAAACGAATAGATTTCATCAAAATATTTTTTCACATTATAGTTGGCCTTGACAAACTCCACATTTGGTGTCATTTAACCGACCTCGTATCTCTCACCATTAAAAAGATACCCATGGTGAGCATGGTAAGTGGGACACACTGTATATTATGGATTTCCAAATTAACCCTGTTGCTGCTTCGAAAGTCAATTTTCATTGAATAATTCGAAAAAAATCAACTTATGACATGTTGCGAGAGTCATGTGACTCCCATCAAGTAGGCAATTTTCCATCTTTTTTTAAGCAAAAACTCAGCGCCCAAGTCAAATTTCGAAATGAATTATTATTAAAAGTTTTTCCCATATGATGCCAATTTTATGAATAGCATTGTGTACTCTCCTAGTTCTTCAAAATTACCGGTTTGGCATTACTACTTTTACTTCATTACCTGCCTGATTTTCTGGTTTTTGACCTAGCTTTTAGTTAAACTCATCTCCACATGTCTTCTTAGGTATTTTTTTGTGTCTGAAGATGGCCGTTGAGCCGAAACCAGTCACAAACATGATTTTTAATATAATTTTTTTGATCGACCGACTGTGTTTCACTGTTTGTCCTTTGAGAAAATACCAAATTAGATGAATACAAATTTACTAATTATACTATTTATATTATTATTCATTATTATGCACAATTCATGGTTTTGAAAAATAGTAACAATATGTATGAATACTTCTTTAATTCAATAAATTCCAAGTTCTCAAATTTTCAAATTTCAAATTTTTTTTGAAAAAGGCCACGCCGTGTATGATAATTATGCACAACACCGACGAAATCCAGATCATCGATGCCCCTCCTAGGAAACCGGAGGAATTCAATCGGTATATTTTCACGAATATTCCCGATTTCGGGTATCTCGGAGCCTATAGATATCCTTCCGGAAAGATAGACGTTTCTTGGCCGTTCGAAAATAAACTGCTGAGGTTTCCGAATTCTGGCATTGCCATCGATTTTCTTCAAGAGTAAGTACCTACCAAGTGTTGTTCTCTCATTTCTTCTTAGAAATTTGAAATGAAAATTATATTTTTTTAGTATATTTTGACCCCTACCTACAGCTTCAACTATACGAGGTGGAAAATAGCTTCAAATATGAAAGTTGTAGGGTTTCAACTATACTATATCTTTTGGCACTCCTCAAATAACAATTTGCGAATCACAAAATAGAAGAATAGTAGTTTAAAAAACTAATGAAACACCCTTTTATTTAAACTAGAAGGAAGAAGAAAATAAAATGATGCTAAATACACAACATAGAAAATATAAGCACTTGGATAATCAGTACATTCTATGTTGTGTATTTATCAACACACTTCTATTATTTTATTTTGTACTTCTTTTTAGTTTGGCTATCTATAGAAGGATGTTTCTTCAATTTTTTCAACTACTTTTTATTTTCAATTTTTCAGTTCGACTAACTTCAAAAGCTTTTTTTAGTGTTTTCATATATTTTGTAAGTACCCAATTTTGAGGAAGAATACTAATCTAATACTAATCTCCAACCCAGAAAACAACCAGATATTAATTTTTTAATAGAGTCGGATCATATAATTACAAAACTTGTCCACCACATTGGATCCGCCATCTTGAATTCTCAAATTTTGACGAAGGAATCGTAATCTCCAACCCCTAAAACCCCCAGGTGTCAATTTAGACTACAATTGGATCATAACTACAAAACTCGTCCGCCATATTGGATCTGCCATCTTGAATTTTCAAATTTTGACGAAAAAATCATAATCTTTGACCCCGAAAACCACCAGATACAAATTTTGAATAGATTCGGATCATAATTACAAAACTCGTCCGCCATATTGGATCTCCGACCTCGAAAACCCCTAGATACCAATTTTGAATCGAATCGGATCATGATTACAAAACTCGTTCATTATTGTGGAGCCGTGTGTGTGATTTTTTGTCTAACAAAAATTTCATGATGCATTGAGACCCGAATCATGTACACTTGCCAAATTTCAAAGCAATCGGTAAGTTTGAGGTGAGTCAAAGACGAGTCCAAAGGGGCCGGTTACATACATACGGGTGAAGCTAATAAAAGATCGTTAAAAAAGAGTGCAAATCAGTTTTTTTAACTTTTTCTTGTGTTCCCAAATATATACAGTTTGCGTATGTTCCCTTTAGCCCTTTTCGACAAAATTCTTGCTATACTACTGAAATTTGTGGCAAATATACCAATCCGATATTTGAGAACTCAGGCATCGGAAAGCCGCGTGAATATTTGCAAAATTGAAGGTTATCTTGCTGATAATATTGGAGAAGAAACAGATCTGCATAGGGCAAAGTATATTCGTGATGTTTCAAAGGTTTTTTTTGGGGAATATTTGTGATTGTTTCGTCACATAAACTTTGCGAAATCGTGTGGTTTACAATAAGGTATGTAATAGTTGGATTATTTTCATTATGGTATACATATGTACCACTCGGTAATGGGCGAGTGGACTGATATGAATTGTTGGCATTCAATTACTCCATTGTGTCCTTAGGAACCCGAATTAATTTTCACAACACTTCTCACGCTTTTTTCATGTAAATAATGAGTCTAAGCGTTGTTCGAAATTGTTGAATTTCAGAGCTCATTTCAAACGAACCTCCATGGCCGCCATTTGGCAATACGTCGAATTAAATTGTGACGTCAGTTTTTATGCTGTTTGGTCGTATAATCTTCTATTTCCACCCATGAAGCAATAGGACGAACCAATTATGTTTTAGTTCATTCTTGACTTTTTCGAGCAATCAGCATGTCCAAATATTTCTAATTCTCCATAACAAAATATCATGTGAATGTTGGAGACTTGGCAACATTGTGCTGAATGCTGACAACTGACAAGATCACGCCCACAAGTCGTGCGCCGTGGTTTTGTCACGTTCACCGATTCAAATGTCCTCTAGTGTGAATTTATATAATCATTATTCACATAAATTTATTTTGAGCAGTAAGCCACAAATCATAAGGGAACATTTTGAGACAATTGCATTTTTATTGCTAATTAGGAGTATTACCAATACTAAATTGAGAATTTATGAATTATCGAATGAATAATATTTCTGAAGTTCCCAATCGTCTTTCAACACATGCCAATTATTGTGCTATGGTTGCCCCTACTTACAAAATCGTGGCTTCAGTTTTTACTAGCGTTGAATTTCTAGCCTTTCTAAAATTACCGTGGCATTATTGATTATTTTAGCACCTGAAAATCGACCAAAAATTCTTGAAAATTATCAAATTGGAAGGTACTCTTTGACTGATGATTTAAGAAAAAAATAGCCCAATCACCTACTACGATGGTATAGATAGTGACCGACAGGTCTTTAATGAACAAAGTTCGTTCTTGAGTAGACGTCCGTTGACCGAAAAAGAGTTGGCGGCGGTAGTTGGAAGACCTTTCGTAGCACTAACCATTTTCGTCGGGTTCTAGTGATAATTATGAACCTAGTGAAGATGATGAATCTAAAATGATTCGCAATTGAATTGTGTGCTAGAGAGTTGTCGAATAAACCTCTAGTAAACAAAAATATCAGTATTGTATCAGACAGACAGGCTGCTCTTGAATCACTGAGCTCCAGCAAGATAAATTCCAAGCTTGTATGGAGCTGTATTGAATCCCTAGAATGCATGGGTGCTAACAACAAAGTCACTTTGCTGTGGGTGCCTGGACACCAGGGGGTGGAGGGTAACGAGAAAGCCGACATCCTCGCCAAACAGGGAACCGAATCTGTGTTCATAGGACCAGAACCATATTTTGGGGTCACCGCAAGTGCGGCGAAAACAACTATCTCGGGCTGGGCGGAGGGAAAAACACTCACGTACTGGTCTGAATTACCAGGATTAACCCATTCGAAGGCGTTCCTGCCTAAACCATCGGAAAAAATAACCAGGCAGATCCTAGAATGGTGCAGGGGTAACCTGCGAATTCTGACTGGACTGCTTACGGGACTGTCGTCTAAGATACCACCTGGGAAGGATGGGTCTGAACCAACAAACGGACTGTCGGTTCTGTTGTGTGGAAGACGAAACGGCTGAACACATATTATGTTCATGCTCTAGCTTAGAAATACTAAGGGTCGACACATTTGGCTTTACCAATTTAGAAACTATCGATTTCAGACAAATCTCACCCAATTCAACCATGACCTTTGTGAAAAGATGTGGATTGTACGGTGAACTGTAACCTCTAGGGGTGAGCCACAATAGACCCATCTGGGGTCGCAGTGGAGGGGAGGTATTCGCCCCACTCACATGGAACCTAACCTCACCTAACCTAAGGATAGTGACGATAAAATTCCTTTTTTTGAATTGACTCGACCGTTACTTGATGAAAATCCATGGCCGGTTATATAATGGTACAATGAACTGACGATGATATCACCTGACGAAGCTACTGTGTTAGCGAAACATGTCGTATGTTTGAGAATTTTGTGGAAATCTTATCGTTTGTGAAGTTTTTACATTAGATAAAATTCCTGATCGTACAAATGGTATAATTATGTACCAGGGCGTTAAATTATTCCCTTCTTCAATAATAAATTGTTTGACCCTAAGAACCCTTTATTCAAGTGAATAATAATAATAATAATAATAATAATAATAATAATAATAATAATAATATCGTTTATTCAGGATCTTATAACTAGTACATTTAACAGAATTCTCTCATAATCTCATAATAAATATTCACTCAAAAAAAAAATACAAAATTTATAGGGTTTTATGTGGAATAGTCCGAATAAACAGTTAGACCACAGAGTATATTGTCCACTGAAGCCAAAAGGAGGCTGTGCGTGAACAAGTTATGTCATATGTTTTTTTTATTATTATTATTGTCTTCTTAATTGAGTAATTTTGGTGATAACAGATGCAATGTTTCTTGAATAAATCAAAACAGATAATACCTATATCTTGTATGAATAAAAGTAAAAAACACATGGAACAGGGTGAGCAATATAAAGTATAAAACAGAGAATTAGATTACAACAAGTGAATGAACTTTTTCTCTTCCTAAATTCACAATATAATATTTGAATCTTTTTTCTATCAATGGAGTTGAGTTTATTGTTGAAATGTACATTTTATATTGTTCAGGGAGACTATTGAAAATTTTATACATCAAATGTTTATAACTTCTGAGGCTAACATTTTTGATAAATAACAGAGACTGAACATTCTTGCTTTCTCTATATCGTGTTTCGTACCCATGATTCACAAATTCAAGTGTATTTCGATTTTTAAATATGTACAATATTATTTGGTGCATAAATAGCTGCCTGACATCAAGAATGCCAGCCTCATAGAAATATCTCAAATAAGATTATACATCAATGAAATCGGAAAAAATGATATTCAGGGCCGAAAGGGTTAGGGAGTGCCGAAAGATAGTACAGATGAAACTACAACTTTGATATTTAAAGTTTTCTTCCACCTCTTATAGTTGGAGCAGTTGGTAGGGGTCCAAATATTCGGAGACACCCTGTACAACGTAATTTTCTTCTGTTGCTTATTTCAGGCGGTTCTCAGCTTTACTTCAGCCAGTTCCTGAAACTTTCACCATCTTGTTAACCATTTCAACTAAAATGGATGTACAGAAGAACAAGCCTATCGATTCTAATGTTCTAAATGGCCATTTCGTGAGTGAAAAATTATCATCGTCTCTTTCCAATATGACTTTTAAATTGGCCATTTTAGGTTTGCGGAGAGTTTGGCTTCCACAACATCTCTACTATGAACGACAATGACTGCATGGCATCGTTGGGTATAAGTAGGCAGGAAATATTGAAAATGTTTGTTAGACGGTCTCAAATTTTCGTCAAGAAAAGAGTGGAGCATTTAGCGAATTTGCTGAAAATTGATAAGGATATGAGTGGAAATTTCGAAATCGAGCATATCTTGAAAACCGTAAGTTATTTTCCCAATGAATTCAATCGAAATTGAATCTTAACGATATTTTTTTACAGGCAACCGAAGAAATTCATAAATTGATAGAACAAGACAAGAACAACGTTAGTATGAAGAATGAACTTTTAGTTAAGAAACGTGATAGAGCTATAAAAGTGTTCGGTCTCATATCTGAATTGCCCAGTGACAAGAGAAATATAGAGAGTCTCAAGTTTAGGTGGATACTCAACAGGACTGAGCCCATTGAGATTCAAGATTCGGATGAAGACGCGAATAAGGAATCCCCCAATGAGAAAAAGGTTGGTAATATTTAATTTAATCGGCGTTTACTTGATGACAATGAGGAAAAATCTCAACTGCGTAATATTTTTTTTCAATCAATCAATCAATCAACCTTATTATTCCCAAGAAACAACATTTGTTTATAGCAGGGAACATGGTGAATATAGTAATATATTTGGCAAAATGAAGAAGACCGTAAAATAAGACTCACACTTTTTTTTTTATTAGTTCAACTGAGAATGATTTCTAATTGACTCAGCTGTTAGGTACCCAATGGAAAACTATAGTAGTTGTGCGAGAAAACTATAAAAATGAGATAAAATGTCAATATTACAGGAGTAGATGTTTCTTGAAATCCTTTTAAAATTTTTTCAGCTTCAAGTTATTTGGCAGTGAATTGTATTGTATCATTCCATTGTGATAGATGAATTTTTTGCCAATATCTGATTTGATTTTCTTGACAGACAAATGATCTGCTTGTCTAGTTGTATGGTTGTGGTGATTACTATTGTTTATTGTTTATTGTTTATTGAAAAACTAGGGTCCCTTGATGGAAATTGACGTTAAAGTCATCTTAACAGAGTACGGACAGATCATAGCTGCATTCTTTTTTAATGATCTAGAGATTTTAGTTTTGTCTACTGGCATCCCTGACATTGCTGTCACGTCACATCCATGGGCGCTACAGAAAATCATTCAAAATTTTAATAATAGGTATGTACAGGGTATTTACTTGTTGAGGAAGATCATAATTATGGCGAACGAGTTTTGTAATTATGATCCGATTCTATTCAAAATTGGAAGGTATGTGGGGTTTTCTGGGGTTGGAGATGATTATTGTCTCGTCAAACTTGGAGAATTCAAGATGACGGATCCAATATATAGCAAAAGAAATTTATAATAATTATGAGCTGATTCTATTTAAGATTGGTATCTGAGAGTTTTTGGGTTCAAACTTTATGATTTTTTGTCAAAATTGGGAAGGAAATTCAAGATAGCGGATCCAATATGGCGAACGAAACTTGTAATTAGGCTCCGATTCTATTCAAAAAATCAAAATTGGTATCTGGGGATTTCCGGGGTCGAAGATTAAATTTATTTCGTCAAAATTGGGATATTCAAGATGGCGGATCCACTATGGTGGACGAGTTTTGTAATGAAGATCCGATTCTATTCAAAATTGGTATCTGGGGGTTTTCGGGGTAGGAGATAATGATTGTTTTGCCAAAAATTGAAACATTCAAGATGACGGATCCAATATGGCGAAAGACATTAGTTTATATAATTATTACTCTACCACAAATAGAAAATATGTAGGATGCAAGAGTGAAAATAACGTGCCTATAAGTTATACTGCGTATACTTAGCGTATACCTACTTCTTTGTTACTTTCATCAATAAATTATTCGAAAATGACTCTTTATTTAAAGGAGACAGAAAAATCATATGTATAACATGGGGGTGAAGTATATTCTATTCTTTATTTTCCTGCACATTTTACGTATTACTTTTCATCAGCCTACTTTTCGTCCTAGACGAAGTTTTATACAAAGTGTGATATTAGTAACTCCATAAATTTTTCTCCGATTTCTGAGAATATATTTAGCACACATGACATGGGTACAGTAGTCCAGATACCCACATCGAGGTTTTCACCATTTCTCAATCATAAGGCTCAGCTCATCCAGCTCATAGATAAACTACTGCTCAGTTTGAAATCAGAATTTATTCAATCAATTCAGTCGACCCTGGTATACAGTCTAAGAACAGTCTCTTTTGGTGAAATATATTGAGCTTCCAATACAATTTATATGTTTCCTAAATCGCAAAGATTATCTTGGTATAGTTGAATCAGGAATTCCATATGGAAATTATGTATGATACGCCAGTGACCTCAATATAACCTAAAAAACAACGAATGTCAAAAATCTAGTGTTTATCTCCAGAATTGAACAAGGATGGAACTATATAACTGTTTCACAAACACTTTAGAGTGAGAGGAGACGAGGATCTGTCCGTACCCTGTTAAGATGACTTTAACGTCAATTTCCATCAAGGGACCCTATGAAAAACTAGCTTCCAGTCAGAAATAAAATTCTGGTATGAGGAAGTTGATTACAAACAACAATAATAAAATAATATAAGGTGACTACAACAACAATAAAAATCTAAAAAATCTAAAAATGCTAAATCGATCAAGTCATAAAAATAGCCACAGGAACTAATCAGTAGATGGCAAAGTATCAATTTTACCCATTTCGTAATGGAATCGTGTGTTTTTCAATTCAATTTTAAATTTTGAAATATGTCTGCAATTTTTTATATCATGTGGTAATTTATTAAATTCAGCTAGAGCAGCGTGAGTAAATTTTTTTGGCCAATTATAGAAGTAGCAGAATCAAGATGAAATAAGTTAGATTGTCTCCTGTGATGACCATGAATTTCTGAGTTTCTTATCAAAATAAAATTGGATTTCAGATTATTGTTTATTATATTATATGAAACTTTAAGAGAATCTATTTTATAAGTGCAGATATTTTACTGAAATAATTTTTTGAACAAGATCCCCAAACTTTTATTATATAGGTAATACGACTGAGTATATGAGAATGAAGTACTATGTTTATGACTTTTTTGTCGAGTTTAGGACATCTTTGCAAAGCTCCAATGATCGGAGATATTTTTTGTATCAGAACCTCTATATGCAATACTTTATTTTTAATTTGGAGATTGAGACTAATATTCTGTTTATTTTTTTGATGGAATATTATATATTCAGTTTTATTGGTATTAATTGATAAAATGTTTGAATAAAGCCATTTTTCAAATTTTCTCAAATCTTCGTTAAGAATATTTTCTAGAATGATGGGGTTTTTGTTTTCGTATAAAAGTACAGTATCATCTGCATAATATATAGTATAATTACCTAACAATCCAATTTTAGAAATATTTTGAATATATAATAAATACAATAAGATGGGTCCTAGAACAGATCCCTGTGGAACACCTTTACTTATTGGAAATTTATTAGACTGATATATTACATTTAGTGCTGATTGTCCTATTCGCAAGATGAGATTCTGAAAGATTTTTAACAATGCCTCCGAGTCCCATCGAGTCCAAGTATTCTAAGAGATTCTCATGATCAACTGTATCAATTGGGTAAATCAGTGTTATTTTTATGATTTCATTAATTTTTTTCTTTTTATTCATTTTAGACACAAGAATTTGAACAGGGTAACGATAGTCCAGATATGAAGGTACATTTATTTCTGAATTATAATCTAAATTATCACTTTAAAAGATTTTTAAAACAATAATTATTGTGTATCTATCACTTTATAGTTATTGAGGATCCTCTAGTAGGTGTACCTCAACAAATGAATCATCAATTTAAATGAGCAAGGATATTGATGATATATTCTCTTAACCTTCATTATTTGCAGATACTGAAGCCCCAGGAGTGTTTCCAGAGTGTAATGGCGGTGAGTTTTCTATTTTTTCATTCTGATTTATGAAAATAATTGATTGATGGTAATGAAGAAGCATTTTTAAATCATGTGGAAATTCATACCGTAGGTAGAAATAACTAAAGTCTTTAATTTACAGGCGAAGGGAAGTGTCCAACCATTTACAGAGTCTCCAAAAAAGACTGAACTGGTAAGTAGACAGTTTCTCGATTTATTTTAATTTTTTGTACGAACCAGCAACAGAAATTTAACCAAAAGAAGTTCATTCACTTTCATTTACCATAGAAAAGCACAATGAGTTTATGAGAGTTCATTGAACACATGTTTTTTATTTTTTCGGGCGATCAAATTTGAGTTCAGAAAGAAATACTGCCGTGCTAAGCGCAGATGCGGTAACTGACACCGATGGCATTATGAGATAATTGATATTTAAGAGAATTTTGGTAACTGTTAAATATGGACATTATGTGATTTGTTGAATGTCAGAAATTCTCCACGAATCCATTCTGGAATGTAGATACGGCTTTTTTTTCAGCTTTATTGCCAAGGTATTTCGACATATCTACAATTTTTCTCAAATGAATCTCCCAGGGAATAGTAAGGTATTCCTTCATTAATAAATAATATGGGAATTAAATAATAAAGGAATAAAACTCAATCATTGTGAATGATTAGAAATCAACAAACTTCTAACATTTCACTTAACGATCAACTAGACCTCAATATAGTTCACCACTGTTGAATTTGTTTTCTTAGTAGGTAATAACATGTATTTGCTATCAACCCTTTCAAGTCAATCCGTGACACCGTATTCTGATGTAGATATTGTGCCTATTTTCCGAAAATGAAGGTTAATCGAACCTTTTCACAGGTAATTCCAATCCTTCAGGTTGGTTTATTTCATTGTACTAGTTTTTCACCTGATGAAGCTTCTGTTTAGCGGAACATAGTGGAAATCTCATCGTTTGTGAAGTTTTTACATTAGTAGTGGTTGACTCTAAAGCTCCTACTGAAATTGGATTCTGAGCCTTGGTTGATTCATATATACTTATAGGGATGTCATCAATATCAACTCCAATATATCTACTACTATTATTTGTCTTGATTGCAATAATAGTGCTTCGTGGATTCTTCATACACAAGTTTTGCTCGTTCTAAAATTCTTTTGGTTCGATCGGAAGTCATTTTTCAGTCTATAATTACCTTTTTTCAAATGTTACGAAACAATGACCTTTTCAATCAATATACCTAACTACTAACACAGTTATTGATGAAATGCGACAAACACTTCAGCGATGTTCATCCTTCAACCACCTTGATGTTACTGAGCCGTTTGCGCGGAAAATGCATTAAAACTTAAGTATATAGGGCGTATTTGACAAACGCTAATATATTTGAGCGGTATGTGCAGTAGTTACCCCTGCAATGCCCAAGCAAATGATAATTACCGCCTAACACCGTAGTGAATTTTTAACAATATTTGAAAGTTGGTAGATACCGCTATTTACAATTCAAAATAAAAATAGAAAAAAGGTATTTACCGCTATGAAACTCTAGTTTTCCTTGAAAATGTCAGTTACCGCTTCTGCGCTTAGCACGGCAGAATAGTGAAGATATGGTTTCGGCTCCTTCACCATTTTAATGACGTACTACTTAGAAAAGCTAACTTTAGGAAATTTCGCTCTAACATCATATGGTTAGCATTGGTACCTGAAACAACGTATTCAACAAATAGTATAGGTGGAAATCGGATTATTTCTTAAAATTATACAGTCTGTCCAGGATAAGGATGTCTATCACTGACATGCGTTTTGCTCAGCACATGAAAAATCTTATTGGTAAGGCTTTCGCATCCTTAAAACTCATTTACAGTAATCGACATGTTCTCAGTGTTAAAATGAAACGAACTTTGTGCGAGTCACTCGTGTTGTGCCACTTCAACTGTTGCGATTTTCTTTACGGTTCTTGCTTGACGAAAAAAATGAAGATAGAATACAAAAAGTCCAAAATAGCTGCTGTTGACTGATCTATGGTATCAGAAAATATGATCATATTCCATATGAACAATAGAAGACAGGTCCACATTGGTACCTTTACTCATAAACTATTAAATGACCCCAATCCTCCAGCTCTGACAAGCAAATTTATTCCTCGATTCAGAATACACTCTAAAAATATCAGACAGCGAACTATCTGGACCATGCCTCAACAAAGAAATACATTTTCTCAAAGATGTTTTGTCTGTAATGCTATTCAAATGTATAATATTGCACCTGCCGAATGAAAGTTTGTGTTATAAATAAGTTTGAATATAAATTGAAAAAGCATCTATTTGATAGGCAGTCTTGATATATTATTTAGTACATCCTTCATGTCGTAGGTTTTTTTATCACTCGAAATTTTACTATTTGTATTGCTAGCAATTGATTAGTAAGCACCCATTATGCATTGCATTCATTTTTTTTTATTTTTTCTTGTTGTTTTACCTTCCTTGCTGTCTCAGTCGATTTGCTAAAGTCATTTTGCTTTTTTTGGCATGTAGCCCTCTGTTGATTAAGTGGAATAGCTTTGATCTAGACTTCGCCAACAGTCTATGTAATTTTTTTTCATGTATTCCACTTATGAAAATAAAAGACGTTTATTATTATTATTATTATCATCATGGGGTGAAGTTGAAACGAAACTTCGTGCGGAAAATCTCTCAACGATGTTTGGTAGAAAGTAGATAGTGGCGATGAGAAAGTGTCTTTTGCTTCCCTATATCTTTTTGAATAACGTCAGAAAATGCTAAAGACGTACCCCATGATAGACATCCATATCTTGGACACAGTGTATACCAAATACCTGATGAATCGGGAATTATAGACGAAACATAAATATTAGAATAGCATAATCATTTATTATAAAATTAAGGGTATACCCATACAAAATAACAATGATGCTGAGAGTTCGTTTTTGAGGTTAATCATTCTAGTAGAGCAGTTCATCTAGCGTTGACAGAGAAAAAATGTCTTCTCCATTTGTCCTTGTCTTCAGTGTTCCAACATAAAATAATGAAAATTTCATGTTGGCTACACTGGAAATGAGAAGAAAAGGAGAAGAAGACTGTTCTTGCTTTTTTATATTGAGGTTAATAAGATCTTCTTCTCCATTTTCTCCATTTTCTCTCATTTTTGATGTTGCAACATAAAATTATTTTATTATATTATTTTACGTTGGAACACTGAAGACAAATTTAGGTGGGGAAGACATATTTTTTCTCTTTCAGAGTGAGCTAAACTTCACTATCTCTATTTGAATTTCTGTTGAAAGGTTGGAGATATTTGAATTTCTTCAAGCAATTGATAACTGAAGTATGGCAGCAGTGGTTGTAAACCTGAATTACACCATACTGAGATGTATTTTGTTGAAGGAATAATAAGTCAAGAAACATACCATGAACAAATATCCTCAAATGTCACTATATCTGAGTAGGACATCATTGTCAGCTCCAATAATAATTCTAAGTTGCTGTATTTAAAAATGAAAATAATTTGAATAATCTGAATAGCCATTTTATACATCAGAAACCTAGGTAGTTGAATAATAATTCTATGATAATCTGTTCGAAGAAAACTTCCTCATTATATTAGATTCCTTCATTTTCTGCTCCAGAGAGGAAAGACACGATTGCTTTTTCTAGGTCAACATATCCATTGCCACAACATCGACAACCAACCAACCCAAGTCCGTGCTGAAACCATTCATCAGAGTGTCAAACTCCCTCTACCCACAAACACCGGTACCACCAACGCCCGTACTACCACACATATCGATACCACCGCGAACGCCGATACCACCCCAAACTCCGATACCACCCCAAACTCCGATACCACCCCAAACACCGATACCACCGCAAACACCGATACCACCGCAAACATCGATACCACCGCAAACTCTGATACCGCTCATGCAAAAACCGAAGCAGATAGTGAGGCGCGACTTCAGATTAATCGCGCCCAAACCCGTGCCCAAACTAGTACCTAAAAACTTCACGAGTCGGGGCGTGAAACTCTCCGGGTTATTAGAGACCCTGAGGAAGTTGAAGAGCGTGGAGTCGTCTGCAGTTGTGGGAGTTAAGGATTTGCTGCCTGACGACAACAAGACCTTGGTGGACGATCAGGGTGGGTCTCTTGTGGAGCTTGAAGACCAGGGTGGGTCTTTTCTGGAGATTGGAGAGCCTGGTGGGTGTTTAGTGGAGGATGGAGGAACGGAAAGTTGCGTGGAGGGCGTGAGAATGTTCGAGAAAGACGTTGTGAGCGATATTAGGATTGATGAGGTTTATACTATCAAGGAGAATGACCTTGTGATAGAGTTGGAAGAGGACTCCTCGAGCAGTAAACCCAAGGATCTTGACAGGTATGCCCGAATTTGCGTTCGTTTTCACATGTGTTGAAGGAATCACTAAGTACAAGGTGACGCCTAATCGAGCCACCGATTTGGTTGTTGTATCAAAGTGGGGTTAATTAAAAATGCTCATTTTGTCAAGAATGCAGAACTTGAAAATGTTAACACACTTAAAATTTCAGTTTGAATTATTCAGGTGGTAATTAGTTTTACCCGAATGTTTACCTGAATGCTTCCATAAGTTCAGGATTATTTACAAAACCCTATCTTCGAAATTATCTTATGAAAATGAGCCTTACAAATGAGGAGGGGGAGACCATTGATTTTTATAAAACGACCTCATCGTGACTATAACGATGAAAAGAATGAATTAATTGCGCTACCATGTATATGAATAGTATTCCTCAGTGCATACTTAATTATTGCTTCGATAATATTTTTCACCTGTCAAAACGTGACGTGAATATTCTTGCCAATATTATTGCGGAATCCTATGCAATCATTTGGTATTACACTGATACAATAGCTGATCCTCAATATCAACTGATTTACATAAAAATACCTGCGTATAAATGATTCTTCCGAATACTCTTCAAGTTGTGTAACAATTGACAATAATTATTAAAATTCAGTGGCGGCTCGTGACTTTCATGACAGGGGAGGCTGAATGATATGAAATTCATTGTGAAAAACAACTCTACTCACCCATATCAATAGCTTTAATGACATTCTGTTTACCAGTTGACCTGAACTTAAAACTTGAAGAGATGTCTTCCTGTGATTTGCAGTGTCTATCCAATCCGCGAGGCAAATTTTTCAAATCATTATATCCTAATCGCCTCCAACATGATGACTTATCGGTTGAAAATAATACGCAGTACCAACAAAATAGCTTATTCCTTAAGTCAGATCCCGTCAGCCAGATATATTTTTTAAAATTATCAGAATTGAACGAACGATTTTGTTTGTTACCTGTTACAATCAGATTTTTCAATTCCGGTGTCGGACGTTTGTTTTTCACAATCAATTTATCTTCATAAGACAAAGCACTGAATGGGTTCACCAAAAAGTATTCCACTAAATCGCAATCGTTTAAAACACTCATTTTTCAGCCTAACCATTAATAACCTAACATGAACATAAACAATGCACTCGCGCTGGTTTGTTCGCAATTCGCGACGCGACACGACAAACACGTGCTATTCGGGCGTATTCGGGCATTTGCATTGCGCGCGTGGGTTGCGAGATGTGAAGGAGTCTAGCCTCCTATAGATGTTGCCAAGTTGAATATTTTACGCGTGATTTGCAGACTTCAACGTGTGATGCGTGGGCAAGCACTGTTGCCAATTCAAAAATATTTACCTAAAAACAGGAAATAAAATCAAAATCCATGTATTTTGGTGTCCTTTTAATGAGAAAGTATAGATGATATCAGTTTGAGGAAAATATCTGAGGAGGCTCAGCCTCCGTTGCCTCTTCTGAGGAGCCGCCACTGTTAAAATTGCGGTTTTTTAACGAAATATCTGATGGAAACATTCTTTAACATACAAATATTTGAAGAAGCAGCTATTTTATATAAATTTGAGAAACAGGTGTCAAGCTGTCAAGTGTCTCTAGGGTAGTTTAAAACGCTGTCAAACTTGAAGAGTTGGTAGGTACATACAACGATTATAGAATTTACGTTCTTGGAAAGGAACATTGGTGCTAGGTTTTTCGATCTCTCTAAGGGATGTGAAACTGTTATATTAGAAGGGCTCAACTTCAACGCATCTGAATAACTTTACACCTACCGATTACAACTTTTGAGGTTAGCAAATTTGAATGCTTTGTAGGCCCATTAAGGTGAAACAATCTTCACTCATCTAGGATTCCAACTTGTATCAAATATAAGTTAATTTATCGTAAGGAAACACAATGACACAATGTCCTTGTCTTCAGGGTTCCAAAGGAAAATGTTCATGTTGGTGACTGGAATCTTGAAGACGTGTCCTCGACCATTTGTACCAGGCTAATTTCTGCGCGAAAAAAAAATTACTCCTTTGCGTCGGTATGGGGGCTATTTGGAACCGCCAGAAGAGTATGGCATGGTGATTTTCGTGAATGGCTACTCGACGATGCTTAGCTGAGCAAAAAGTATCCTGGTACAAATAGTTGAATTGGTTTTTTTAAATTATTGTATTCGCGTTGGTATTGTGGGCTGTGACTCACACCGGAGAAGTATGGCATCACGCTACCGCCATCTTGTTTCGGAATCACACTTTGATATACCAATTTGACTGAAGATGACCATTTGAATGGCCGAAACATGTTTCAAACCTTATTGAAGCAGGATTGACTGCATCTATTTAACATCAAACTTTTGGAGACGACTTCGAGTTTTCTTTCTTAGTATAAATAACTTATCGTTGGCTTACTATCAAAACCTCCTAAGTCCGAATTCTAGGGAATTTTAGGTTTGAACATTTTCACCATCTACGAAATTCAGCGCACCCATCACCAAATCAACGTAAGTCTATGTTTATGGTAGCGACATCTATTAGATATAATCTAAACCTCCTAACTCTACTCGGAGAGATTTTGAACTCAAAAACTCGTGAGTCTGCAAGAGAGGATAGGGTTAAGCTGTGCTTGTTGAGAAAGTATAAAGCTCTATTGTTTGAATAATTATTTGAAGTGAAATTCATGTCAGGCACCAAAGTAAGTTCATGATGAACTATTTGGTCAATCTTCTCGAATATTTATGCAGTGATGCGGAGGACAATCTTGTTTTGATTCTTCATGTGGACATACTTACGAGGTTTTGATCTGTGTATTATCTATCTAGTAGAGAACTTAAGAGCTTTTGTGAAGATGTATTTCATTAGCATCGTTATGGATATTTGTATGATTTTATACTGTTCATTCCAAACGAAGACATTGATTGAAATATTTCGGTTTATTATTGTTGAATCCATTAGATTAGATTAGATTAGATTTGGAATGGGGCCTTCGGGCTATCTGCCTCCACACTGCGACCTTTTCAGATCTATTGTGCTTGCCCTCAAAATGGATTAGAATTCTTCGGCTAGCCCCGCCTTCTCTATGAGACTCCATAGGCTAGCTTTCAGATCTCCTGTGTATCTCTGGGCTCCTGGTTTTTCCTCACCCAGCGTAAGGAACCTTAGTCTTGACAAGCCCTTACAGTGGCAAAGTATGTGTACTGCTGTTTCTTCCTCTTCTTGACAGAACCTGCACAGCAGTTCTTCAGTCAGACCTATCGTACGCATGTGTTTGTTGAGCCTACAATGCCCTGTGAGAAGTCCCACTAGTATTCTAGTTGAACTTCGTTTCTGGCTTAGTAGATATTCTGTGAATGTTGGCGATGGTTTTTTAATAAACTCTTTTGCCTGTCTCATTCCTGGCGAGTTGTTCCACCATTCTTGAGATTTGGTTTGCATCCATGATTTGATACTAGTCTTTTGTATAGCTTTCGCAATACCACAGAAGGGTTCTGGGCCATTAAGAGCTTTGTTTGCTCCTGCTCGGGCAAGTGAGTCTGCCTCTTCATTGCCCTCGTACCCTGTATGTGCTGGTACCCATGCTAGAGTCAATCTGTTCTGACTGCCCAGTGCATTTAGGGTTTCTAAGCAGTCCCATACTACACACACTGGCACAATTAGGGGAACGGGTAAAATTTGCACTAAGTTTGACATCAATTTTCTCTCGAACCGATCACTCGATTCAAATTTGTTTTTCACGAATTGTAGCTTCATTCTTTACGAATACATCTGAGAAATAACCACCTCCAAACGATTCGTCTTTATATCATATACAGGGGTGTAAAGAAAGTACGGATTTTTCGGTATTCTTTAAGACATCCTGTGGAGTGAACCACTGATAATTGAACCGATTTTCCAACACCAAATTATAGCCCAATCTATCTCGAATATTTTCATTTTTCATTCATCTTGATATCCCAATTATCCAAGAAAATATAGAGTTTCAAAGAAGAGGTGGATATTGGTATTAATTTTACCACCTCGAAACTCGAACTGAGGAGAACGTGTCGTTTTTCAACTTGTTTCTATGAGGATTTTTACTTCAAGATGAGAATTGTTCACAGTTTTACCTATCGGTTTACTGTTTAAAGACACATATACGAATACTCTCATGAATATGCAGGGGTGATAAAAGTTGCTCCAATGTTCTTTTGGTGAAATGCTATTTTTGTTAATCAACGTTGGCTCTTTTGTTAATGTCATTAATTATTGTCAAAGTCAAGCGATTCACAATTCATAAATTTGAACAATGAAAATTCAACGTGAGAGATTTGACTCCTACTGATGTGGCGAGGGCTGTAGCATTAATTGAAAATGACCAGTGGGCCAATGTTCTTTTAACATATGAGAGCCGCATCTGCACCAATTCAATAAATGGCAGGAAAAGACTATATCGCCGAGGTGAACAAAATGAACAATTTGATTTCACTGCTTCTGCCTCCTATGGTAGAGGATTAGTCATGGTTAGGTTACGTTAGTCAAGAAACGACACATTTTCATATCCAATTTGAGTTTTGAGGTGTAAAATTGATACCAATATCCACATTTCCTTTGAAACTCTGTATTTTCTTGAATAATTGAGATATCAAGATGAATAAAAAACGAAAATATTCGGAATAGATTGGGCTCCAATTTAGTGTTGAGAAATCGTTTCAATTATCAGTGGTTCAGTCCACAGGATGTCTAAAAAAATACCGAAAAATCCGTACTTTCTTTACACCCCTGTATATGATGGAAAGACTCATCTTTTGGAGGTAATTATTTCTTAGATGTATTTGTGAAGAATGAAGCTACATTTCGTGAAGAAAAAACAATTGAATCGAGCGATCGGCTCGAAAGAAAATTGATGTCAAACTTAGTGTAAATTTTGCCCGTTCCCCTAATTGTGCCAGTGTGTGTAGTTTTGAGTTAACTTGCATAGAGTTGACTGCTTTGATTGATTTGATTCTCAGTGTTTCAAAACTGCCGCTGATTTGCTACATGCACTGTGAATCAAACCCAAACTGAATGAAAATTCTCCCTAGTAATTGATCAAAACCAATTCAGTCTGGATAATATTAATTTTATTTTTGTAAATACTTCGAATGTCGTTTATTTGAGCGTTGAGAATATGAATCTTCTCAGAATGTTGATTCCATACATCAAGCAGGTATCTTTACAAAGGAGGAAGAGCCTTAAAAAAAATGGAACTGAATCGTTCAAAGAACCTAGTGGAGACCGTTTTTCCCCTCCTGAACAATTAGCTCTGAAAGACTTAGGTTTTGACAGTAAGCCGACGTTATTTCAGTCAAGACTAGCTGACTTCTCTACTATTCCATTTCGTTTCCGCAGACTTGAACCCATCGAGGACATCGTCATCACCGAGGTTACCGACGATACTCTACCAACCAATGAGAAAAGCGAAACGGCTATCGAAAACGTGGAGAATCCCGTTTCGGAGCCAGCGGCGTCGAAGAACAGCGGCGGTGGAAAAATAATTCTGGTCAAAAATCCTCTTTACGGACAATCTATTTTCAAAACTTACCGTAGGAAATCAGTGAGTAATAACCAAGTACCAGAAACTTGATGATTTCGTGATATGTGATAGTCTGATAGATTTTTTGACGGTTTGTTCATAATGTGGCGGTGATGGGCAATGACCGGTTGGACATAACGTTGAACTTGAGAAATATTCGCTCATATTCTCCCTAGAGCGTGAATATTTTCGAGCTCAGAAAAAAAGTCAGTTCTTTTTTTCTCAAGCTCGCGGGAGAAAATTGTATGTCAGAATTATTTAAAAATACAATAAAATTAGTGACATATCTACAGGTAACCGACAACTGTCAAGCCAGTGTGGTTGTTATAGGTTGTTTTCTTAGCAACATGTCAAAAAGCAAGCGTTTGATTGGCTTGAATTGGAAGGTATAACATTGGATACTTGTTCCTTGTTTGTGTGCATGGAAAAGCCTTACTATTTTATAACTAGTGAGTTGGAATATAAATCAACTAATTCGTGATTTACGCATAGTTTTTTATCTGAATTCGCACCTTTAAACAAACATTATATTGATTGAGGAATTAGTGGAATATATTTAAATTATTTTATTTTCAGTTTGAATAATTGTTTTGATTTATCAAATTAATTTTTAAATGCAGGTCGTTGGTGATTGTTTTGATTTCAACACTCAAAGAAATACCCAATTATGTTTGAAGATCATTAATTTTTTTGAAGATTGTTCAGAAGTGATTTCTTCAACTTTTGTTCATCCTTGATATTGAGGCTTATTGTTTTGTGTTCTGATTGTTCCAATTTAAAATCTCTAGCAACAACCGAAATAACCGCCAGTATCAAATTCAGAATAGGAAATTTTACAAGTTTTATTCTTTCAGCAATTACGGCGCTATAGTTTTGTGCCATTGATAATTGTGAAAATAATTCATTTGTTTTTGAATGTAGTCTGACACAATTGGGAAAACTTTTTATCATATTATGAATTCATCAATTGATCCTTTTTCTAGCTGGAATGGTCTCAATGTATGTAATTCATAATAAACTACTCACACTAATTTCGTCGCACCCCAAAATTTTTCCTCTGTTGAAGCGACAAAATTTAGGGTGCGACGAATAGTTTAGTAGGAGAGCCGGCTGCAGATCTCTACCGTCATCTGATAATGAAATGAAATATGTCCCAAAGGAAGCTAATGTGTTAGCCAAACAAGTGTCATGTATCTTCGAAAATTTTCTGGATATTCAATAGTTTGTGAAGTTTATTTTCACATTTACTATGGATTTCCATCAGGAAAACAGAAAAATCATTCCAAAAGGTGAGAGAAATTAAATGATAGTCCAAGAGCCAGCTGCAAATTTCGACTGTCATATGATAACGAAATGATATATGTCCCAAAGGCATGTATAACCATTGAAGTTTATCGAAAGGCACCGGTGCCAATCACTATCCTGAGCAATATGATTGTAAAATTGCACTTTTCTGTGCGGAAATTTGCAATCGATTTTGCGATTTGATAAGGAGATAAAAATTATGCCATCCGATACCAATTGAATGGTAGATTTCAAAAACGTACGTACGCCACCCCTCAGTCTGAGCCAAATCCACCGCACAGCGATTTATTTGCTGCTATCATTGCGGACATACTTCTGTCATGTGATAACGAGTTGAAATAAAAAGCAAATGAAAGAGAAAAATGTCCATTCTGCGAATATACCAACGTGCCGCTATTCAAACTGATCGAAGTTAGTGGCAGAGCGTCAATATTTCGTCCTCGTCGAAAGATAATATCCGATGGACCAGTATGAAACTCATCTGGTGCTCGCACTACAAGTATTCTAATACACATGTTAAGTCTTACACTGATCCATCTTATATTATCATTAGAGGGGGCGAAATATCCTCGGAAGTATTGACGCTCTGCCACTAACTTAGATCTGTTTGAATCGTGGCACGTTTAGATATTCATCCCCTTTCATTCGCTTCTTGTTTCAACTCGTTATTACATGACGGAAGTTTGTCCGGAATAACAACAACAAATAAATCGCTGTGCCGTGGATTTGGCTCAGACGCAGGGGTGGCACTGGTTCGTTTTTTAAATCTACCATTCAATTGGTATCGGATGGCAAAATTCTTATCTTGTTATCGAATCGCGAAATCGAGTGCAATTTTTCAATCATTTTGCTCAGGATAGTGATTGTCACAGGTGCAGTTCGATAAACTACAATGATTTTATATGCCTTTGGCACAAGGACTGTAACTTTTGAATTATTCGAGATAGGGTTTTGAAAATTGATTGGCAGCTAGTATACCAAATTGCTCATTAATTGACGAAACAATTTTTGTTCTATCACTTCAAGTTTCACTGGAAACGACCCCAACTTTTGATTTTTTAATGAGAGACCCTGTATTGTATTCCATAATCGTTTAGAGATTGTCATAACGAATCCATCGATACCGGGTTTGATAGGGTTATTTCAAACGATTACGCAGATATTCGAGTCCTAAGTTTCCATATGCTCAATGATTGCGACAGAGAAAGAAGTTTGGATATTGCCAAATCACACCCATTGAGCATATGGAAACTTCGAACGCAAATATCTTCGTAATCGTTTGAAATAACCCTATCAAACCCGGTATCGTTGAATTCGTCATGATAATTTATCCCTAACCGATTTTGGAATTCAATACAGGGTGTCCCATTTGAAAATCAAAAGATGGGGTCGTTTCCGGTGAAACTGAAAGTGATAGAAGGAAAATTGTTTCATCAATTATTGAGTAATCTTGTATGCTTGCTACACACCAATTTTCAAAACCCTATATCGAATGATTCGAAAGTTACAGTCCTGGTCGTTTTTTGTACACTTCTCTGTATATCATGACTCTTGGACTATTATTTAATTTCTCTCACGGCCGTTCCCTGATGAGAATCCATAGTAAATGTAAACTTCACAAACTATTGGATATCCAGAAAATTCTTGAAGATACATGACAGTTGTTTCGCTAACACACTAGCTTCTTCAAGTGAAATACTCCCACACAATGAATTTAATGACTGTATTTCCAAATTATGTCATGTTTCTGAGAAATCTGATCGTTCATGGAGTTTTAAACATTTTCTAAATGGAATTTTTGTAATTTCTAATTGGGAGTAGAATAATGCTGGAATGTTATGATGAAAAGGATTTGCTGAAATACAAACTACAGAAGTCTGCCATTTCTGTCTCATCAGATACCTACTGCATGTACTAAATAAATTGGAAGAAGACACTAACATTCTCACTCTCACCAGCTGGCGCTACTGAAACTTGAGGTCAGTGTCAAAGTCAAAAATCCCAAAATTTTGCCGAATAACCTTAAAGGCTGTTGCCTGTGTTATCGAAGATATTCGAAAATGATGATGTAGAATATTTGAACAAATAGAAAATTTCTAGTTTTCGAAAGACTAGAGCTGACTTACGTTTTTTTTTTCAATGTGGAACTTTACCACCAATTCTACATTAACGGAGAAGAAGATATCGCAGCAAGAGGCCAAATAACATGAAAATAAGAAGTGTATTCATTAGTTCTACCAACCCTGGCCTCAAGTTTCATTGGGACGTTTTGGCCATTGCGTCATAACCGGTCGGACCCATCACTGTTGTTGATCAGAATATTGTAAATGTTGTATATAGAATCGTTTCTCTGTATATATTGAACATATTATCAAGTATTTAAGGTTTTCATTCAATATTTACTTAGGTGAATGAATATTGATTGATTACTATTATTATGCAATAAACTCTTTCCTTTTTCTTATAATGGACCGTGTGATTGTTCATGTGAGTCCCTTTTATAAATGAGTAATTTGAATGTTATATATTCTATTCGCGATAGAAAACAACACGTTGACGTCGCCCCATCTGGCGGCAATAACTTGAACACTTCTGAGCGGTTTGTTTTGATTGATGTGACCAACAAGCACGAACGAAAAACAAATGTAATTTGACAGCTTTAAAAAATCCGATAGGTGGCGTACGCTTATTTTCTATCCCGAATCTGTTAATTTTGAACATTTGTAAAAGCCAAAAAATGTGATTTCTACTTTACTATTTTCGTTTATTAAATGAATGATCTTATTGTTGATGTGATTTTTATTCCAATTATGAAATAATTCTATTTTGGAGTCCGCTGATTATTCACGATCACCATGGAAAATATTTTTTAATAAGGTATTTTGAAATGTGCAAGGGTATTGGCAAAATACTGAAACCAGAAGGTGAGTTGAATAATATTTTTTATTTTCATGCTGTGTGGATGCAGGATTGAACTGATCATGCTGTTTTTTTTTTCGCGCTCGTGTACTCATAATAGTGGTTCCAGGTGGTTCTAGGGTGATTCCAGGATGGTTACAGAGGTCATATACGATGTTATTTCAGTGTTTGTTAACGCCATCTATATATAACGCAAATATGCTCCACCCATCCGCTATTAGAAGGCAAATGAGTGCTTGTAAATTTTTATTACTTGTTCTTGTCACGAACTCGTATGAAATAACTCATTTTCCGCACTAGTTGTACAATATAGTATCACTTCTTTATAATCCAGACTATATCGAATTGAGAATGGAAGGGCTTATTGTGAAACAATGATATGCCTCAGGAAGGTGAAAATGAGATATTTGTATTCGGATGTTTGAAATAATATGTATAATGCTTTTGAGTGTATGATAAATTGACATTCATCATACAGGGCGTGGAAAGAAATTCTGAATTGAGACTATCACGAATCTGCGATTAGAGGTCTATAAAAATCACAAGTTTCCATCGTTCAAGTTTCAACCCCCTGATTGGGTATGAAAGTGTTGAAAAGGAATATTCTCAGATAAATTATGGACATACAAAAATGGATATATATCAATATGAAGCAATACATTGAGAATTCGCATTCTCTATGTGATGAGAATATCTACTCTTTTTCAGTTTATTCAATAGAAAACAACAACTTTCCTGGCTATATGCCACGACGAACATTGAATTATATCTATTGAACACACACGATAAGAGTTTGAAAATAAAATAAAAAAACTTCTGAAATTGAGAATTTGCATTCTCCTTCAGACAAAAATATGTATATGCACACATCATTCTGAATATTCAACAGAAAACAACTACTTTCCTGGCTATTTGTCACGTCGAACATTGAATTATATCTTTTTTTTTTTTTTTTTTTTTTTTTTTTTTTTATCGATTGGAGCGCACGAAAGGGAATCCCTATGAATAATATGATGTATAATGATATAGAAATATAACTTACCAATATATTCAGCATTGAGATGAAAATTGGAATGTATAGGAGAAGTATACTGGCATAAATTCTGATCTTGATGAGCTTGAAAACTTCCAAAAATAATGATTCATATCAGTGATATGGGAAATATTATCTCTCACACACAGGTTATATGACTTTATTGCAATGAAACCATTTCGGATTTCTGAATCCTCATCAGTAACCATGATGTCCACTTATTCTTACAGCCATTCTTCATGATATACACAATTTTCATCTCTCTATAATACAACTAAAAACCGAGTATAAGTATAACAATATATGACATCTGAGAAAATTAGTTGACATTCTATTCCTGTCATTTGGACGTAGAATATAAAGTCAATTTACCTTCACCTAACACAAAATGGCGGAACATAGTTGCCTGAATTCAAAAACATTAATATATCTATATTCATTGAACAGAAACCATAGGAACCGTATTTGAATATTGTGAATCACCGAAATCGTCGAAGCAAATCCTAATTGATTCGATATAGATATTGTATTGCAATTAACAATAAGCTGGAGCACCACCACGCAGAACTCTAGAAGTGTAAAAAACAATTTGTATAATACTTTCCCCGGTCGTTGGATTGGCCGTCGAGGTCCTACGGAATGGCCAGCCCGCTTGCCAGATTTGACACCTCTAGACTTTTTTATGGGGCCATTTGAAGAAAAATTTTTAACGGCAGAGAATAATGAATATTTGTAGGAATATTGACGTAACTGTAATATCGGATAGGCTGTTCCATATCTCAAGCAGTTCACGGCAATCATTCCTAGAATCTTCTGAACGGAACTCAGCTTATTTACTCAAATTATGCAGTTGAACGTCGATGTATTCAGGCAATTATCAAATGTCCCGCCATTTTGTATAGTAGGTGAACATATTGACTTTATATTCTTGTGTAGACAATGGGCTTAATTATATCACAAAAAAATTTCATTTCATAATTCCATAGAACTCACCCAAACTAGCTCACCACCGCAAACCGTTTCTTGCTGTGAGCTCCCTACGTTTTATAAAAAAATATTGAAATCCCCGATTTTTCGGACCTCTGAAAACGAGGTGATGATGTGACGTCAAAACCCTAATACTGAAACAAGACTATTCCAGACAGAGATGAATGATACATGATTTCTGACAGAGTGAATTAGCGCGAGATCACAGTTGAAAGAATATATCAGTTGCCTCAGCCTCCGCCGGGCGTTTGGTATTTACTTTCAACTATGGCGAGATGAGGTTTCTACGTCATAAGAGGGTCCGTTTTCAGAAGGTGTACTATTATTTATGTCCAAAAATGAAACATTCCAGTTAATTTTTCGATCGAATTATGTCGTCAATCATTATTTATGTATAAAAGGATCATAATAAACATGGTTTGAGTCAAAAGTTCTACTAAGGTGTACACGCCCATTATGTCAAGTATTCGTCAGAATCTTCAAAAGGATGTGTGACAAGACCCATAGCAGGGACCTGTATAAGATGAACCGGAATGACAATAAGGGTGATTTGATCCCACCATTTTGGAGAGCTTTTGCTCCCATGAATTCCACAATTTTTTGAAATTTTTTTTATGTTAGGTAACCCAGAGATATCTGCTGGCCTAAAAGCTCTGGGACATCCGGTATATATACTTCGGTAGATTAACATCACCATCAGTCCTGATCAAAGAACTAGATCTCATACATTTTTTGCTATAGAATGCGATTTAGCTAAATTGTGTACCTATATATATTAAGTAACAGTGCCTGAACATTGTTAATCCAATAATAATAAAAAAGATAACCATTTGTTTGAACTCTCAGATAACATAATGGCAAGGTAATGAAAATTATTGTTATTGAGTATGATTCAAACAGAAATCAAACATACGTAGGTAAATAGCTGATTTTCATCAATTTACTAGTAGTGATTTCTCATTAACTGCGGGAAGATGTGCTGTGCGAAATGAGTGTTGAAAGGAAAATTCGTTCTTATTTGTTGATATGGACTATTTTTAGTACAGGTAAGGTGTTTTTACATCAATAGTGTGATGCAATCATGCCAACTGGGAATTTGAGATTGAAAAGAATCTAAAAACCCAAAAAAGTTAAGAAAATTTGATGATCGATAGCTTCAAAATTTGATGGAAATTATTTTTTATTTTCATTTATTTATTTATTGAACAAATAACTTCCAGACAGAATTGGCTCTGGTATAAGGTAGTACATGATTATATACCTATAATTGAGTGAACATTTCAACATTTAAAATATAACAACAACTGTAACTTGGCAAACAAAGAATAATATTTGTATAAAAACATAGTAAAATTTCATGATTAATTTTATCCCGTTCACTCAGAAATAATCAATTTTTTTACTTCATTTTTGAATGAAATGAACCTATATATATTTCTGCAACTTTTGATATTGCCAGGTAGTTTATTGAATTCAGTGGAGGCTGATGAATGAGTGGAACTTTTTTGTCCGACTATGGAGCTAGTGGTGTCAAGATGAAACAAGTTATATTGTTTAGTTTCATGATTATGAATTTCAGAATTCCGTATCAAAATAATATTTGACTTCGATTTTTTATTCATTATATTATTTGATATTTCAAGAGTTTCAATACAATATATTTCATCTAAAGAATACGTATTTGTTATTTCATAAAATTGATATAGGTTATGGTGTATCAAATGGTAGACGATACAATACTTCTAACGATTTCCTAGATAACGTTGATATTTTATATTGAAATTATTTTTTGAACAAGATCCCCAAACATTTATTAAATAGTTGACACGACTCAGTATATGAGGGTAGAGAATCATGTTTGCAATTTTAATATCAAGTTTGGGATATCGTCTCAATGCACCTATATAACTGGAGATATTTTCTTTGTCAAAACATCAATATGTTTGTCCCACTTCAACCTGTCATCAAACCAACTACCAAGATATTTCATCTGGTTAGTTTGTTTTAAGGGTTCATTTTTTATTTCAAGGTTGAGTTAAATTTTTTGTTTATTTTTTTTTGGGAAAAATATATTCTGTTTTATTAGTATTTATATCGATAAAAGGTTATAGTGGAGCCATTTATCAAATATTTTCAAGTCTTCATTCATCATATCTTCTGAATTTGAAGGATTCTTTTCTTCATATTAAAGTACCTACTGTATCATCTCCATACATGGTGAATCTGATATAATTTTATTGGGAATATCATGATCTTTGCTTGTTTGATTTTTTAGTACCCACTATAGTTTGTGATATCGGAGGCAGAGTAGCAGACGAAGAAGAGGTTTCTCATCAGGTAAGAAGTATAAATGCACAAGGTGGCATTGAGATAAGTGCACAAATTTCAAACCCTGGGAAAGCTCGACGTTCACTATCGAATATCACCAATAAAAAAATGAAGAGGGATCAAAATTAAATTTTGGGGTTCGACCCCTTTTTTCCACCCAAAGCTCTGCACTGTAGCAATTCTGAAGTCACGAAAAATATCGCATGTTGTATATTTACAACATTTAGTACTACTACTCATTTCTGTTAACCCATATTTGTATGTGGAACCCATCGATATAGAAACGAAGCTTTTTTGCACAATGTTGTAGACAAACACCAATAATGAATACTTTCATTGCATAATGTTGTAGAGAAACAATAATATAATGAATCATGTCATCATTATTTCGATAAGACGATGCCTTTTTCACAAACAATACAAACATCGGCAACTGACTCACCATATTTGAGTGAACTTATGTATATCCTGGTATATCTTTGCCCAAAAACTCATTTTTTGCTCAGTAAACAAACTTTGAATCACGTTAGTCCAAAGCATGTAAACAACATTCTCGTCATTTGTGAATAAATTGAATCATACATTCTTGAAATGAAACAAACTGTTAAAATTTCTTGTGAAACTTATTCGGGCTTCTCACATGCCAAATCAGGAGTTCCTCAAGGATCAGTGCTTGGTCCAGTACTATTCTTATTGTACATACCTGAATGATCTAACAAGCTCACCAATCACGGGAAAATTAACCCTATTTGCTGACGATACTATACCCTCCTTCGGCATGGAAAAAATGAAGAAAACCTAAAAACAGTTGAAGCCCAGGAACTCCACGAATTAAAATCTTCGTGCGATTCAAACTCTATGCTTCAATGCGGAGAAAACAAATATTAGTACCTTCAAATTTGTGTTTAAAAATCTGACATTGAATACTCACCAAGTTGAAAACAGAACAAGTACTAGGTATATACATATTGACAAGATTAGCATCAGGTTGCTATGCCATTAGAGTTGTATCAAATGAGCTTGGTCCTGCCATTACCAGAAACACGTTTTTTATTCTCCTAGAGTCTCATATCAGGTACGGCATAGCCTTCTAGGGTTTTTGTAGCCAAAATTTGTTGAATTCTGTCTTTATTCTACAGAAGAGGGCAATTCGCTATTTGTGTAAGGCTAAAGCAAGGGACCATATTATGGATCTATCAACTTGCTAGTTTCACGATTTGTCAATAGGAAGAATGTTTCTTGGACAATAAAGCTCAGCTTTCATTGATTGATTGAATGCGGATAATAGATTGGTATCTATAATAATTCATTTGGTAATAATTGAAAAAATGACATGCGCATGGGCCATCATTTTAGTTTAGTTTCCATCTTATATAGCGTGAGCATCTTGATGAAATCGTTGATGATTTTCATGTGATTTCGACCAACGCGTGATGGTTATATTAGTTCATTCCCTTATACGACAGTGTGGGTTTGTTTACATTTGGACATGTATATTTACGTCTACAATTAGCTTCTTGGGATAATTTTATAAAGGTACGACATCACATATGAATAAAATTCCAGACGACTATTAGTGCATTTATTATACAAAATTTAGTATGTTTTCAAAAACTGTGGTGCATCTCCTCCGTGGCTTGAATGTTGAAGAATCACAACAGCATATGCGATATTCCAAAGATTAACAATTTTTTGATTTGCAAGACATTGAATTGAATAGGTTGTATATTTACAGCACTATATGCAGTGAAAGGTTAAATTATTTGGAGTGCCGTACTCGAATTTTTCTCGTTTTTGTTCAATTTTCTGGAAAACATTTCTCGTTGATTAGAAGAATTGAGAAAAAATCTGATATCATACGAACATTCGTCAGACTTTATCATATATCGATGTGCTGAATCTGAATATATGTACCTATTTCAAAAACACATATCAAAATACTTACAGGTCGTCCGGAAAAAGAATAGGCGTGCAATTCCACCATCTGGATAGATAAATAATAATTAGAAGTTCACATAAACATAGATCGAAAAATGCCCCATAAAAGAGTTCCAGCTTGTTGAATGAGTTATTGTTGAAAAAACATACTATTTTTGCTTGCACTAATTTTCTTATAAGTTTACTAAAATTATAACAGTCGACCAATTATATGATCGAATGGAAACAAACGTGAAAACAACTTGAAAATACTTCAGAGCAGAGAAAAGGGTTTGAAATCAATTATTTAGGAATCAAAACACAGATTACTTCACACTCAAAAAATGTTCCTCTATTGTATGGAGCATAAAAAAATAGTAGAATGTGTCGAATTTCGTCATTTTATTGCATTCTTGAAATTCAGGAAAAAATATCTTCAGGACTTCCTTCATGAGTTGTCACTTTAAACCGTCTCATTTTCTTCGATTGTGGAAGCCGCTGGTGTAATCCCAGGTCATCAAATTGGCTGAATCCTGATTTTAGATTGGGCCGATATATATTGTGAATAACGAAATAACATTGGTCCAATTAATATGAGAGTATATTGAAAATACAAAATTGGAATGATAATATTATTGCTCGAATATTGGTTCAACCTGAGTTGAATGTGGATTGTCAGCTAAATATTGAAGCTATATTGGTTGGAAAGATCGTTCACAATATATATACAGGGTAGCATTGAAATAAGTGCAAATATTTCACACTGAGAAAGCTATCAACGTATGCTATCGAATGGCTATAGTAAAAAAATGTAGGGATCATAATAAAATTTGAGGTTAGACCCCTTTTTCCATCCAAAGTTCTGCACTGTAGCAAATCTGACGTAACCTCTGTTCAAATTTCCATGCGGTGGGCACAATCACGCGGAGTTCAATCATTTAAATTCTTTAAAAAGTTTAGTATCTGTGGGATATTTTGTTGATTCATCTCTAACCGTTTCGAACTTTTCATCAGAAAACAATATTCAGACTCGTATTTTTACACTCAATAAGTATTATTGACCAGGCTTCATCTGATTATTCAGTAGGCTTCATCCCAATTCCACATTACGTGAGTTATAATGTTCTAATCAAGTCCTGGAATGCCAAACACTGTGCTGCTCGGACCTAAAACTGAGTATCAAGCGTCTACCCCCTTTGCAGAGAGGGTTTATGAACGCGAAGTTGGTAGTCTCCCCTCGTAAGGGTACCTGTCGTGTTTCCATAGAGACATAAAGGTGAATATCTGTCTATCTGTTCGCTTGAGAATCTGGAAAAAAATTCAATATATCGCCTTCCGTACGAACATGGTGATCCGAGTTTAGAGAAGTATACTCTGGTCATTTTTCTTTGCGGATCGTTTCTTAGGTTCGGCTTGACTGGAAGGTTTCCACGGATTTTGTGTCAAGTATCAAACACTGTGCTTCTCGGTTCTGCAACTTAATATCACATATCAAATATCGAATTATATAAATCGAAAATGATTATTATTAGATGCTGTACAGTGTACATGGATGTTGGATTAGAAACTCACCTTAATATTTTGCAACGTTCGTAGTTGGATTGCAACATATGAGTTTTGTTTCCGAATAGAAGTTTCCTCAGTAGGCTTCATCCACATCTACACTTAACGTGATTTATATTAAAGACCTGGAATCCCAAACACTGTGCTGCTCGGACCTAAAACTAAGTATTAATTTGAAATTTGTATCGTGAGACGAACATGGAATGAATAAGAGTCTAGATATTGTTTTCAACATTCGTAACTGGAATGCGATATATTTTCGTAATTTATTAATTAATCAACTATCTCAATGAATACGCGAGGCAGGCAGATAAGCAACAATTTTCTCTGCGATGAAAAACACTGTATATACCTAACCCATCTAGCGTCTACCTCCTTTGCAGAGAGGATTTATGAACGCAAAGTTGGATCTCTCCCCTCGTAAATGTACCTGTCGTGTTTCCATAGAGACATAAAGGTGAATATCTGTCTATCTGTTTGCTTGAGAATCTGGAAAAGAAATCGATATATCGGCTTCCGTACGAACATGGTGATCTGAATTTAGAGAAGTATACTCAGGTCATTTTTCTTTGTGGATCGTTCCTTAGGTTCAGCTTGACTGGGCGGTTTTCTCGGATTTTGTGTCAAGTATCAAACACTGTGCTTCTCGGATCTGCAACTGAACATCACATATTATCAAATATCGAATCATATGAATCAAAAATGATTATCATTATAGATGCGGTACATGGATGTTGAATTAAAACATTACCTAAATATTTGACAGTTTTTCGCCGAGTTGCATATTATATTCTTTCGTCGACCTCAAACACTTAGTTTTTCGTGAATAATTAATTTGACAACATCAAATGACAGTTGTTGTCAACTCACTTTCCGCGTGGACCAGGGTTGCCAGAGATTTTTATTTCATCAGTAAATACCTTGAAGAAAATTCAGGTATATTTTATGCTATACGAATTCCAAGCAAGGATAATGAAATGAACCTTACATGACATGACGTCACAACATTATGAACATTTAGTATGCAGAAAAAAATCCTAATATAAACAAACTAAAGAAATATTCTCATAAAAAATATTCTCAATTAAAAAATACTAACAAATATCACAAAATACAGTTACATTGGTACTTAGGATTAATATCGGGGCCGGGATTGGCGCAGTGGAAGAGCGTCCGTCTCACGACCGCAAGGTCGTGGGTTCGATTTCCAGCACGGGCAAGGAACTTTTTTCAATATTTTATTCACGAATTAAATATTGTAAAGTTTCGGAGCATCGGCTGGGGATAGTCCTGCACGATTCGCTGTTGCGTTCCAATTAACAGTGCTGCTCCTAAAGTGGCGCATGGAGTTAGTAACAAAGCCTACACAGAACACGCAGAAAGATATGACGATGTGGTTGTGAGCATCAGAGAAGAAGTAGGACGGTGTATGTAGGTGGGTGTGGAAAACTACCAGCTGAGCGTGAGAGCGGGCCAGCTGCTTAAGTAGACCTCGGTCTCGGGGGTTAACGATGATAGTTAGCAGGCCTGCCACTGCGCATATGGTAGTGAGTACATTACTAGCCTACGTGTATGTAGGTGGGTGCGGAAAACTACCAGCTGAGCGTGAGAGCGGGCCAGCTGCTTAAGTAGACCTCGGTCTCGGGGGTTAACGATGATAGTTAGCAGGCCTGCCACTGCGCATATGGTAGTGAGTGCATTACTAGCCTACAAAACACAGCTGAAAAACTCTGAAAAGAGAGCTGATGGGCGGTGCCTGAAAAGGATGTTAGCCAGCTCTCTTGAGCGAACCACATCAGTCATTGAAAACACTTGGGGTTGGCAAAAAGGTCCCATTGGGGACTAGTTGCTGACGTGGAAACGTCCCCCACCAGTACCAGTACCAGTACCAGTAGGATTAATATCTGAGTACCTATATGAAGAATAGGAACGTATTGTGAAAAAGAAACAAAACGTAAGAAACAAACTGTTATAACAAATAAGGTATATAAATAATTGAATTTGATCTGAATCAGATGAAGTATTGTCCTTTTCTGATTTATACATATTTATCATAAGTACTTATATAAGATCTTCATGGAGAATATAAAAATGAAATACAGGGTGTTTCATTTGAAAATTCGAAGTTGCTGCTACTTTCTAGTAGAAGCGGCAACGCCGCATCGTTCAAAATATATTTTAGACGTGTAGATGACTCTGTGTCAGTATATCACTCATGATAAAATGATGTAAATAACACTCACCCATGTGAAAACAAAATGAAATTGTGTAAAATAGTCCACTTCTCCTATTTCATTGTTTGAAATTCTTTATTTTCCAATAGCAGGAAACACCAAAACAACACACGATCGCGATTATGTAATCACTGATCAGAATGCGAAACACAAAAACACGATACTATCACTGATTTTTTGGTGAACACTGTGTTTGGAATGATTAATAATTATTCCTTTCGCGTGTTTTTCAATGCCTTCCACAAAACTCGACCGTACGTGATGACATCTAATATGAGACTGTCTTGATTAACCACTGATCCCGAATAATGAATGACTAATAAGTTGAATCATGCTGCTAACCGATTAATTTCCCAACAAATGATTCATCTATGACCGATTCTATGACTGATGATAATGAAATTATACGGGGGAAAAATATATACAGGGTGTTTGGTTCACCGACGTATTTCTGGGTGGTATATGTGATGTGATTCTGAAAATATTTCAACATACTTTCTGTTATACAAAGTGTTACATTTCGAAAGAAATCATAGCTGTAATGAATATGAAGTTGTATGTTACAGAAACTCGTTCACCACTGTGTATCTTCAATGATTAACCCTGAACAAGCTGTTTAAATATACGGAATGACCCTGTACAGGTTTCTCTCCATTTGTCCTACAACGATGAATTCCTATGTGGTGGTGTGATCGTATCCCCGACAGAGGTCGTCACTGTGGCTGATCGATTGTACTACACCTGGGGAGGGGTACTTCCGAAACTAGTCATCAGGATAAGAGCTGGTAGACGCAGCCTGAATGAGGAATCGTACCAAGAGTTCGAAGTGGAGGATGTGGTCTTCCATCCCGACTTTGACAAGAAAACTATGGAGAATAACATAGCGGTTTTGCGGGTATGTACTGTACCCGATTATTGTTTTCACATGTCAAAATGTGATGTGTTCGTTGTTTCAATCAATAGCAATCCGTTATTCTAGCCAACCATTCGGTATTGTACTGCAAATTTTTTGACGTTTATAGGTTAAATGACATTTACATTCAACTTCAGATCATTTCGAGTTCATTCTATAAGTCAATTGATAAAAATCAGTTATCAACAGTTTACCATATGATATTATATGTAGGTATACTTGCAAATTCGAATTCGTTCTAACATTTCATCACAAACAACCATCTTTTCCATATAAACACTATGATATTATTCCTACTCTTCAGTTTTGACATAAAGAATGACATACGTAAAGAAAAATAGTATATTGTGCAACAAGTGTGAAAAGTGCTTTTCCCCACATGTTGCACACTATACTTCTTCTCCAACTGCACTTATTCAAAGAATCCGAGTAATGTAGCTTAATGGTATTGATTTTATGATGTGAAACTATACCACATTGAATATTGTGACCAAAGAGTAGACAGACACCTTTCCTAGTTCCTCAAAGTATTTAAAAAAAGTATACTTTCCGAAAAAGATTTTATTTCTGTATTTTTTTTAGATTCCATAAATTCTTCTTTTATGCCAATTCGTACTTTTTTCTTGAAATTTCCGGAAACAAATCCAACTTTCGCAGCTTCTTCCATTATCTCTGTCTCTGGCGGTGTATTTGTTAAAATCGTCACATCTCGGTATATACATCATATTATTTATTATGAATTGTTGGAATAATATTTGATAGAAAATATGATTTCTATCAAAAGCACTGATGAGAATTACCCTAAAGAATTTGAAAAACTTCTTCTGACAGTTTTGACAATTATTCAAAACTGAACTATAATTATGCTGAACAGCAGCCAAGTTTTTGTCGATTTTTGTTGATTCTTCATGGAAATGTATGTGGTGTTGGCAAAGTGCCGTGAGAAAAAATATTTCTCACAGTATGAGCAATACATGGTTTTGAAACTGAGTTAGCAATGAGAAATGCGCTACTTCTCATAGCAGTAGTAGAAAAAATATATTATTCTTTTGAGTTAACATACAAATGCCTAATTTTCAAATGTCAAAACCATCAAAAATCGTCATTATCCAAGTAATTTTTCAATAATACTCCAGTGTGAAATTTTCTTACCGAATACCACTTCAGCTTCAGTTAATACCCGGGAATATTTTCTCAAACACGAATATTTAGAAAGAATTTTCTAAATATTCGTGTTTACGAAAAAAAAATTCTGGAAATAATCGAAGCTCTCATTCTTGTGTGATGATTGAATCAATAGTAATTATCACTGGACTGAATACAAACTTTTTCTTTTATGCACCATAACATTCCTATATAGGTTATATAGTCCAAAATCAGTTTGAATTATATCGAAGAATGAAACCTCTGGCACGATAATACCGATTTTTTCCCCTCGACACGTGTTTCGCTAACTATGTTAGCATCTCCAGGAGAAGATTGAAGCTTAGATTAAAACTCTACCATATATTGAACTTTATCAATCACACCAAAAATGTCTCTAAGGTATTAAATTCCATTTGAGGGACCTACATGAATTTTTTTTAATCGCTTGGAGCGCACGAAAGGGAATCCCTATAATGTTCAAAGAACATCGTGCGTTCCTAGGGAGGATAGGGATAGGAGGTAGGTATTGGAATTTTTTTCGAACTTCTAGAGATTATATGTTGTTGGGAATACTTCCTCAGAGATAGGTCAAAATATGGAGAATCAGAGTTTGAACTCACATGGAACTCACATATCGCAGCTATCGTCAAAACATATTATAAATTTGGATCATCAAGTACATTACATTTTTGGAAGGAAAGTTAGGGCATTATAAATAGTGTAGTGTAGTCGTCGGCAAAAGGTCAAAAAGTCAGCTCAAAAGACTTTCAAACGTAGTTTTTATTGAAAATATATAAACTCGCAAATAATTGATACTGAGTGAAAAATCAAAAATTGTTATCATTTCTTGTTCGAAAAATAATCTATCCTACTCAAATAGAACATACAGAGTCCTCAAAGATGTCGAATCTGTTACATTCTTCCGCTTGATGTTGAATCTGCTACAAATAGTATAACGATATAACCATTGGGATAATTCGATTTTGCAGTAGCTTTAGTATCGTCATTCAGAGATATCTTCAGGACTCAAAGAATGTTGATTATACTATAAAACGATACTCTGTTGAACGATTCCTGAATTTTCAATTTCAGACATCAGAACAACTTCCATTTTATGGAACAGGAGAAGGAATAGCCATGGAGAAAGTTGTACCCAGTAGCAATTGCTCAGTAATCGGATGGAATCAGGTTAGTTCTATATGATATCTAATTGAAATATTGTCATTATTCAAATTAATTTTTTTTAATTGAATATGAAAATGAATGCAATACTTGTTAGAGTCAAGGAAAAGGCAATGCATTTTCCACTCTGAGTTCAATGTTTTCCTGTGTTACAGGGTACATTGGATCTTCGTGTATTAGATGCAAATGTGGTCCAATGTGGGACAGTATACTCAAGCTATTCTGGAAATGTCTGCGTCAGAACTATCGATGTTGAGACTACATTGTGTGAAGTAAGTTTCAATAATTAAACAGCAACTTATCAAGAAATCTCGATAGAAATTTTATTTTTTCAATATATCATATTGAAGTCGGGCCAAGATCATTTGTCATCATATGTAATACCAGTGGAACTATTTTGACGGAGATATTTCGCGAATGCCATTGTTTATCAAAACTTTCGAGCCATAGGCGAGAAGTTTTGGATCAATGTCATGAGCGAAATTTAAGCAGCAAGCTGGAGTATGTCAATCGACGGATATTTCCAGGAAAAATAGTATAACAAGTTGTATTTGTATGACTATTCCACTCTTATTGTTCTCGAGAACCAATCAGAATCGACCATTTTCACGATTCCTTTTGTATTACAGCGATATTTTGTAGAGCAAGTCCGATAAAATTTAGTAGTTTTCGAAATAAGTGCACATATTCAGCATATTAATATGATACAGTCTGAGGAATATTCCCATGACATCAGATTTTTTTCTAATTCTTCTAAGCAACGAAAAATTTCATTCCAAAAATTGAACAAAATACGAGAAAAAAATCAAGCACACGCCACTTTAACACAATTCAAATGATTGTGCCTACCGCATGGAAATTTGATCAGTGGTGAAGTCAGATTTGCCACAGTACCTATACTGTCTTACCTAAAATTTTATTTTCATACCTGAATTTTTTTTATTAGTGCCATTCGATAGAACGCGTCTAGCTTTCTCAGTGTTTGAAATATTTGCACTTATTTCAATGCCACCCTATAGGTATTTTGAGTTTTGGAGTATTAGGGATGCATATAATTTATTATTATATTAACACGTTGGCTACCATATGAGTCTCATGTGATGCACACTCTCATTTGCTCTACAAACCACCGTAAAAAATCGCATACTTCCTCTCTGTACCAAGTGAAGAATCAAACTCGAAACGTAGCCTTTCGCTACAAGATGTCGCTATATTGTATTTTGAAGCAGATGCCTTCATCTCGGTAAAGTTTGCTGAAAGATCACCGGTGATTCACATGGTACATAAATGAACCATTTCATCATATGATTGTAGGGTACTCCATATATTTTGTTGTTTTTTTCTTCGTTTATAAGCGCCTTCATTCAAACCTTCATGGGAAAATAATGGACAATTAAGACGAAAAACGTATTTCGAGGAGTACGCAAAAATTCAAAGATGGCAGCAAAACATACAAAATTGGTTACCACCTTTTACGCGGAATGCCCCGAGAAACCTTCATACTGTTTGGACTGTTTTAAAAAAAAAACATCAGTATTTTCTGTATACAATGATCTATGTGTATCACTGGTGATACCCACTTCAACCCGATATTATTTGGTTCATACCTGTACCATACCCACAATCCAATTCCTTCGTTTATACACTAGGCTTCTCTACAAGCATTCAAATAATATGTGTTCATTATCACTGGTGATACATAAAGTACAGAAGTGTGGTCAGAATGTTGAAATCAGGCTTGGTAGTCAACGTGTTAAACAATTTTTTTCTACAAACGTCAAAAAATGACAAGGTTCGCGCATTGATAGCAAATTGCGAAGTGACACTTTTTTTCAGTTTCCTACGTTACAATGATACCTTGCACCAAACAATGTGCGAAGTAAAACAGTGCGCGAAGTACCTACTTCGCGCATTGTTATGTAAAATATATGAGATATTTATATTTCAACTTAATGGTCCTTTCGAGAAAACATCCACGAAATAATTTATTCCTGAATGTTCAACAATAACTTCGTTTTATCTCTTGGAGCGCACGAAAGGAAATTCCTATTTTGTTCGTGGAACATCGTGCGTATCTAGGGAGGATAGGAGAGTCCTTTTAAGCCAGTTCAACACCATTTTTTATATCGAGCTAAGCATATTTTTAATTTAGAACTATATTTTTTGACGTTTGTAGAAAAAATGTTGTTTGCAACTCGAGCGCGAAATGATACTTTGGTGATCGAGATCTGATTTTTTTAACGAGGCGTAGCCGAGTTAAAAAAATAGTCGATACAAATACAAATACAAATAGTAGATACAAAAATAACTATTTCGGGAACATAAGCTCATGTGACGATAGTTATTTCAGTTATTTTTTTAGATGAGTGAAGGTAGTTCCTTGACGTGTGACAATCGACTTGTTGCACTGTTGTCGATTCCGCTCAATTGTGATTCCAAGAAAAAGATTGCTGTATTTGAACGTGTCACTCTCGCTTCAACCTTGCTAGAGGGAAATGAAACAATAAGCGATACACCACCAACTCCTACAACAACGTCTGCTGCTCATGTGGTTGCTAATTCATTTCGAATACTGAATTTAATCACTGCTGTAGTTTCCTTCGTATTCAGTTTGATTTTTCAATAACCGAATATAAAATCATTGCTAGAGAAATAAGTCAATCTTGTGAATAATGAATTGGGAAAGCCTCGTTTTTACCCATAACTTAAGTATTTGTTTTTGTTCACATAGGACACACCACTATACTTCTGAACATTTTCGAAAAAACAGGCGTATGCCTTCAGAACTTGCCGGCATAATTTGGAATTTTCTATAATCACCATCACCTCAGTTCTGATAGGAAGTAAACTAATTTCGAATGCATGCAGTAGTAAAAAACATTTTTGGCTGTAGAGTATATTTCTAATTTGAAACAATTTAGCTCTAAAATTGAGCAATGTTAAAATATCACAATTCATTTGTTTTACCTCTATGTGGCACTAAGTTTATTGCTGTCTAAGTAATATATCGAAATTCCCATCATGAGTCTTCGCAAATATTTCCAAAAACACAAATTACATAATAAATAATGGATTGAATTTGTATATCTTTGTTGATTTAGTCTTTATGATCAATATGTAGAATATGGTCGGTGCCCGTAAATTTTATAAAGTTTATCCCAATATTCCATATACATTTGCCTGTAATTATATTTTATCGACAAATCTTTATCTATTTCGAGGTAAGTGATGTTTTTTGGAGATCTAACTTGTGGCCAGACTACCCCTTGCAGTAAATCATCTCTAAGGGGGGTTGGATTGCTGAAAAATTAAATATAAAAAAACGGAAACAATAGTTTATAAAATGCACGGAAATGGTAGATCACGAGAGAAAAACAACTACTTTCTTGGCTACATGCCACGCAAAACATTGAATTACATCCTTCCGAAAATATGCAACGATTCGTATAGACGAATACACTTGCGAAAGTTTCATAAATGCTGAGTTGTGTTCAAATTGTTCAGGAATGCTTCACTAACTACAGTCCGATCCCGGGCATTGGCTCTCAGTGCAGGGGTGTCCCCAGATAGAATTCATGACCACCATATGGTGCGAACCTGACCCAACGTAAATACCTCTCAATATTTAGTACCCACGAGATGTTTCTCCCTCTTTGTTACCATTTTCATTTCACTTCGAGTATTCTTGACTTTTCCTAGTCGAATGTCTATATTTGTACTTGGGAATTTACCTGGTTTTAATGAAATTACTCCACATTTGCATCACTCTCAGTAATGTTAGTTTATCCAGACCTTCAGGATGAGGGACTGGGCTTCTTTTCCAAACATATGCTTCTTCTTCTAGATGAGGTACTCCTGAAAAATCAACGAAGGTTGTTCGTTGTAAAATTATGTGAAAATTTTAACAGAAAGTGCTTATAATCGACAATTTGCGGAAAAAATCTTCATAAGGTAAGATGAGGTACTTAAATGGGATACATTCATTATCAAATATCAGAGTAATACAAAGAATTTATTGCTGTCCTTGGCAAATATACAGTGTGTCCCACTTACCATGCTCACCATGGGTATCTTTTTAACGGTGAGAGATACAAAGTCGGTTAAATGACACCAAATGTGGAGTGTGTCAAGGCCAACTATAATGTGAAAAAACATTTTGATAAAATCTATTCGTTTTTGTTTTATAAGCAAAAAACAGATTTCGATCTTTTCCATGTCTCCTCCGTAACCTCTTTATTTATGAAAATATTCAAATGGAAATTTCACATCCTTATGGCAGTTTTTTAAAGTGATTTCGAAAAAAATATGAAATTCATACCAACTCTTCTAGAATTTCAGATATCAGAACCAACTTCAGTTTTTCAAATGTAGGTCATAGCTCACTATGACTTAGTTACAAATAACTTTTTTTTCTCTTACAGATGATATGGCGCAGTAATAGTTTTGTGTTGATAACAACGGAGTTATCGTCATTTATACAAAAACAAAAAATTATTTGGAATCCGCTATCTTGAATTTAAAAATTTCAACAAAAAAATCATGATCTCCGACCTCAAAAACCCCCACTTACCAATTTTGAATAGAATCGGGCCAAATCTTGTCCGACATCTTGAAGCAGCAATTTTTTTTTAAATTTAACAAAAATTCCATAATGTATTGTCACCGAAATTAAGAACACCAGCCACATTTCAAGTTGATCGGAGTTATGAAATTTTTGTGAAATTAAAATAAAATGGCTGCTCCAAGATGGCGGACAAGATTTGGTCCGATTCCATTCAAAATTGGTAAGTCGGGGTTTTTGAGGCCAGAGATCATGATTTTTTGTTAAAATTTATGAATTCAAGATGGTGGCTTCCAAATGATTTTTTGTTTTTTTATAAATGACGATAACTCCGTTGATATCAACACAAAACTATTACTACGACATATCATCTGTAAGAGAAAAAAATGTTATTTGTAACTAAGTCATAGTAAGCTATGACCTACATTTGAAAAACTGAAGTTGGTGCTGATATCTCAAATTCTAGAAGAGTTGGTATACATTTCATATTCTTTTCGGAATCACTTTGAAAAACTGCCATGAGGATGTGAAATTCCTATTTGAATAGTTTCATAAATAAAGAAGTTACGGAGGAGACATGAAAATGATCAAAATCTGTTTTTTGCGTATAAAACAAAAACGAATAGATTTTATCAAAATATTTTTTCACATTATAGTTGGCCTTGACAAAGTCCACATTTGGTGTCATTTAACCGACTTCGTATCTCTCACCGTTAAAAAGATACCCATGGTGAGCATGGTAAGTGGGACACACTGTATGTTTGTTTCTTGTAAGTGGAGTTGAAATTGCACAGTATTTTTTAATTTACTAGGAATTCACCCTTAAAGGTTTGAAATGTTGTTTGAAAGCAACATGGTAGGAAACCTGCCACTTTCCTTTGAACATGGAAGATAACTATTGGTAACATTTGAAATATTCCACTCTTGTAGTTTTTTGCAATCGAAGGTACAACTTGGAAGTATTTTTGAACTTATGATTCGAACACTGAATAAGACCAGTCGTTGCAGATATATTCACTCAAAACATTTTTGGAAAAGTTCTTGAACTAATATGAAACTAATGTTGAACAATCAGTCATATATGTAATTAGTCGTCGCAGGTATTTGACACTTGAAAATATGTAATTCTGAGAATCACAAGTTTTCAGTTTGTATAGGTCGCGTGCACGAAGACCGACCCTGGAGGCAAAATATTGAAACACAACCTCATTCTTCTGTGAATTATTGAAACACAACCTCACTTTTTTATTTGGTTGCAGAGGAATCAAAAGGTTGAAATAGTTTTTCACAATATTTTGGCATACGAATCGTGTTTCTTGCGTTATTCATTAATTCAAGCATGCCTTCGCATTGTGCTGTTGTACAATGCACAAAAAATGCAGCAAGAGACTAGGGAATATGATTTTGCAGATAAATAGTAATCTCACATAGTTAGCATTATGAAATGTTGTCATTCCTTATTAAAATTCCTTCTGCCTTCTGCCACTTCTGCAATATAAGCTAATGCTGCTAATAGATTGAAAATGTCTACAACACACACGATCGTCATTATGTCAGACCAGTCCTACCGATTGATTGCATGAATCCAATCTTCTTGCATTATTCTAGAAATTTCAGGTATATTTCTATTAGCTGATCCTATTGCAGAAGGAATTCCGATGAGAAATCATAGAAATAACCAAATTTCCAAAATGAAAACTATGTGAGTGACTATGGTAGGTACTTACTATCATAATGTACCATCCGGATTTCTTCATCTTCCGCTGCAGTTTTTGTGCATTTTACAACAGCACAATGTGATGGCATTAGCGAATTGATGAATAGCGGAAAAATACGATTCATATGCCAAAATAATTGTGGAAAACTATTTCGATCACTTGTAAACAAATATATTTTGCCTCCAGGGTCGGTCATCTGACAGTTCTTGCACGCGACCTATTCCAAAGTCTATCTATGGCCCCAGTCAGTCCTGGGCCCTATACCTTGACTCTGATTTTAGCTACGAAGTAGTTACAGTGTTCCAGAAATGATCATTTTAGATAGATAATAGAAATGTTCGCAATTGTTTGCTTTGTGATATAATGAAAATGTTGATTTTTTGGACTCACCGTGGACTGGCCGTGAGTCTAATATCCCTTCTAATACTGTCAAGCCGTAATCACCCACATAGGAAAACACATAAAAATAAAGCTGTGTGTATCTGGAGACTAATTGCACCGTCTTTCTTATAGGACGTATAAATCTCTCATCAGATGTATACTGAAAATAATAAGCGATTCATAGCATTTTATTACATATCGTTTGATCTCTGGTAGAAGTTCATCGTTTCTCAAAGAGAACTGAATAATACACAAAATCAACTCCACGACTATTTATTGTGAAAACTCACAGGTTCATTGTGAATAATCACATCAAGGGAACATGCTTTCGGACATACGTATGTCCATCATCAGCCTAATAAGAAATTACATAGTCCTACAATGAGAAAAATTAATTGAGTAACACGAGGAATCCTTACTATAGATAGCTTACATGAAGGTGAACAAATTTTTATAATAACCGTAGAGAATTGAAATAGATAATAGTTAAATGGTCCTCCATCTTGTGAAACAAACCACAAGTGGAGGCAGGAAATCACATGACCACCGAGACAAACTACAAATGGTTATTATAAACATTTTTTTCATCTTCATATGAGCTATCTATGGTAAGGATTCCTCGTGTTACTTAATTAATTTCTCTGATCGCAGGACTATGTACTTGCCTATTAGGCTGATGATGCGGACATACGTATGTCCGAAAATATATTCCCTTGATGTGATTATTCAAAATTAGCCCGTGAGTTTTCACAATAAATTGTCGTGGAGATGACTTTGTGTATTATTCAGTATTAACATATCGTTTGTCCTAAATTCCATCCTCACCATTGGGTTCTTGGTAACTGTGAAAGATAGAGAGTCGGTTGAATCACGGAAGTTTCAGCAAATTCAATCAGGATTCAGAATTCGTCGAGAAATCTTGACTCTTCAGTCATTTCTGAGTTATTAGGGAGAAACTGAAATTTTCTATTTTCGTTTCACTCGCGAATATCTCGCTCACTATCGATTGTATTAAAAAACGACTTCAACAATATTTGAAAGTACTATTTGGTGATCTTTTGAAAAGTTTTGTCGATTTCTGAAGAAGAAAGAAAATAGAAGGAAATAATGAAATGAATGAATGAATGATATCTGAACAAAAACTGACAAAATCATTTTAGAGATCACTGAAAAGTACTACTAGAATTTTGTTTATTGTTTTATCATACAATCAATAATTTTCGAGATATTCTTAAAACAAAAATACCAAATTCCAGATTTCCGCCTTGAATAACTAAAAAATTACTAAATCGAGATTACATTTGCTGAAACTTTCGTAAATAAGCCGACTGTCTATCTATCATGGTTACCGAGGTCCCAATGGTGAAGATCGAATTTGGGAAACACTGTACGCATATAGGAATTATATGAAATAAATGAGCATAATATAATAATAATGAGATTATCAATATATTATGTGATCTTACTTCGAATAATTCTTTTTTTGTAGCTTCAATATATGATCCGCTTTTGAAATATAGCTTCTTAATTGCTAGCCCAGCTTTTCTTCTTTCTTCAGCAGTCTTGATGTTCATTTCAGAACTAGGCAATGATCCAGGACTCAAGTCATAAAGGATATTCAGTGGTCGTATCAGGTCAAATACTGAAAGAAATTCTATTGTTCATTTAAGGAATATTAACAAAAAATAGGACCCCAGCAAAGTTCGTTCAGTTTCCTTTCTCAGTATATCGTTAAAGATTGTTCAACTACTCTTACATATTGGGGATATTCCCGTCCAACTGAAAAATTACAAGAGTACAACCAGTTCCTAAAAAAGGCAAAAAGACCCTACCTAGCAACTACAGACCGATCGCACTGCTATCTATTATTTCAAAGATCATGGAGAAAGCTATCAACATCAAGCTCATGGAATACCTAGAACATTCAGGTATTATCAACGATAGACAATATGACTTCCGTCATCAGAGATCAACTATAGTGACCTACCAGCTTACGTCTCACATATATGGCAGCAATCTATTGAAAAATATGGTGAAACCTTAGCCGTGGCACTTGATATTTTCAAGGCATTCGATCGAGTCTGGCACCACGGACTCCTCGCCAAGCTTCCATCTTATGGCTTGCCTCCCCAGCTATGTTCTCTGCTAGCTAGTTTTCTCTCAAACAGGTCTCTCCATGTAGTGGTCGACGGAGTTTCATCTGACTCTCTTACCATAAATGCTGGTGTTCCGCAAGGATTAATTCTAGCACCAACACTATTTCTACTCCATATCAACGATTTGTTGAAAGCAACTTCATGTGTACACAGCTTTGCGGATACCAGTCAGGCAAATCAAAAACTCTCAAATGGGGATCCAATAATTTGGTAGATAAGTGATCTCACTGTACCCAAGATAAACTTGTCAGGAGTAACCATACCTTTGAAGACATCCATTTCGATGCTTGGTATTACTATCAGCAATAACCTTTCTTGGGAAAATCACCTGAGATCAATTGCTGAAAGTGCATCTCAAAAACTTGGTTTTATGTTTCGGGCTAGGAGCTATTTCTCTTCCAGTCAGCTGCTTATGATCTATAAGGCACAGATCCGACCTGTCCTGGAATACTGTTCCCATATTTGGAATGCAGCACCCAAACATACCCTAGCTGTAACTGTTGGATTCTGTCCACAAAAGGGCAATTCGTCTCGTGAGTGATGCCTCGCTCACAAACTCACTCACTTCTCTGTAACACCGTTGGCGATCTGGCTCTATTTTATAGATATTATCATGGACGATGCTCTTCTGAAATATCAACAATTGTTCCTCTCTTGGCAGTCCCCGCGAGGTTGACTTGTCGAGTTGAGGCTTCGCATCCCTTCGTGGTCACTTTGGAGATCTGCAGAACATCTCTCACCAAAGACCCGTTCATCCAACGAACAGTGAGGCTCTGGTACACATTGCCAAGGGAAGTGTTCCCCGAGGCATATAACCTCCAGAAATTCAAGAAGAACACCAATTCCTACCTTACTTCCCTTGGTTCTCACGATGTTCTCTGAACATTACAGGATATCCCTTTTGCTGGGAACCAGAACATAAAAAAAAGATTGGCGAAGCTATGGAATTATTTGCCAATGGATGTATCTCCAAGAACTATATGATCTTGAAAAGTTCAAAACAACTACCTCCTCTCCCTTTCCTCCCTATTGCTATGCACGATGTTCCACGACCAACATTATAGGAATTTACTTTAGTGCGCCCCAAGAGACGAAAAAAGAATTGTCTCTTACTCTTTAACTTACCTACTTACCCACATCGAAAAACATTGTTTCCAGAGTATTCACTCCCGTCAGAATTGGCACTCTGTTGAAGTTTCCCTTTTCAAAACTCGAAAATGCAGTATTGGTTAGAAACGCATCTCTGTGATAAGGCTCTATGGACGGACCAAATGGAAATCCTTCTCTATCAGTCTGAGGTACGAACTACAAAATTATTGTTATGTAGTAAATCCTCTTCAAATTTCCACTTGTCTGAATTTGAACATGATTATTTTTGATAAAAAAACACGCACGGCTAAGTTTCCATTTCCTGACACATATACATATAATTTCAATACAAATATTTACCATAAATATAGATTGTTTCCAAAGAGGGGACTGATAAATTATATTTTTATTCGCAACCTCAGGTGAATCAACCTGTGTATAACACGAATGTAATGACAAACTGATGAATTATTGCTCATAATCATGTCAAAATAAAGGATTTATAGGAATTGTTCACTCAGTCACCAGTCACAAATTTATAATTTGTTGATTATTCATATCAAACTAGGTGTTGTGATATATACTTTTTGATTTTTTGATAATCTTGAAAATTTATCAATGTAATCATTATGAGTGTTAATAGTTCAGTGGCATAAACTATAGGAGCTATAGATATAGAAAGAATCATAAGACTTCTCTCTCGTTCACCAGAGTAGTGAATGGAACAATTGATCTGGCATTTCTCAAAGGAATAAAAGACTGTCCCTTTGGAGACTGCAGATAGAAGTGGAAACTAATTAACTTGAAAATTGTATCGTAGATTATCATTTTTCTACTGCTTCTTAGTTTGCTTGAATCTCCCAATTTGGACAAATGATTCATAATCTCAGACCCCGAAAATCCCAGATACTAATTCTGAATAGAATCGGATCGTGATTACAAAACTCCTCCGCCATATTGATTCCAAAATCTTGAATTTCCTAGTTTTGAGGAGAGAATCATAATCTCCGACCCCGAAAACCCCAGATACTAATTCTTAATAGAATCGGATCGTGATTACAAAACTCCTCCGCCATATTGATTCCAGAATCTTGAATTTCCTAGTTTTGAGGAGAGAATCATAATCTCCGACCCCGAAAACCCTCAGATATCGATTTAGAATAGAATCAGATTATAATTACAAAAATCGCCCGCCATATATCTTGGTGTGGCCAGCTTGAATTTTCGAATTTTGACAAACAAATCGGAATCTCCGACCCCGAAACCCCCCCAGCAAACAATTTTGGTCAGCCTTGTGCTGGCCCATATTAGGCTGGCCAGAAGTGACGAGAACGGCAAAATTCCTGTGAACATTGATGAACCAATGCCAATTGGATACTCTGGCCGTCATAAGAGCCAGTACATGTCTGCCGATACATTCGAATAAAAAAAAGATGACCGCCACGGGGTTCGAACCCCGGTCCTTCGCTATCACTTGGTTACAAATGAACTTGTTCGAACTGATGAGCTACTCCACCTTTCTTGAAATGATAATATGTGTGTACGGAGTTCAATTGCGGATATGAATATTTCATTGATAATAATGATCATCATAACAGATCTATACAGGGTTGTCCGGTTTGCAATACAAAAAAATCAACAGTGTGTTCTGCTCGTTGGAATAATAAGAAAATCCCATGTAAGTGTGTTCAAAATACGAGTCTGAATATTGTTTTCTGATGATAAATCAATAGCATTTCTCACAGATACTGAACTTTTTACGCTCTCTAAGATGAAACTGTGAGCAAAGCACTCTTCTTTCAATTTCAATCAAATTCTTATTATGATTTAACTGAAAATATTACCATGTTTCTGAACCGATTCATCTCGAAAACGGCGAAAAGCATAAAAAACTCACTAGTGAGCTTTTTCACGCAGAGACCTATGTATTTTCAACTACGAATTGAGAAAGGAATGCACATATAAAAATTGGGATTTTTTTTTGTTCGCTACCTCCAGATTCGGCCACCACTGGATTACTTTATGAAATACTTTTTATTTCATCTTATAGAGCTTAAAAAGTTCCGTGTCTGTGAGGAATTTTGTTGAATTATCTCAAACCGTTTCGAACTTTTCAACAAAAAGCTCTATATCTCGAAAACGACTCGTTTAAAAGTGTATGTTTATCTGCACTTTTTTATTATTTCAACGAGAACAACACACTGTCGGATTTTTTGTATTACAAACCGGACCACCCTGTATACTAACGATGATCAAGGGAAAACATCCGATCCTCTGAGAGTCAGACAACTTGCCTATTTTTTTTGCCGAATTGAATAATTCTCATGATAATATTAAAATGCAAAACGGCCGAATAGCGCAGTGTTCCAATCAACAGAGTACTGCTCCTAAGGTGGCGTACGGAGTTAGTATCAAAGCCTACACAAAACACACATGGACTGAAGGACCTCTCGTAAGGTCGATAACCAGTTGGTGTGTACAAAAAAGTGTTGACCGCGCCTTAAAAGAAGTTTTAACTTCAAAAACAGGAAGTAGCAAAAATTATCTATATGTATCGATTTTGTAAATCTTACCAGGAGGACTATCAGTCTGGACGCTTTCTTCAGCTCTTCAATATCAGTCTTTCTGAGTCTTGCCACTAAGTCTTCAGTATTTTTCGTTTTAATTCCCACTGCTAATCCGACATCGAAAGCTATTCTTTTTGGATTTCTTTGGTACGACCATGAACACAAGGAACTCCCACTATTTGCTATAGCATTATTAAATAGCCCTTGAACAAAATAGATTCGTGGAATGACCAAGAAAAAAATAAACGCAGAATTTTTTGGGTGATTCAGTAGACAGGCGGACGAAATAACAGGAAGTTTGAATGACCGTTTTTACTTGACTTGAATCAGACACTCGGTGGCATTTATACAGGGTGTCCCAAAACTCAACGTTATTCTTCGGAGGGCTAACAGATCGTGACTGACCAGAATATCACAATATTACCTTAGTAAAATATTGTCATTTTGGCTATACAGAGGGCGTTGGAAGTTTTATTTTTGACTTGCTGACCCCGCAAACTTTGTTTTGCTATATATCTACATATTTTTTCAGTTGATGTTCCATCAACACAATATTATCATTATTTCATCTCCTAATTTTAGTTTGGATATCTATAAAAGCGTGTTCCTTTAGTCTTTCAAACTGACATTTATTATCTAATCCTTTTTAGTTCTCTTGAATTTCCCAATTTTGACGGAAGAATCATATATCTCTCACTTCTTAAACATCAGATGAAAATTTTGAAATGAATCGGATCATAATTAGAAAACTCGTCCGCCATATCGAATTTCCTAATTTTGACGAAGCAATCATAATCTCCGATCCCAAAACTCTCAAAATACCAATTTTGATTAGAATCGGATTATAATTACAAAACTCGTTCGGCATATTGGATCCGCCATCTTGAATTTCCTAATTTTGACATGGAAATCATAATCTTCGATCCCGGATATCGGTAGATACTAATTTCCAATACAATCGGATCATAATTACAAAAATTCAAATTTGATTGGTGACGCTACTGATGTATGCCAGAACAAATTTATAACTGTCTAGGACATACTGTCTGTAGGTCAATCGAGGAAGTGGTACATTCATTATTCTAGATTTTTCTTTGATTTTCTCTTCTTGTCTCTATCCAATAATAGTTATTACACAAGGGAAAAAGTAGTAGATTTTAGCTCCAGGTTGTGTTGTCTGGAATAATGTTTAGGGTATGTTGAAAACCCATAAAAAAATTACTTCGAAGTTGCACACATTGAAAAAACGTTGCAAAAATTTTGTCATAACCGGCTAGTCTACATATCGGATAGTTATTTTGGAAGCTGAATTTCAGATTTAGCAACTTACCTTCGCTTTTCGGTGATGCTATGTGATAAAATACAGACGCAGCTCCAGCGCTCTGGCCAGCAATCGTGACACTATTCTTGTCGCCACCGAAATTTTTTATATTCAGCTGCACCCACTTCAAAGCAAGGTTTTGGTCTTTCAAGCCATAGTTGCCAGGACTCTCCATGTCCATGGTACTGAGAAATCCTATCAAAAAATGCACGAATTAGACCAGAGATTCTGCCGAAAACATAACAACATGGAGATACTCCAAGAATTCTGCATCAGAAGAAACCTCGAAGTATAAGCCATACACAAACACCCAGAACAAACGCTCATTGAAATACTTCTGCGATTGGTTCAATAATTCCAACTCAACAAAGATTATACAGGGTGTTTCATTGGGAAAGATAAATAATTCAACTGTGGATAGGGGTCACCGAGGTGATTTCAAAAAAACCATGGTTGATGGGTCTTCGACTTCTTATAACCGAGATACAGGATGTTTCATCAATTTTGTTCATATCTTCATTGTCTCATAACTTTCCAACCAACCTGTATATATTTTCGAAAGCTCAATCTACCCCGTGGAATTGATTGAGGCAACAACAAAAGATAAAATCCAGGTCCGGCTTCACTTAAAATTCACAAATTATTTCTGCCAGAAAACAACACCCTATACATTCGAATTTCTCATTTTTTTTTGCCATATCTGGAAAGAACATCAGAATTTCTATTCAACGATGTGCTGTTTATTCGTGCACAGACGATTTTAACTATTCATATTATGTGCTCAAAATATTATATTTGCTCATTTTGGGTTAGAAAATTGGAATCAGACGAGATTTATTAATTTTATTACTTCCTATTCAGTTTACGTGAGTATTACATTTAGAAGGAGTATTTCATATCGTTCTTTGTTCCAGTCTTAGTTGCAGGTCCGTCATCAAAACTATACAGGGCTTTTCACGATGAGCGTTAATTAGATGTTTCTGGCAAACCAGACAGCGGATAAATCTAAAAATTCGAAGGTATGTATAAATTAACATGATCTACACGTCTGAAATATTTGAAACAATCTGGCGTTGCCGCTTCTACTCGAAAGTAGCAGTAACTTTGAATTTTCAAATGGGACACCCTGGATGCTTCCTGAATCTATTCACAAAGTTCGGGGTCTAGTGGGACTAATAACTGAGATATTTAGAGTGAGAAAAATCGAGAAGTTTCAACTTTAGAATTATTTTGCGAAAATATTTATTATTGATCAAAACGGCTTTTATGTCCCTATCTTAACTTTGTATCTATTGACATTTAATCGAAACAAATACAGGATGGTTCATAATTCAGATTTCTGCACCACCCTGTATCTGTTTCAATTGAATATCGAATGGAAAGTTGAGATAGCGACATTGAAGCCGTTTTGACCATGCAATAATAAATAGTGTCAACACAAAACATTTCTAAAATTGAAACATCTCGATTTTTCTCACTATAAATATCTCAGTTATTAGTCCCACTAAACCCCGAACTTTGTGAATCGGTTAAATCAGCTCTTCAAGAAGCATCCAGGGTGTCCCATTTGAAAAATCAAAGTTACTGCTACTTTCGAGTAGAAGCGGCAACGCCGGATTGTTTCAAATCTTTCAGTAGTATAGATTATGTTAATTTATACATTCCATCGAAATTTCAGATTTATCAGTTGCCTGGTTTGCCAGAAACATCTAATTAACGCTCATTGTGAAACGCCCTGTATAGTTTCGATGACGGACCTGCCAACTAAGTCTGGAACATAGAACGATATGAAATACTCCTTCTAAATGTAATACTCACGTATACTGAATAGGAAGTGATAAAATTAATAAATCTCGTCTGATTCCAATTTTGTACCCCAAAATGATCAAAAATAATATTTTGAGCACATAATTTGAATAGTTGAAATCGTCTGTGCACGAATTAAAAGCACATCGTTGTATAGAAATTTTGATGTTCTTTTCAGATATGGCAAAAAAAAATGAGAAATTCGAATGTATAGGGTGTTGTTTTCTGGCAGAAATAATTTGTGAATTTTAAGTGAAGCCGGACCTGAATTTTATCTTTTGTTGTTGCCTCAATTAATCCCACAGGGTAGATTGAGCAAGTGTACCAATTTTTAAAACTATATACAGGTTGGTTGGAAAGTTATGAGACAATGAAGATATAGACAAAATTGATTAAACATCCTGTATCTCGGTTATAAGAAGTCGAAGACCCATCAACCATGGGTTTTTTTAAATCACCTCAGTGACCCCTATCCACAGTTGAATTATTTACCTTTCCCAATGAAACACCCTGTATAGTAGTAGTATAGATATATTTATTATGAACACAAAAAAATGGATATATGAATAAAGGAATACATTGAGAATTCGCATTCTCTATGTGATGAAAATATTAATTGATTCTTTCTCGGTTTATTCAACAGAAAACACCTACTTTCCTGGCTATATGCCTCGACGAATATTGTATTACATCTATTGAACTTACAGCACCTTACATATCTCGATCTTGAAGCTACTTACCAAAAATGCCAACTCGGTAATTGAATGTCACCACTACTATATCCCTATCTAAGAAGTTGTCTGGTCCATAAAATTCTGAGGACGAATTACCAAATATGAATGCTCCACCATATATCCAAATTAATACTGGCTTCAGTAGGCTGGTATTCTGTGGATTCTTGAAACAAATACAGGTACCCATATGAATTACCAAAAGAATTTCCACTTTGTATTACAAACAGGTAGTTAATTTATTTTCTTGCTAGTCGATAATTAATATCACTATAAGTACCTAAAACTTAATTGATACCTTCCTTTATTTTAATTTTGTTTTTATTATTATCTCTCTTTTTCGGGTAGATATTGATATGAGTATACACTTTTGTATATCTGGTTAGGTATTTATCGCTAAGTATGAATTTAAATATTACTGTTTCACTTAGATTTAGTTTCTAGTTTTAGGAAATAGAAATCTTGTAATTAGGGCCTCATGGCTCTGTTTGTATTTCTTCTACAATAAATAAATAAATAAATAATTGTACAGGGGATGATACGTTATAAGGTACCAACCGAGGTACCAACCCCTGTTACGTAAATTGCTAACCAATAAATTCGCAAATTATTGAAATCAAATCAGAGAATCAGACTGATTACTTCAAAAGAATGATAAAGATGCTTGCAACGCAGGTGTGACTACTGCTGAAAACTTCAAACACGTCGATAATTCGCTGATCAATATCTAAATTCGAAAAATCAGGGCTATACAAACTCGATCTTGTCCTAAGGTATATATCGGACAGACAGTTTGTACGTTTATTCAGCGCATTCATGAACATGAGATATGCATTTTTTGAAAAAGAAAACAAATTCAACATACGCCAACAATATATTAAAATAAAAACATACTTTCAGTGATAAATTCAAAGTTCTACAGGTAGAAAATGAAGTAATACAACTCAATCATTTTGAATCATCAGATATCAAGAAACTCAAAAATCCTAACATTTTACTCAACAATCAACTTATAGACCTCAATAGTTCACTACTATTGAATTTGTTTTCTTTCAGAATAAGATGAAGGGATAAAACGGTGAAAGCATCAACATTTCAAATTTGTCACCTCTGTCAAAAATACTTCTTTCTACAAACGTCAAAAAATAACAAGGTTCGCGCATTGATAACAACTTGCGAAATGACACTTTTTCCTCGGCTACGCCTCGTTAGAAAAATCAGATCTCGATCAACAAAGTATAGCATTTCGCGCTTTAGATACAAAAATAACTATTATTGAACGAAAAAAAAATCGTCCTGTCCTGTATAAAACATTCTAATAGTATATATTTCGCACGAATGGAATAGCTACGCACGCAGCCGCGGAGCGGCGAGTGCGTAATTCCATGAGTGCGTAATTGATTTACAACACCCATTTTGTACTAAACTTTATCTACTGCCATATAGTACATCAAAAAATTTAGACAAAGTCTGAATAATAATTCTTGACAGTTTTATTGTCATCCGCTGTTGACGGCGATCACGCGATCATGACTGGCGGAATAAACGAAAACTGTGCGACGTGCTTACTGTGTTTAAAGAACTACTTACCGAGGCTTCATGTTCTTGCCTGCTTTCTATAGTGGCCGTAGGTGAAGTAAATTTCTCGCTACCAAACTGTGGACTGTATTTTTTCCATTCATTTTTTTTTTCATCGCTTGAAGCGCACGAAAGGGAATCCCTATAATGTTCAAAGAACATCGTGCGTTCCTAGGAAGGATAGGGAAAGGAGGTAGGTATTGGATTTTTTTTTGAACTTCTGGAGATTATATGTTGTTGGAAATACTTCCTCAAGCAATGAATTCCAGAGCCTAGCCGTTCTATGGATGAAGGAGTTTTGATAAAGTGGTGTTCGACATTTTTCGAGGTTGACAACGAAAGGATGTGCTGACTGGGCTTGTCTAGTTCGTCTGACTGGTATTGCTAGTGGAGGGATGATAGCAGAGATTTCCGAAGAACATTTCCCGTGGAAGTATCGATAGAAAAGTGAAAGGTCGCCGACCTTTCTACGGTGTTCCAATGATGTCAAAGAGTGAGTGAGTGTGGCGTCACCAACCAGGCAGATGGCTCTTCTCTGGATGGAATCTAAGAGCATCAGCGTATGTTTTGGTGCTGAACCCCATATGTGGAAACAGTATTCTAGAACAGGCCGTATCTGCGCCTTGTAGATCATGAGGAGCTGTTGAGGTGTAAAGTAGCTTTTCGCACGAAACAAGAATCCGAGTTTTTGTGAAGCAGCTCTTGCGATGGATCTCACATAATTATCCCATGAAAGAGTTTTGCTGATGGAAATACCGAGCATAGATATGGTGGACTTGGTGGGGATGGTGGTGCCAGACATTACAATGTCGGGCATACTGAGTTCCGCCTTTCTAGAGAAAATACAGGCTTGAGTTTTGGTGGCGTTGAATTCAACTAGGTTGTTGGTTTCCCAGGATGTGATTTCAGCAGGGTCTTCATTGACAGCATTGACCTGCCTGCGCCGTGAGTTCTTAGTTCCCTTGGAAGAAATGGGAATTCTGGAAGAGAACGCAGTATGGAGGGTACTATATCATCTGCAAAGCTGTGGATGGGGCAAGTTGTTACTCCCAACAGATCATTGATATGAAGAAGGAATAATGTTGGTGCCAAAATTGATCCTTGTTGAACACCGGAATTGATGCCAATTGTATCAGACGATACACCGTCCACCACCACATAAAGCGATCTGCCTGAAAGAAAACTCGATAAGAGATGGCATAGCTGAGGTGGTAAGCCGTATGATGGTAGTTTGTGGAGGAGTCCTTCGTGCCAAACACGGTCAAATGCTTCCGATATATATTATAATAATACCTTTCTCAAATTTATTGTTTTTCGAATTACAATAAAACACTAAAGTTGTATCTGGCCAAAACATTGTGCCAATGCCAACTATACTCTACCTATACTAGATATCAATTGCTAGAAGTGCATTCCAAAAACGTGGTTTTTTGTTTCGGGCCAGGAGCAATTTTATTTCCAGTCAGCTGCTTATGATCTATAAGGCACAGATCCGACCTGTCCTGGAATACTGTTCCCATATTTTGAGTGCAGCACCCAAACATACCCTGAAACTGTTGGATTCTGTCCAAAAAAGGGCAATTCGTCTCGTGGGTGATGCCTCGCTCACAAACTCACTCACTTCTCTGGAACACCGTAGAAAAGTTGGCGATCTGGCTTCATTTCATAGATATCTTCATGGAAGATGCTCTTTCAAAATATGAACAATTGTTCCTTCCTTGGCAGTCCCCGCAAATTAACCCGTTATAGGCATTAGTATGCGTTTATTCACCTGCTCGAATAACATTGAATTGAATTCTTTTTTTTATTCCCACTTTCAAGGTCAATAGCCCCATAAGCCCCAGAGCGACAGACATATTTTTTATATAAAGTACGACATGACCTTTCTGGGCATGTATGTATGTAGATAAATCAAATGAATCGAGAAAAAACAATCATCTGTACGAGCATTCATTTTTCTTAAACGAAAAAAAGAAAATAAAGAAAGCGATGATGGATAGTTAATGATGTATCACTCGGTATGAATATATTTAAAAAAACGATATCTCTTTAATCTTATTCCGGCTTCCGGGATACCTTTAAACTTCCCGCTGTGCATATCGTATTTCGTTGGTTCAATGCCAATATATTCTTTAATACGTTCACTGCCAAGGTGAACCATATTTATTATTGATTGAAAAAATCGCAAACCGGTGAATGATCTGTTCCTTTGTGGAATTCGAAGACAATTATTTCTATCGAAATTTAACATTGAGATCACCATATCAACATATTATGTATAGACCAGGGTCGATGATGTTTTAAACCGAAAAAAATTATAGCAGAGTAAAACCCATTGAAAAAAGAAAAAATATGATAAAGAAGAAAGGAACAATAGATTACGGTCGATCTGAGGTCGGGAATTGGAAGGCAAAACTAAAAACCCTATGGAAAAAAGTTGAAAGGCAAAGTTCTGGTTATTTGGGTTGGACGCATACCTGATTTGTTTCCGATGTCGGCAGATTTGGCATTTCATACTCATGCTGGAGATATAAATACACCATATTATAATTAAGTATTTTTGTTTTGATCACGAAAACCTTCAAGATTCACATACCTGCTTGATCTGTATTTCATTCGCTATTCTCGGAATGGATAACTTGTTTTTGAATAATCACGGCCAGAAATACTTTTTTGTCTCACACAACGATAGTGTTCACCTTCGTTTGATTACCTAGCCAAACACAGTGGAGTATGGAGAGGAATAAATGATCGCTATTAGTATTGCTGATATGCTCACTAATCTATCATGTTCCACGTATTCTCCTATGCCTGGCACTGGCGCGGTATTCGCTATTAGCGCTGATACCTGGTCCATATACAAGTGGGTCACTCTGTTATGCCTTTTAAATCTCAGGGGGTAAGTAGTAGAAAAAATGGAAAGTTATTTATTATACAAGGGAAAAAAGTAGTAGATTTTAGCTCCAGGTTGTGTTGTCTCCCGACGCGTAGCGGAGGGAGACAAAAAACCGTGAGCTAAAATCTAATATTTTTCCCGTGTATAATACACTATTTTTTTCTGTGACAGAAGGAAGAACGAATCAATATTGAGAAGATATTACATTATTTCGAAAACTGAAAATTATCGACGTGAAATTTCAAGTTTTTAACAGGAGGGACACCTGCGTTTTATAGGCATGTTATCTCGTGGTTTTCGAAATAGACTTTTTAAAAACAATTTTATTTATTCCGGCATAGATTAAGTTTATACAATGAGCTTTATTTCAAGACTAACTTTTTGATACAATATGAAATGAATTTATATTAAAAATAATGCTGATGCCAGCGTCAGCAGATATTATATTCCATTTCTGCGGATGCTGACTTCAAGGTCAAGATCATGTTCTGAGGAATTGTTATCGCTGGTAAGTTGATACTACTGAGAACAATGGGAACTGATTTTAGCATATAACAACTCCCCATCATAATAAAAAGTTGGTGCTTATTGCAGCGACTTTTAATGAAGGTCTTTCGAGGTGGATGATGTCAGCTCGAAGTCGTCTTCTTGGTCTCGAATGTTGACGCTTGGGCGTCTTCTGGGGATGAACC